ACAAAAGAATATTTCACTGTCAAATAAAATCATGACTTTTCCTCACTGTGGATAATTTATTTTTGATGTGTATAATTTTTTATTATTTTAATGTTATATATACTACCTTATGTAATGGTATCTGAATGTATGTGTATTTAAAAACATTGATTTAATATACATAGTGTTCGTGCGAAATATTTTATAAACATATGTTATGTTGTGCGTACGTCACCATGGATGGCGCTAATGAGCTGTGTCGTGGGTGTCAAACGGATATGGAGCATATGTTAAGTTGATTTTTTTTTTGTTTAGAGGCTTTGCGTTGGTAGTTTTAATGTGAATATCATTTGTGCAAAGTCGTTTTCCGGCACCGCCCCAACTTTTTTAGACAGGTTCGATTACAACAATATGCAACGAACCAAAGTTTACGAAATAGTTATTGTGAGACTCGAAACAAAAAGGAGTATTTAAGTGATGAACAAAGCGAAACATGGACTATTTAATCCAATCATAAATATCAATAATTTGATAATATAAATGCAGATACTAAATGAAATGTGTATGGAATTGAATATATAATCTCTGGAAAGTAAAACAAGATTCAAATCTTTGTGTTTTGATGCACACAGATTTCCATAAAAAGAAAAATTTATTAATGGATATACTGGTAATAAAAATGTTGACAATATTATATATATTATTATTATTATTGATAATATTACTATATATTGTAAGTTTTTTTAATATTTGTTTTATAAAGCGAAGTGAGACAAGGAGACATTGTAACTCTAAAAATAATTTCAAAATTATATGAAGCCATTTGTATCAAATAGTTTGTATTTATGTGAATATTGTATACATAGTACAAATAATGCGGAAATTGATACTTATATTGTGTTCTCATAGTATATTCATGCACTGTTAAACTACATCTAATTCAAATCGAAAGTCATTAAGGACAGTTTAGTATAAATTCGATAAGGGATGCTACTTAACTTCGTAGTAGCGAATTAATTGAACAAATTGCAGCAACGCTGCATTATTTCATCCATCGCGAGGTTTCCCTAGAACAAAACGTGAACTATCAAAATAATTGAACGAGACAACGACACCTATGCCACAGTACATTATATATTATTAGTATTATAAAATAATCTATTTGAATTGCAACAAAAGAACAAAAGAAACAAAAGAAAAGAAAGAGGTAAGTAGTGAAGCATGAGCACAAATTAGCTTCGATTAATTTTCTGTAAAATCTGACGCCTCACACCGTTTCAGAATAATATGTTTATGGTACCCTAAGTACAGCAATAGATTCGATATAACTATTATTCGGGACTGCCAATCATTAATTTTACGACGTCAGAGATTAGTATAATTTATGTGGAATGTGATATTTACTTGGCGATTGCACGTAAGCACTTTTTATTGAAGAAATATATCTTGAATACACAATTGCTGAAAGACACTGCTTAGAGATATGAAGTGATTGACTGGCATTTTACTAATATTTCGTCCTATTGTCTGGGGCTTCTGTAAAAACATCCTTATCCTAACCTGCGAAAAACTTAATATCTGGGCATTGACATATTTATCAAAATAACTTCTGCATATTTAATTTCCAACTAATTTCCGGAAACGCACTCGCTTCAAGTTGAATTACTTGTCTATCTGTTGGTCTTATGACTTTTCATTTCTGGTGGGCGGTGTTAGTCAGACTCAGCGTCAATTTTTAAAACTCTAGAATTCCAAACGTATTGAATTAGATATTGGAATCTTGAGTGTCGCTGCTCGAGAACCACCTTTGGTTGCTCGCGACTTTCCTTCCCCCGTTAAACTGTGTAATTATCCTGTTCTCGTAATTTGTGCTCGTATGATATTCCACTGGTTGGAAAAAATAATCTTGGCTTGACTTGATAATGTATGTACACGATCAAAATTCAGACATAATTAGCATGAAAATGTTCAAATTAAAAAAAAAAAATTGAATTTAAAAACATATGTCTGACACAAAATGAATTTTTTGTGGGTTGGGATTGTTGTGCAAATTGCTGCTCCGCAAATAATTCAACTTCAATTACTCATAGATGAATAAAGCGACTTTGAGTCCAGTACCTTTATCTGTCATATGTCATTTTGAGCTATAATCAAATGTTATATTGAGTTGAAATCAGAATAAAATCATCCTGAATAGAATAACTGAACAATGTGGAAGGGAAAACGTAGACAAAGATATTTTTAAATCGATTACCTAAATATTGATATTATTACTCTTAATTTATATAAATTTTGGATTCATCTCGACTTTTGACAGATATATTCGATTTAAATATACGAATTTATATATACGTAATAATGCAATCATATTCAATATCTCATGATATAATAAAATTACAAAAGTGAAAAGTTGCCAACACATTCTTTTATATCGCAGCAATATTCATATGTAGATATGGAGATGTAAGGTCCATTATACCCGATCCTGCAAATTGATCTCTGTTTTCTTATTGTTAGGTTTTATTGAACAATTGCTTGTTGGTTACGAATTATCTATTAAAAAACTCAAGCATGATCAAATACTGAATTGCACATATTGGACCCAATCTTTCTCTGGTTTTTGCGTGATCAACGGGCAATGAACGAATATTTCTGAAACAGCGCGACATTGTTTTCCTTACCGCCCGAACTTCAAATCGAAGGCGTTTATCAGAATCACTCAGAGTCGTATGATGCTATTAACAATTATGCATATATTTCCGAGTAATATCATTCAGTAACCACTTATGTTTGCCCCAAGCTAACTTTTGTAAAATCATTGCGTGTAGAAATATTAAATAACTCAATGTATTGAGCACCCATTTGAGTTGGATATCCAACAGGTAGAATCAATAAAATTACTAGAGAATATCATTGAATTGCTGTTGTGTTTGCATAGCATCGCACACCTATCATGACGACCCAATGTGAACCGTATTTCTCGTAAATGTTCAAAGTCTAATCAATACGCAAACAACACCACGACGCTTTGTTTGAGTTTACCCGAGTATTTGTACAGAATGGAACGTCACAAATTTCATCGCATTCACATTTTCTTAGTGCTTAAGCCAATCTACTAATGTATAAAAACCCCTTTTTATTTTAAATCGAGTTTATTCTTTTGCTTGGAATAATTGTAATAAAGTTGTTTTTAGCCAAAATATAATTTATTTTTAAACTTTATATGGCCTATGAAAGAAATAATATGAAATGTTTCCTTATATTTCGGTTCAAATTGTTCAAAAAACATTTGAGATTTTTGCACCCTAAGCCATACAAAATTTAAGACGCATTGCATCGGTCTTCTTTAAATTTCAACTCCGTTGACTGAATTCTCACTTTGATATCACGCAACTTAAATACATATTTTCAACGTACCTGATTTATAAAGGGAATCATTACAAGTTTTTCTCCATTGGCACACCTATATTTGTGTTGAATGCAGAGTCATGTGGTTTTAGAAATATTCAACAATATATACCAATTTTAGTTTTTGTAGAGTAAAACCGGTCATTGAATGAATTTCTTAATTTATTTTTTTGTTTAGTTTACACATAATTAGATATCATTTGCCATGACCCAATATCCACGAAAAAAAAAAAATAAGTTTTCTTTTCATAAATTGTTATGTTAAGAACTGTTAATCAGTCCGACATAGTATTATTTACTTAATGTTTACCCCTCTTACTTCAAATTGCAGTTTTCTCAAACAGTTATGGCAAACCAAGTATGCGTTGTGTAATGTGGAACACCATAGCACGACAAAAAGTTTTGAAGAGGCGTGTCAAAGATTATACTTGTCGTCATACATTCAATACGTATATCAAAGACGCAGTATCTCATGTAAAAAACTAATGGAGTGCCCGTCAACCTTTTTCAGAATGATACACTCTTCAACCCTTTCTAAAAATCTGGTACACCCCTTCCATTCTACCTTTTTAATACTTAAAACAATTAAATACTTAGCAAATATTATATATATATATGTTTATGACAATGCAATAGTTCATTATTTAGTTAGTGTGAACGTTGCTCTAGGATTCCATTAGCCATTTGTGCAAAGCGAGGTAATAAACTTGTTTTCAATGCCCCTCCCATTAGAGTATCTGCATTCTTGATTAAATTCCTTTTTTTTAATTTAATTTCAATGAGTGCAGAAAACCCTTGTTTGGGAAGTTATGTTGTACGCATTCAGACGAGATTTTTTATACGTTTTTGATTCTGTGTTTTACCGGATAGGATCGTAAATTTCTGAAAACATTCTATGCTTCTTGAAATGAGACCGAACAAAATTACCGTATTTCTCCGCGTATAATGCGCACTTTTATGGTCAAATTTAGTCTCACAAATATGGGGGTGATATACATTGGTCTAGAAAATATTAAAAGATATTATTTTTCATTGTATGCTTTAACTGGCTAATATTTTTCACATTTATTAATCTCAAGTTCTTAATTTTATGCGGCAAAGTCTGTTAGAATCAGATCGTGCTTGATTCGGTAGAAGCATACTCAGTTCAAGAACAATTAGTGTTGATAAAAGCGCATAAAAATGGTGAAAAAAGAGTGATAAAAAGACGCTGTACATCCGTTAACTGCTGTCATTGTCCGGTCTGTTTCTTCCGTTTCGCCGAATCGGCAAAACTTTACTGTAATAAATCACCATTTGAGTGACCTACCGCTTCTCTTTGAAGTGCGGCGTCTGAAAACACGTTCTGATATCAGGCCTTGTCAGCTAAAGGGGGTGGGGCAAATAACTTTACAAGATACTTTAATGTCAAATAACATCACTTCATGATTGGCAGATGTTACAAACAGATTAGAGAAAATGCAAGACGTTGTGCATAAGTTTCCACGTATAGGTTAGGGTGTTAGTGTACTATACACCCGGTTGACGAGCCCTGATCTAATTTCATAAGATACTATCGTCACGATCAATCTGCCAACCGACACCCATTCAACACCAACCAATTTTGCATTTACAGAAATTTATTGCATAATTTTAATAGGAACTTACAACTTAGTACTGAGAAAAACGCCTAGACTGAAATAGTACTCTGGAAAGGAAAATCTCCAGTGAGTATTTTTTATTTTATATAAACGCGCTATGTATTGGATTCGTTAGAGTGGTAATTAACGGTCAATTAGCGGTCAAACCAATAATTTAAAAATAGACATTCCGTTATTCTTTTATTTCAGTTTTTACCATTTTTTTTGTTTATTAATTTTTAAAGCATCGTCGAAGCCTCGCCGTTTTTATTTATTTTGTAATCTATCACAGCATGTCAAAACTATATTTTGATTTGACTGAATAAATAGGGTGATGGGCTAAGATATTCCTTTAAATCCACTATTTGCCACAGGGAAACAAAGATAAAAAATATTTTCATTTTGCATATTTTCTGGTATCGATTGATATAATGTTTTCAATATTCTAAACCAGGGTGGTTCAAGGTATTCGGTCTCGCGGGCCGTTCTATTGTTTTTGTATTGTTTGTGGGCCTACCATAGTGCCAAGTATAGATAATCAGTGCAATACAAAACAATCACTTTTATTGTCTAAACACATTGATCATTATTTGTGATTTACCCCCCCCCCCCCCCCCCCCTATGTTCAGTCAAAAATCTGTTTGAATTGGTCGGCTTCAGTTAACAATTTAGACTAGCCAAGAACAATATTCAAATTCGCTAGTTGTCTCATTTAGCCATAACACCGCTCAATTCAGTGACATTAGTGGATGTAACAATATGTCAGAAGATATTCTGGTTATTTTTTAATTGACGAAACAACACAAATATATAAATTTTTGTTTACCCACCCATAAATGCGATGCGGACCACAGATATTGAAGCCGCGGGCTTGGTTCACCCCTGTAAAGCTAAACTATCTCTAATTCTCAATTTTAATGTTGACTTTATTATACCAACAGTGGATGGAGAAAGATCGGCGGGAAGATGTCTTCGCAGAAATAGCTGAGAAGTTCCCAATGAAAGAATTTAAAAAATTTGCTAGATGTGGGATTGGTCTCGTACTCAACTTTAATGACGTCGAATCGATTATTGCGAGCTACAGCGAATCTGAAGATGAACAAAAAGTTCAAATTCTTCGTCTTTGGGCAGAGAAAAACGGTATGATACAACTGAATCTAATGAATTAAAAAAAAAAATTGAATTTGTGGCGCTTTTGTATTGTTTAAAAACCGACATATATCGAAAAATATAATAAATTTAGACGAAACACTAGATTTTGGAAACTTGCAATCAGTGTTCACTATTAGCGCACTTTTTTGCGAAAATTGCGAAGCACTTTCGCAACTTTTTTTAGGGACTGCGAAATAGCACTTTTTTCCGATTTTGAAGAGAAATAGCACTTTTTTCGATTTTGAATGGAATAAAAATTCAAAGTTGACAAATGTTTTTGTGTGCGTATTAAGTTGACAAATAAGTAACATACTAGTACTTTTGTAACTCAATTCTGCATATCATAACGATATTTACCGAAATTCTAACCTATGTGGTGAAGACATGGAAGATAAAGCTTTTGCATTAATGGCAAAATTCTTGTTTATAATATGATTATTATACAAGCACACCGATTCCGCTTCGACCGCGAAAACGCTCGACGGCGTCTTTGAAACCAGATGTCCGAATGCAAGGCAGTGCGTTTCTCTAAACGAGAGTGGTCATGTGACTGTCAATGACATCGATGAATTGTGACCAAAGTACACGATTTTCTAGTACAGGTTTGACAGGTCTGTGTTCTCTTCTTAGTGAATTTACTGGAGCCATTCAGAAATTTCTGATACTCGACACGACATTGTTTAGTAATGGAATGTAAACTTGGGCCATTGTTTGTTAAATTAGAAGAAACTTTTAGCAGCATCTCACAGATTTGCAAAATCGCCAAATTGACAACATACATATGTGGTATTAACATTTAACAGCCATTTTATTGTAACCACGAATGTTAAAAGCAAATGGCGTTTCGCGGAATTTTGCGATATTCAGTATTGGTCAAAAATCAATCTAAACTATTTCCTCATTAATATGTGAGTAGGGGTGGGCAAAATCGAACATTTTTTCGAATTGAATATTTTTAACGAATAAGGAATATTTTTTATGCACAGCAGGAGTCTAGAACGTCGGTCGAAAAATTAGCAAGGAAGCCTTTTCTACTGGTTAATTTCGTTATAATAGCTAATTGTTTTTGTCATCGCAATCGTTTTGGCGACTATATCCTGGGTTTGGCAATCCAGGCTTACGCGTGCGTTCACATCGGCAACAGCTGTTAAGGGCATCAACGACAAATTTCAAAACCAAAATAAACATTTGCGTTGACTTGATATTACCTATCAACGTTTGTAAATTTACTGTCGCAATTTTAAGCGAATGGTATTATTATTATCGATGCCGGAATGCAAATATTTAATACGATAATTAACTTTTATAATTTTTTTATGGTGTCTGTATTAATTTACAGATAAATCTCGCAAATCTGAGATTGTGCCAATCCTGAATGTTGATTTAAAATTGTGATTAAATAATTCGGCAATAAAGGCATTTCTGCGTGGCCATAAGACGAGATGACTTAATAAACCGCACTTCTTTAAGGATATTTTACATATGCGACTAATGCTAAAAACATTGGGCTCGAGTGCTCTGGTGCCTAATCAGGCGCTAATTGCAACTAATTCAACTCAAGTTTCAACGACTTTTTTCATCTTCACGATATGTTATCTTTTTTTTATTCGGTACTGATAATGATAAATAAAAAATGTGTAATTGTTGATTGCAATTCCGGAAAACGAACGAATTTAACCGCGGTTAACCGCGCATTGGAAAGCAAAGCACAATTTATTAACATTACTTTACAATGAGTTACGAGTAAGAATTAACCAGACGGCTATCGCTAACATGTAGAAACAATAAATTTGAAACGATTTTGTATAAAGCGTGTCAACATCGTTTTTGTAAATTTAGAAACGTCGATAAGTAAGACAAGTAAATAATGTATTTTATGGAACTTTCATGAGATATTGGTGAGAATATTATTTTGACCATTGTCGAAATGCCATTATTGCCGATTTATTCACGTGTTTAGTTACTATCAGTGTTTTAACCCAAAGCTGAGTTACGTAAATACTTAACACTGAGTACTCAAGAGATAACCAATTTGCGGAGTTTTTCAATTATTATTTAATACGAAAGTAACACAGACACGATCTAAAATTAAAAGCATAGAAATGTCAACTATCTGCTTCACAAATATCGCATCATGGGGTCAGTAATAATATTATTGTTCGCTTAAACTCGGGACGGTAATTTACGAACTGATACAAATCCTACACAGAAGATAAAAATCAGAACAAAATCAATTTTCGTTGTGAATGCGCTCATTAATAGTTATCTTTAAAATCTTCGCCGATGTGAATTCACAATTCTATCCGAAATATAAAAACCAAACTACAATGTCCGCCGTTACGTGAGAATTAATATTTGCTAGTGAATAAAAACATGCTTTAATATATTTTAACAACACGATCGCGGCGACAAAAAATTTACTGCAGCCTTCGATTATGACAAAATTATGAAATAATCATTGAATGGCAATAAAAATTTAACTTCATTAACAATAATTCTCAAGTAATAGTTTCACATTTTCATGATTTTGATCGTCGCTACATGCGAGCGTGTTTTTGTACATATAACCATGATGACACTACTGACATCTGCGAGTTATAGATCTCTCCAAATTTAATTTTCGCGATTTTTAATGTTTCATTTCTAGATGCGGATGCCCGCTGACTACGGATAAATGGTCGGTGTTTAAAAATAGGACTTCGGACCGTTGGGCAAAGAAAGGCGGGCTACACGTAACTGCGAAATTTCGCCGTCGTCGCGAATTGCAGTTTTGGTGTAATGTTTTAACTTCCCCCTAATCTCCCGTTGAAAAAATCCTGGCCCCTGCCCGGTGATAATTCTAGCTAAAATGTTACAATTTTATTTACGGAATTTGCAAATTCACCATTTTGATAATCACGCCCTAATTATTGGTGCAAAATACTCAAAATATCACGAATTTAATCATTTCCGATGTTACTAGGCGCAATTCATGACGGCGACAGTGTGCGTTGTTACATCGAAATTCATGATTGATTTTACGTTATACTCTTGTTTACGATTTCAATACTCCACCCGCCATGCATGGCTGAGTGGAAGGTTCACATTTTCGAAACGTTACTTGGCCAAGGATGGGAGGGATCACTAACGAGCTAATTGAAAGCACATTAAGAGGATTATGACTTGTCATTTTTTTCTGGTTATAGCCTGTACATGTTATACCATGTGTGGGCTCTCGGAACGTCAATTTAACTTTTAATTTTCGACAATCAATTGTATGTGCGGCTCCTACATGGAACGGCTAATTCATGCTGCCAATATACGGAGTTTGAAATCTGGGATATTTATTTCGAATAGTCTATTTATTTTGACTCTTCTAAAATTAGAAAGCTTTGTTGGTACCTTTTTTGGCGCAAAGTATGAAATTGAAACGATACGAATATTTTGCCCAGTCCTATAGGCGAGGTTATGATATTAACGCAGAGAATATTTGTAAGCATATCACTGGATGGAAATATTTTGCACCAAGACTGTTTGCAGAAGTTGATTTATCGAATACACGGAAAGTATTTATTTATCATCTCACTTGCGAACATCGGGGTTTGGGCGGGATTATACGATTATGTTGTTGTTCTTAAATAATAACTTTTTCGATGAATGTTTATTTAACTTTTGTGTATTAATTATGATATGTTGAGTTTTCGTTTATTTCAAATTCGAAATTGTCCGGAATACTCAAACAGGTGTAATAAGTGTAATATTGATAGTATAGTGTAATCGAGTAACCAACTTAGAAGTCTTTAGAGATGTCTAATGAACTTGATGTGTTACGGGTGTCGTAACCCCCGTTTTTTTTTTTATTAAATTTGATTGTTCTTCCTTCCGCTTATAAAACAACATCGTTATGCGGTCATCTAAGGTAACTCTCGCGACCAAATCTTTTTGTTCTGTATGGCATCACCTTAGCGCCATTTATAACCGACTGAATTTTAATTGTGATTTATGATAAGTTATTTTCTGTTAGTTGGCGCTGATAACGTGGCTAATTTCTTTATAAACATTTTTAATATGTTTAATTTTAAAATTTAAATTTTTTTTTAAATATGTTCCTTACGTCTCTGCTATAATTGACAAGCGATAGCACAAGATTCAGCAGCAAATGATAAGCAAAGCTATTTTATAATCATGGGTTGCTTAATAAAGATTTGCTAATTATGGCAGGATATAAAGAACATGGCCTGAAATATATAATCAACAGAACGATGTTTATTTTTCAGTCGACGAAAACCCTTAATAATAACGATTGCCGAAATCGCGAAAAAAATGAATACGGATTTTCGATTGTGATCAGATGACTGAGAGGCACATGTTTTTTCTCTGTTCAAAGGCAATAAAACGAATACCATGTTGCCGAAAAGCGGTTACGTGTTATCTTTCTTTAGCCAATCAAAATAGTGGTAATGGTATATACAAGAGGTTTCTAAACTTTACAAACTCGGAACGCAATTAATATTAAAATTACAAGTAATGGTGCATGGAAAAACGAATTTGATTTTATTGAAATTGAAACGCACACACATAAGAGTTTTACATTTCATGTACAACTAACCGATGCTACATGTGAGATTTGTGCACATGAACGATTATATATCGCGCATTATTTATGTGAGAATGCGTACTTCTCTTTCAACTTTAATTTCCAGGATTTCAGCGTTCACATGGTCGACTAAAAAAGATTTATCAAATGGATTGGTATTTCGCGTCACACTCAAAATTATTTGGGAACCACTATCATGTCATTCGTTTATTTTTTACATTCATGTTTTTTTCAAGAATCACCCTGTTGTATTTCCTGTACCTTCGCAAAGGAAAACTCTTTGGTGTCATCATTACTATTAGTGTAATTTGAAAGTGGCGTTGAGATGCGAATAGTTCATACTAGGTCTGCAGCATTAGAGAGAGCGTTATTTATAAATGCTGGAAGTACATGGCATTTCTAAAAAAAATTGCAAATATATGATGTTTTCTACCCGATTTGAACTAACTGGCACGCAAACCAATGGCAAGTCGATATTTGAAAATTACACGTCTTAGCGTAATCCGTGAGACAGTATAATATAAATTAGGCCAAGCTAGCTCATGAAAGGGATTTCAAAGTGATCTTGCATAATATTTCGGAAAAAAAATCTTCGATAGAAAGTAGGTCACTCTATCTGAAAAAAAATCTTCGATAGAAAGTAGGTCACTCTGATCTATAAAAACAGCGGTACTTCATGGTGATCTTGCGTTATTTCCCAAAGAAAAAACTGGCCGGAGAAACATGACGTTAACCAATCTCTTAAAAGGGAAGATGCCGGACTACTTTCAAGCATATTCTTTCGGACGAGGAAGCGTGTTTATACTAAAGCGATATTGGTGATGGGTCATGGCATGTCATTTTGCCCGGGTTTTGTACAAAAGATCCCCTCCCTACTATGGCCGGTAGTAACTAATATCTGCATGTATCAATCGGTGTCTGTTAGATGGAAGAAACAAGTTTGCATGAGGCTGGTGGTTGATTGCAGGAAACTTTTATTCCCCACAAGTGTGCTTATCAGGTGTCCTTTGATGAATTCGCTTGTTTTTAACAAGAGTTAAACGAAACTCCGTTAACGGAAAGACTTCAATTCACAATATTAACGGAAGAAGCGCTTTTTCGAGTATCCATGCTGTTTGAAATGAGTTTAAACGAAAGCTAGGGCAACTAACTAGTTAAAATCAGAAAAAGCACTTTCGCACTTTTTTTTTCGACTGCGAAGCACTTTCGCACTCATAATTTCCTTAGAGTTAACACTGCTTGCAATTATTAATGAAAACATCTTGCCAGCAATGCAAATTAGAATTGTGAGCCTGATTCAATTCCCACATTTTCCAATTTCCTAGAAAATTTCTACAAATAAAACGTCTCGATTAAAATAAATTACCATTTATTATAAATAATCCTCAAAACCAACTCGGAGGTTACCAGCAATGTAAAGGAGGTATAACCATAATTCAATAGTTTGAACTCATTTCTGATTCCCGTATCACATGTTAATGGTCTAATCAAATTTGCAGGAACAAGAGCCACAAATGAAAACCTAAGACAAGTCGTTACTAACTACTTCAAGTTGAAAAAATCTTATATACCAGGTAGAAATTTTTCAAATATTCAGCCCCAAAAATTGTGTTACTTTTTGTTTACCTCATCTGTTTAACAGCTATCATTTATTTCCTAAAAATATTTCAAAAAATCTTTTATTCACATTACTCAATACCGTGTAGGTTCATATCTCAGCAATCAAATAATGTGCTTTGACTATGGGGGCCGATTGGTAACACGTCCACAAAAGCCTACATATCTTAGGCCACTAACTTTTAAAAATATTTTCGTTGCTCATCGGTGTATTATCTACAATTTAGCAGGTTTTCATTGCCATTTTTACCCATTTCCATTAGGCGAAAGACTTGAAGACGTCTTTCAAGAAGTGGTAGAAATATTTCCAAATTTCGGACAATTTAAAAAGTTTGCTATATCTAAGCGTGGCCTTTTACTAGATGATAATGAAGTTCGTTTAATTGCCGAATCCAACAAATCATCTGAAGACAAATGCTTGGAAATGCTGCAAGTTTGGAAACTAAAAACCGGTAAAATCATTCTCCACATTTGTGGTTTGTGAATTTCATTACACTACTTTCATCTACGGAAAATGAATCTTTGTTATTTTATCGCACAAATAAATTTGCTTTATCCTATGAAGATTAGAAAACTTTTATAAACCAAATATCACAAAGGAAAGATTCTCTGAAAAATAGGAGAAAAGAGTCAAAAATATTATCAAGATTATTAATTAATGGAACGTATTTTTTTTAGAATGAAAATTCTTTCAAGGTAAATTCCTGTTAAAGTTAGACTTGGAAATTAAATTTTCAAACAAAGTACAATACTTTCAAGAAAACTGTCTGGAGTAGACGAGCGTCCCTTTCCCTAAGAGATCGAGATGAAGTCATACAACTATGGCTGGGCATTTTTGAATACATGATGATTTCAGAATCGAATACCATTTTCGAATCGAATCTTGAATACCTAGAAAATGTCTAATTATATGTGACATTTTCATTGTGATGAGTCCCCCCGTCACATAAATTACTGAAAACATTGCATCTATTACTCAGACAATTCCCTGAGTTGCCACACACAGTAAGAACCATGTTTCATCAATAATCCACTAGGAAGATAAAAGTCATATGTCAAGATCGCATTGTAAAAACATGGCTTCACAAAAAAGGTTGAGGGATTTACCTCGATACAAGATGGCGGCGATTCGAAATTATCGTCTGGACCGATTTGAATAATTTACTATTCGATTTGAAATGCTCAGCCCTGCCTACAACACAAGGCCTTAAATTATCGCAAAACAATTTCATTTTGCTACGAATTTGTGTTATTACTGTTACTGCAATGAAATTAGAGTGAATCTTCACATTTTATGACTTATTGAGAAATAATAAAAATATTAAAACCAATCACTGTTTTTATTATTTTAGATTTTTCCGAAGAGTCCAATTTATCGAGAACAATCCAAATCCAAAAATTGGTTGATGAATATTTTTCCAAAGAAGACGAATTTGCACCCAGAGGTACATGTGATGTTATAGTTTTTGACTGACACGGTTCCATGCAAAGCGTATAATACAAGCACTCAATCGAATTAAGGTTGCTAAATACTGATCAAATAACGATGTAATAAAATTTAGCATTCAGCTCTTTTTATATTTATCTTTGACTGCCGCTTGTGGTTGAAGTTTTTATAAGTTACTGAGTGTATACTATAAGTTACTAGGTCTACTACTTAGTGTACTATATCTTTTCTCCTTAGTTTACTCATTTTTTTGAACCATTTGTTTCACGTAAATGGCTTAGTCAACTTAACAGATTGGAAACTTACTATATCACTGTGTTCTATCACTTCCTTAGGTGCCGAAGGCTCAACCCAAGCACCTACCAGTCAACGAAGGCCACAAAATGATCAGAGCCAAGACACCAATGACGACACTAGAAAGCAGTCTGGTACAAGATACGAGACAAGTAATACTTATTGTGATTAATTTCTAACGTATATACATTACTCAACTTTGTTCAAACATAATTATTCGATCCACTGAACTGAATACAGTAGTTGTTACAATTTTATCTTTTTTGTTTTTTCCTAACTTGAAATCTAAAAATATTTCAAAACTAAAATAATTTGTGTTCAAGTACGATTCAAAATATCAGAAGAAATCATGTTCAAATAAAAATTCATGTTAAGCATGATTCAAAGTATCATTCAGAAATCAAGTTAAAATAAATGCATTGTAAATTTAATATACAGGTCAGGATGAGCCGAAGCCACGATGATAACGAAGAAAACAATCTCCCAAAGATAAAGAGAAACACCGCCCAAGACAGCAAACAAAAAACTAGTATGTTTATTTAGATTGCTCGCATATTACGCTACAATGAATTATATGAAGGCATTTTCAATCAATTTTCACCGCTGAGAAATTCCCGAAAAAGTATAATCATGATTCATTTATATTTCATTGCAGAGAAAAGGGTAAATTAGGCTTTTTATGCGATGTACCTTAACGGTATAAAAGAAAAACTATATTCGAAGGTTCATATACAAATCGGCTAACTTCGATTTGTAGAATAATTATGCATGCTTTCGAATAATATAATAAAACCCATATGATGCAGATTAGACTGAACAACTTGATTGCAAACGAATCATTATCTAATTTGACAAAATATTTAGGAAATTAAACAAATTTTTATTTTAGGTTCTGGAGGTTTATTGGTATTTTCAGAGCACGTAAGTCTTGCGTCTTAAACATTTACTAGTGCCTATTTTACCGACTATGAGACGCACTGTCAATGAATTGCTTTGTCTGGGTTTTGTTCATACATAAGGCTAATCGGTCTATTAGACTCAGTGATTTTTAAAGTGATACCGGTACTGTTTTTGAGTGTAGGCATCAAAGCATGAAGTATTAGCTGATCCACACATTATCCGCACCAGCTTATAGGACACATGATTAATTGTTGAGAAAAGTAATTGAAGTGCGCCTTATGATCCGTAAAATACTATAGATAAGTTTCATCAAAAAACTAAAAGTTTTAACTCGGACATTTGAAGTAAATGAAATTAAATATACCATACAGAATTCGGTATTCTAAATGGATCCAGAACTCTTCTTTTTCCATATTTAATATATAAATTATAAAAACATAATTTAAAATTTTAATTAATGAAACATCAAAAAAAACTTAATTCCAAATAAAAAACTATGAAAGTTTCAACTCGTATCTTAAATGCAATTGAAATTAAGTATAGCATGATTGTACATAATATTAATACTCTACCTTACTACTCTCTTCTTCCTTGTATAATTCAATTTCGACTCAACTTATTCTCATCTAAAACACCCCTCTATTTATTATTACTATAAGTGAATAGAAGTTCCATTCATGCTGCCCTAACTGAAAGCACTATACCTCTATATCTAATACTAACTTTTCATCCTCTAACCCAGTGATTCACAAAGTGGGCGATATCGGCCCCCGGTGGGTGAAATCGATACAGAAAAGAGCGAAAAAGCCGAAGGGGGAGATTTTTCATTTTTGTTCGGCGCATCATGCACTTGATTACTGTACTCTGCGTGCGTTCGCAGGTTTGAATCTCGTGGGCGATAATCACACTCGAGAGGATTGCTGGAGTCCTCCCGCTGTAATGTAATTCGCGTAGCCCAGGGGTCGGCAAGCTACAACCCGCGGAGTAAAATAATCCGGCCCGCGACGCTTCACTGAATTATAGCAATAAAACAGAGGTTTTGACGAATTGATTTTATTATCTACGCTCGAGATGTAGATTATATTTTTACGTAACAGAATTTATTGTGAGACACATTTAGACAGAATTATATTATAACCTAACAATTCAGTGAACAGCTACTCGTTTAACGAGCCTACAGTTTAAATATAAGTAGACAAATGGCAACACGCAGAAAAGTTGATGCTGAGTGCGGTGAGGAAATAAAATTCATATTCTATTCGAGAGTTGCATCACTCCTTGATTTTTATTAAAATGTATTTTCTTAATAAAAAAATCTTTATCAAAATTTGACAAACCATGCGAAAAAATTGACTCCGATGTTTGAAAGTACATATGTGTGCAAACAATTTTTTTTGAAAATGAACGTTCCAAAGAACAAGCAGAAAAACTAGGAATATTGATTCCCATTTAGAAAATGTTCCAATCTTGGCTTTATTCAGTGTACCGCCGATGTCCAGAAGCTATTAAGCGGGATGCAGCAACAAGACAGTGTCACATTGAATGTCATTTGTAATTTTTTTTCTTTTAATAAAACGACTGAGATGAGTTCAGAATTGTTGCAGTCTTCGCGCGCTGTTTCGTTTTTAACTTTTAAAAAATATGTGCGGCCAGCCAAGACTCTTTAATTTTTCTGATATTGTACGTGACGAAAATGTCACTAAATATCGAAACTTCCTGAAGACCACCAGGCTCATCTCGAAGTATATTTGGCTTTCAAAAAAACTTATTATTATATAATTATATATACATAAAGATCACAAAAAATCTGTCCTAATGTAGGATAAATATAATAATCTAAATGTATGAATTTGTGTTAAAAACAAAAGCACTGTACAGTACGCTTTTGAACGCGCACGGTTGTCCTAAGCAAGTATACGAGCATTATCCTTTAGAGTCCAGGAGTGGGCAAGGTTTTTGGACCAATATTCAAAAATTTTTGCCCACCCTGACTGACGGGCCATGTAAGGGTGACGTGGTAATTTAGCTATGAATCTCCACGCATTAGGGTGCAAAAACGGGATGCAGCAACAGATTATTAGAAACCATCGGGAAACGATAGACCAAATAACATGGCAAAAATTCGTAAGCTATGAAAAAAGAACGTGAAGAGGGGACGTTAACAAAACGTTATCGGCACTTAATTGAAACTCGAGAGCTGCGCGACCGCACACAACGAGCGCATATGGATAACGAACACCGTGGAAAAGCACGTCGTCGAATCGAGTGAACGAAAAAAGTTTTGTTAACGTCCCCATAACATGAAAGGTGGTGGCCTAAATAACTTACACAGGCTAGTGACAACTATCCTAATCTAATAAGTCTCTTGCACCATACATAACAACAACTGTGTAGTGCAGCAGAAATTTGTGACATCATCAGGCGGGCCAGATCGAATCACCCACTGGGCAGAAATTGACACGCGGACCGTAGTTTGCCCGTAGTTTAGACAGATAACTGCAGATTACAGTTGATACGACACCTAAAATGATTCGGTATTTGAAGCAACAGCGCTGCTACTCAAAAGCAAAACATATAGGCATTCTGGTTTTCCACGTTTTCAACAAATATTTATTTAATTGAAGACCCCAGTGACCAATTCGTGATATGATCGTGACATTTATTTAGGGGTGACTGAAGATAAGTTTGTGTATTTGGTGGTCGGGCACCTGTTATGACCGTTCACATTATGTTTTATGCCTCTTTCTAGGATGTTCAAGTTCAAACTATTTCTCCATCTTTCATTTTTTTTGTTGGCCTAGTTATGTGTGTGTTTGTGGGGTTGTTTAATACAAGGCAATAAATTTCACTACTAATTAATTATCTTCCCATCCAGACCAAACCCAGAATAACCCTCTTCTTCATGATTAAATACTATTTTTACTTCTTCTAGCCTTTATCAGAGAACACTTTTGTATTATTGAAATACTAATTTTTCTCATCTTTAACCTGACCCGAAATAAACTCCCATTTATGAATACAAAATTTACTCGTCCTAACCTGAAACACACCTCTTCTCGTAAAATGCAAAAGATGTTAGTCTGTGCTTTTAAATTTGGGCAAAAGAGGTACATCGAGAAGTAAAAAAACTCGGAGGAACGTTAGTAGGCATAGCGCAATATTGGACAGTCCGTACTTTCGCGGAAACTTGTTTCGGTTATGCGCCACTCGTTAAGACATAAATATATGGACACGGGGGCTGAATGGAATATTTATTCCACAATTCCTTTACAATCATATCCTGCACAAAGCTAGAAATGTGGACAGCTCCGTAACTCACCAGTACCGGTACCAGAACTGTCCTAGATTTCCAGGTCATGTGACTGTTGATAATTCATGTGTCTATCTCAACGTGAATCGAAATAGCAAACGATTCTAGTCACTGTACTATCAAGTATTTTTGAAGTACCTTACCTTGATTATTCTATAGTATATCGGTACCTTATCAAAACTTTTCCGGCGTTCGTGAGCACGAGATATTGCCGACATGCCGGTTAGGGAACCGCTACATGGGATTTGATGACATCATTAGACGAAACTTCTTGGAGTGAAAGTGAAAAAACGAATCTTATTGAGTCCAGAGACATTTTTAAAATAAAATAGCTTCCTGGCAAACAACAACCATCTCAAACCACAAGACATTCCAAGCAATTTCCATTAGAGACGAAAAGGAACAGTTTTTTTCATACCAACTGCGAGAATAACAAAACAACAACAAAACGATTCATAGGTTAATATTCGTGTCCAATAACGATGTCTACAACTTGCTGGAACTCTATTTTTGTCAAGCGCGCAACGCTGTAGGTCGTTAGTAGGTTACGACATGTTTATTTCAACCATAGACTTGTTGGATTTGCCGAATGGAAAGGTCCTCCGGACGTGTACTATTGGTAAAAAAACACAGAAATCGTCTCTTCATCCAGTGATCTAAGATTGTATTCGGACCAAATTTCTCCAAATATGAAAAAGATAGTCATGACGACCAAGCTTATTCAGCTCAATTGAAAACTACCATATTCAGTCAGTCTGTTTGCTCAATTAATTTTGCAATTATTTTTGTATTGAATATAGAGAGGACGTAAATTGGAGGAAATCGTCGAGGTTTTTCTTCGTTTTCTTTATAAATAAAGAACCACTTTTCTGTCCTTAATCTTTTTTTTTCAAAGCGTCATCTTCTCGCAGCACAAAAGTCATTTTCAAATCTTGTCTTCGACGATTTTTTTTACGTAGATACTAAACTGCTTTATTTTTCACACTTTAATACAACACTTTTGACATAAGTCTCGTTATTTTGGCACTTTCTCAGTTTTACATCTACCCATCTAAAACCCGATAGAAAAGTCCTTAATATCTATTGAATGACTAATCATTAAGCGAGTATGAATAAGAGTTGCATGTATAATACGACCTTGATACCATGAAATGAAAATCCACCATGTGATTGAGCTTTCCAATTTCGTTTAAGTTCTGGTTGATTCAGTAATAAAAAAATATTATTCAAACTTTATTTACCTGAAACAAGATACCAAGAATATTTATTAGTTGAACAACTAAATGTCATAGGTCAACATGTATCAAAGTATTCAAAATATTGTCTGCAAAACATCTTGTGATAAGCAATGCAATGGGACAGAGTTACGGAAGCATACAAAGAACAAAAGCTCCACGGAACCGGCCATTTGAGGTACTATCCGAGAATAAAAAAAATAACCCGTTTTTACCAGCGGAAGAATGGCACAAAAACAACAGAGTACAGAAATGAAGCTGGTTTTAGTGGCTCTGCATAGAAAACGTCACTGAGGGGGGTTGAAGTTTCATTTGAAAGAGCTTGATTGAAAGGTTTCAATGATAAAGACAGTCGGACACATTGCAGGCTCGTTGGACAAGCAGGAAGCGGAAAGACCACTTGACGAATAGAATGGTCCGCGATACAATCAAATCCAGTGGCTTAAGGACTAAGTGGTATTCGCCGACAGGCATTTTACAAAAAATTGTTCAGGAATCAATTTAAACTTATTTATTTTATCAATATTCGAGACCTCGTCGACTTCCGATGCAATCAGTGCTCAAGAACTCCTGTTCGACACCTTGATCACTAACTTGAATGGAGAAACCATTGTCGATGGATATCAATGGATGATCGATAATCAAAATTGACGTCATTTTCTTTTGATGGATTAGATCAGGCAACGTGGACTCTTCAAGATTCCCGAAAGATAAAGCACGGTGAAAAAGCCAGTACAGCAACCGTAATGTCCAACATAATCTCTCGTCATCTTTCCCCGATGTTAAGATTGTTATGTCTTCCCGTGAGCACTGCATTGCCCCACTTACTGGAAATCTTTCGACCTGACCGAATCTACGCATTGACAGGGCTAAGTTCTGGCGATGCGAAAGATTTATTCGTAGCCTTACTTGGCGATATCGGCCAGCAGCAGTGGGATTAAAATTAGCTTATACTGCTCCTCTTCTACTCCCCCTCTTTTCTGTGCCCGTTTCTTGGTGTTCAACGCTATCGTCCAAGCATACAATCCTGACAACACACCGGATACCATGACCGGTGTCATGTTGAACATTTTTCAAATTTTAACAGAATCCGAGCATATCCGCGACAAGGTAAACATTGCAGGAATCCTCAATAAACTGAAGAAAATCGCATTTACTGGAACGAGTGAAAAACGCGTCGTATTTGAAAGTAAAGAATTACAAGACAGTGGCATCGATACGAAAACTATTCGAGACATTGTCGTTAAAGTTCCAGGCAGTTCTATGTTCAGGCAAAATTTACTCGATGGACAATATCGTTTTTTCTTTAGTCACCAGACAATTCAAGAGATACTCGCTGCTCTTTACGTTTGTGAGATGAATTTACCAGAGTTTGAAGATTTCGTGCAACATCATCTCCATCTTGATCACTGGTCGGTAGTGCGCAGATTCCTTTGTGGAAGTCTAATCAACGACACTCTGGCAAATAATGAATTTTATCAGTTGCTTAAAAGTGAGTTTCTTTCGGCGGACGATTATCAATTATAAGACATATTTTGTTAAGTAATGTCATGACTAAAATTAATACAATTCGTAAACATGGATTAAAAACACATTTTTGTGCATAAGTGTTTGAATATTCGTGCAAAGCAGGCAGAATTTGAAATCTTTAACTTTATTTCGCAGTTGACCAAAAAAACGAAAAAAGGGAAATTTTGAGGCGTAGCATGGACGAGGAACTCAAACAAGCACAAGATTCGCTTGGGTTGATGGAATTGTTTGGCTCCTTGTACGAAGCAAATGATGCTGGTTTAATCAAGGATCATGTCAAAGTTATCAACTTCGAAAATACAGCCATCAACCCCAGTGGAATGCTTGCAATAGCATCGGTCATGCGACGTAGCAATAAGATGGATCTCGTGCGTTTATCCAATTGCAATCTTGATAGCGAGTTGATCGAGATTATGTCTAAAAATGTCGAAAATTCCCAGCTTGAGGTTAGTTTCGTTAATTCTGTGTCTAATTTGGTTGCGTCAATATATTCCAATAATTACGTCAAGTTATCGATGATATTTTTGACCAGAGTATGTGATGTATGTTACCTTCCGTAAAGTAAAATCATGCCCAATAATCAAGATTTTATTTTGAAAAGATAATTTTTTTTAGATTTCAAATTTCGAATTCATTCAAACGCAAAACGAAATATCATGCGACGAAATGAAAAAGCTTGGCCCACTCTGCAATCCTTCGATGCTCCATCAACCAATATCCATTGTTACTGCAGTAAAGACGCTTTGCTGCTATTTTTGCATGCCTACAAGCATAAAACGGTAATTGTTTTTTAAATTTTTATCATCAAATTGTGTGCGATTTTTATTAAACGAACGAAAATCCACTTGTACACTCTAAAATGGAAAAACCTACCAAATACATGTAGTCAACTAACTTTCTACAGTCAAAGATAAATAGGTAGATTATAAAACGCACTCTCCCATGAAATTAAACTACGTGTCAGTTCTATATTTCATGATCCTAAAATATTGTATAGATGTTTTTCGTCACTTTTATATTATATTTAAAATAATTATTACTTTCAGAAATTTTCGTACATTTTTGTTCAGATAAACAACTTTACTTGGAAGTCCTCAAACAAAGTAAGCGCAACAGTATTTGCTGATATTTCTTCGTTTGTTGAATCTCACGTTGATAAGTTCGTGACAGAAGATAAAGTAATATTTGATGAAAACGATATCGATATTCTCAGTCAGAGTCATGGTTCTAAAAAAGTATGCAATAAAGTAAATTAGGATGAGTAAATCAATAAATAAAGGCACGAAGCAAAAACAGTAAACAATACACTGAGCTGATTATACACAAGTTGTACTCCAAATAATTTGGAGTGATATCGTAATGCATACGCAGCCGTCGCAGACTTGGGTGGAAATTTCTAAAATGAAATGTCAGAGTCATATTTTTTTTCCTCATAATAACTAGCGTGAACGGAAACTTGATGGTCCCGCCATTGGATTTATTGTATTGGCCAGAGATAATTTGCATCATAATTTATATCATTTAAAGTGCAAAATACTTCGGTCAGTTCGGTTCTTTTTTTAGGGGTTCCCACGCCTATTCAAAAAACTTCTTTTATATTTTATATTATCATTATAAATGGTGAGATTCGTATCAAACATCCTTAATATATCACAAACCAACTCATTCAAATAGGCGAAGTATCATTTGATGTATAGGCAAAGACTTGTTTCCAGCGAATGCACAATAACGCACCAAAATGCATCAATGCGCAGACACATGTATAATTGTAACATTATTTGGGCCTTTGATAAGTCACGAAATATAACCTAGGATGAAACTTTGAGATATCAAAAAGATTTTGACTAAATGATAGAACACTTGCTTGTAAATTCCTTTTTAGATGAGGATTCATCGAGTTTCGATACGAAGCAACATGCCAATCACTCTCTTTTCCCAACTTGGCGACGTTTGCTCAATATACGATGTTCGGGAGTGCGACTTTTTCAATGCCAATTTAAAAGCAATTCACTTGAGAAATTTTGGAAAGCACGCTGGGAACAGCAAAGTGAGTGGATGAGCAACTTTATAGAATTATCAACATATCTTCGGCATTATTGCATATCATTATGCCTATTGTGTTATTTAGTGCCATCGTGGTCAAGATATTTCAATTTGAAAGGTATTAAAACACTGTAACATGAACATCATTTTATAATGGGTATTTTACGTTTCAAAAAAGGGATACAGGTGGCCATGCAGCAACAGATTATTAGAAACCGTCGTAAAACGATAGACTAAATTACATGGCAAAAAAGCATAAGCTATGAAAAAGAACTTGAACAGGGCGTCATTGGGACATTTGGACGTTAACAAAACTATTTCGGCACTTAATTCAAACTCGAGAGCTGCACGCGACCGCATACGACAAGCGTACGAGGACAACGAACAGGGTGGGAAAGCAGGTCGTCGAATCGAGTTGACAAGAAAAAAACTTTTGTTAACGTCCTCATAATATGCAAGCCTGTGGCAACTTAAAAAAACTTACCCAGGCTACTATCCTAATCTAAGAGGTCTCTTGCGACATACATAACAACAATTATGTAGGGCAACGCGGAATTAAAAGCAGAAATTTGCGGCATCATCAGGCAGGCCAGATCGAATCACCCAACATGCCGAAAGTGGCCCGCGGGCCGTAGTCCGCCCATGTCTAGGTCAAGCGACGTAGCAAAATCTTGATCTCGTGCTTTTATCCTATTGCAATCTCACGAGCGGATCGATCGAGATTATGACTAAAAATAAAGAAAACTCTTAACTTGAGGTTAATTCCATTGCGTTAATTCTGTCTCTAAATTGACCTGACAAACATATTCATATATTTAAGTCGAGTTGTACTGTTTCCTTCCGTAAAATGAAACCACGCCCAATAATGATGATTTCAGAATATTTTAAGAAGATGCGTTTCTTTTTAGATTTCAATTTTCAATTACACCCAAATTGAAAACGAAATATCTTTGGACGGAATGAAAGATTTAGGCTCATTTCTGCAATCATTTAATTCTGTATCAACTAATATTCACTGTTGCTGCAGTGCTGGCGCTTTGGTGTCATTTTTGGATGCCTACAAGCATAAAACGGTATTTGTTTTTTTTTAATTTTCATTATCAAAATAATTTGCAACTTCACCTAATTAAACGAGCAAAATGCTACTTGTACATCTTGGAATGAAAGATCTACCAAATACATGTAGTCGACCAACTTTCATGAAGTTTTGACAGTTGAAATTGATGATTGAAACCTAAACTTATAAAACTTTTAGTCAGTTCTATATTTGAATTGATTGATCTTTAGATATTGTGTTGAACATTTTTATGTTATATTTGGAATTATTTTAAAAAAATTATTGATTTTTAGAAATTTTTCACATTCTGTTCAGATCAACAACTTTACTTGGAAGCCCCCTACCGAAGTAAATAATTCTGCGATTGTTGGACCTCAGGTTGATAAGTCCGTGACAGAGGAAGAATTTGGTGAAAGTGACATCCGCACGGTATTAGTTTTTTTGTAATTTATATCATCAAAACAATTTTCGATTTCTATTAAAACTTACTATGCCGAATGGCATATACACAGTATGATTCATGCCTAGTCTAACTCTAAAAGGTATTATTGGTCTTTTACAGTTAAAGTTTTATAGAAGAGTCGTATATTTCACGAAAACGGGACTCCAGCTTCGCCTAAAATACCAGTTCTATAAATAGCATCAATTTGAAAATCGTCCATCAGTCGTGTCAAATCTCTGTTATGACTCAGATAAGACGTGACGGCCGCTAGCTCCCTTATAATTACCTAGTATTGGTTTATCATGTATTTTCAGTCATACATTCCATCCCTGGCCCTGTAATGTTTTAAAAAAATATGATTTCGACTGGGAATTTTTAAACGTGAAAAGAACGTGAAATTAGTGGCCTTTTTCACGCAAAACGCGTAATGTTTACGTCTTTCTATGCGCATTTCCGTCGAAAAAGTAACATTTTTGCATTGAGGGGGGCCTGTGCAGTAATAATTAGAGGTGTGACGTCATCAAAATTGTCAATTGAAAAGTTGAACTTGAAAATTCTGTAAATACAATCATGAATTTTAGAGTAACCATTCTTGCTATAACAGTGGTTTTGATGTTGTTATGTTGGAAAATAACACAAGAAAACGTTGAAATAAAAATTAATAAATTAAGAATAGTTATTAACCCTCTACTAGACTCAAAATCTCGCAAGTTCAAGGTTGCGAAATAGAAATTTTGGAAGTTTTGTTGCATAAAAAATAAAAAGTTAGAGGAGTGTGTTTCAAACATATATTGCTGAATAGAACTCTAGCAGATGCTATCAAAAGCCGTTCAGGGCTTAGTTTTTGACAATAAAAATATTTTAAAAATAACCCATGTAAAATGGCTCCAGTACGACCGGTGGAGTAGAAACAAAAATCCACACGAACGAAATCCAATTTCACAACCTAAAAATCTACCAAATACATATGGTCGACCAACTTTCCCACAGTTTTGACAATGTCAAAGATAAATAGTAGATTGTAACGTACTCTTCTATTAAACTAAACTTTCCAAACTTCGTGTCAGTTCTACATTTAGGATCTTAAAATATGGTATTGACGATACTTCAGGAGTACCTAGAAATATTTGTACATTTTTGTTCAGATCAACAACTTTACTTTGAAGTCCTCAACTCGAATGAGCGCAAAAGTCTTTGCTGATATTTCTTCGTTTGTTGAATCTCACGTTGATAAGTTCGTGACAGAGCATGAAGTAGAATTTGATGAAAACGACATCGGTATTCTCAGTCAGAGTAATGGTTCTAAAAAGGTAGGCAATAAAGTAAATTAGAATGAGTAAATCAATCAATGAAAGCACTAGGCAAGATTTATACACTGAGCCGATAATACACAAGTTGACCGAAATTAATTTGGCGTAGTAAGCCCTCGCAAATATTAAAATTAAATGTAGGCGCCATAGTTTTCATCTTTAATTTCGAGTGCATGGCATTTTGAGAAGTCATGCAATATAATCTAAGATGTAACTTTGAGATATATAAGATTCAAATATTTTGACCAAATGATAAAACGCTTGCTTGTAATTTTGTCCATAGATGAGAATTCATCAAGTTTTGATAGGAGACAGCGTGTCAAACATTCTCTTTTCTCAACTTGGCGACGTTTGCTCAATATACGACGTTCGGATTTGCGACTTCTCCACTGTCGAGTTAGAAGCAATTCCATTGAGAAATTTTAGAATACACGCTAGGAACAGCAAAGTAAGTGGATGAACCAGTTTATTTGATTACCAACATATCTTCTGCATTTTTGCATATCTTTATGCCTATTGTGTTATTTCATACCAGTATGCTGAAAATATTTCAATTTTTTGAAAGGTATTTAATATACTGTAACATAGTCATCAGTGTCCGATGGGTATTTCACGTATCAAATAAATGCATAAAATGATCTGTAATTTATATGCTCTGTGGCAATATACTACATGTATATGCCAGTATTTGACAAATGTCTTTAATTTTTAGTTACAACTTAGGGCCAATAAACTCACATGGTATAAGGTTCAATCCTATGACAAAATTACGTTTCGGAAAGCATGATCTTAATTTTCTTATTCATGAAATTTATTATGAGGTTCTTTTAGCTCCAAATAGGCTTTGTATATGCGCCACCGATACATAACAATCTTTCATTATTGGAAGGAATTTTTTCAGTTTGGTGTCACCTACTAAATTCATTCGTTGGTGGTTGCGAGTTGTGGGGGATTGAACTGGAATAACTAATTACAACGCTTGGCGGTCTACACGTCTTACAGTCCTGAGTTATGCAGTTTGCGAGACATAAATCAACATTGGCAAAAAGTTGATTATTTGCATTTACATCACTCAGATTATTTGTGTTATGACCGAAATCTTTCGGTTCGGCATTTCAGACATTGAATAATATTGGAATTTGAATTTTTGATGGATGTGAAACCAGCGATGTCAACACGGTCAACTTAAACGTTTTTTTTCTCCATATTTCAAAAATAAAATAGATTTAAATGCTCAGTGCTACATATAAATAAAAAACGATCTAAACATAATAGATAAAGATTAATGATAGATAATAATAGTAATAAACATAGATTAGGTTGTGTAACGGAAATCGATTTAATTCGACACTGCGAAAATAACTCTAAACATGTACAGCAGCCACTGATACGCACAAATTAACACTGCAAAATGAATATTTATACTATCTCGTTATATGATGAAAACACCGATTTTTTTTGTCTACGAAATACTTTACTATCAACCAAGATATATAATGTATTTAAAACAAAACTTAATAATATACCAAAGTATTTCTATCTAGTTTAAGACATTTTTCATTAATTTGGGCGATGCGGGGGCTTTGGGTTTTAGTATATATTACTAAAAATGTTTATTGTTTAGAAATTAATAATATTCATTTAAACCCACTTAGCGTCCAGAAAAACGTATCATTGAGAGTGCAGACACTAATACTTTGATCTTTTAATTATCCCTGTTGTTTTATAGAAATGTTTCCGGAGTAATATTCGACTAATTCCTGATTTTACTGGAATATTATTAATATTTCTGCACCAAACGCCGATTATTTTATTATGCGTGTTTCAAACTTACAAAAACAAGGCTAATCGGTAAACACGCAATTGATATTATCGCAAATATAAATCGACTACTTTTGATTTGGTACTTACGCCGCAATTTGCTACAAGCCTGGTCGCTTGTTAACAACTGGGCCTTCAAACTCATACACAGTGTACACATGAATAAAGATGTATTTATATTCAGTTAAAAAAACTTGACGTCTCGTTCAACAATTCACTGGGAGTGGATGGAATTTCTGAAGTTGGATCGACTGTTTTACAATGTGAAGTGGAAAATGTTAATATGAGTGGATGTCGCCTGGCAGCAGATGCAATGAAAGCTTTCAAAAACAATACTCGCGGTGCCAAGGTGAAATTGCAATACTTGCAGATTAGTTATTCTGTCCTTATACTAGCGGGTTCGACATAGTAGAAAGTTATTTAGGTTAAGAAAAATTCCCAATGACTAAAATAGACTCGTGGAGTCTATAACATTAATAAATTAAGTATGATTTCCATTATGCAATGACGAATATTAGAATTAGAAAGTTCTACATATTTTCAGCAACGCGGGGAAATTTTGCTTGACCATTCCATATACGTACGGCTCTTAGATGTATAAAAAAGCACCTTATATATATATGTATATATTTTGTTGGAAAGGTATTTTTGAGTACTATACACCACGTTTCACTCTAAAACTGTGTATCAATGAGGTCTTTCGAAACGTCGAAAAATATCATCTATCGCATTCTGTCAGGTAATTGCCGCGTTATTTCTTGTTCACAACATATTTAAAACTTTATAAGAATAAATTTGATTTGATCCTTACACCGCAGTTCGCATTATAATCAAGAATAACTTTACCTGTATATACTGACTGTAAGCAATTTTTTGACTTTTCGCGATTGACAACATCTCTGTAAAAACTTGTACGTACGCGGAATTAATATTATTAGAATAATAGAATCTTTCGATTCGTCAACGCCTATCCAATTAAATTACATCCAGAGTGAGTTGGTGGCTATGGGATTTTCACGCGTATTCTCGGCTGGCCGCTTCAACAACTGGGCCATAAAACGCACACACAGTGTACACATGAATTAAGATGTATTTATATTCAGTTTAAGACACTGGACGTCTCGAACAACGAATTTCTGGGAGTGGATGGAATCTCTGAAGTTGGATCGACTGTTTTACAATGTGAAGTGGAAGATGTTTACATGAGCTGGTGCGCGCTGACAGCAGATGCAATGAAAGCTTTCAAAAACAATACTCGTGGTGCCAAGGTGAAATTGCGATACTTGTAGAAAATTTATTTTGTTCCTTTACTAGCGGGTCACAATAAGATAACAGGCACCGCGGTTCTGGTCAAAATGAAAGAAATATTGGATCTTAGATTCTGCAAATAAACAACGTATAAATCAATCAAATAGCGGGCATCAATTTTTATAGTCGTTTATAGCGTTTCAGTTGTTTATTAGAGATAGTTCTGCCCAATCGAACCTGTATAAAATACATAGAACTCGTTGTCGAACGAAAATCCGTTGTTTCATGAAATGAAAATATTTGCAAGACAGTTCTGAAGGATTTTTAAGAGTGATTCGCATTATGCAAAAACAAAGTCAAAAGTTATCCAAAGCAAAACACTACAGCTTGTGGTCATATCCAAAATTCCGCTAATTTGAGAACTGTGTTATTTTATTTGTGAGAATTAACATTATCGTATATAAACTATGGTGAATAATCAATTTATTCCTCATGTAACTGTAATGTTTCTCCTTGTAAAAAAAATCATATTGGTGCTATATAGTCACATATTGGTAACGATAACTACACATTTATACAAAGCTAAGAATAAATTTGCTAAAGCGTTTCATTTGCTTGATAGTAGCTTCTGCGCAACTGGAAACTAATCATCAAAAACATAAACATAGATAACGGAAATCGATCTAATTTTAAAGAAAAATATAAATTAATTCAAAAACAAATTTAAAAGACAAAAACATAAAGTCGTTGCAACGGAGAATTTTATTATCTAAATTCAAAATAACAGGCTATCAAAACAGAATAGTAGAGGCGTGATACCACAAAAATCGATAAAGAATCTCAACTAGCTAGACATAGGAGGTAATATTAACTTATTGGATCTCTATTTTACAAGATTATTATTAATATTTCTGCACCAAACGATTATTTTACTAGACGTGTTTTAAACTTCCACAACCAAGGCTAATCGGTAAATTAACAATTGAAATTATTGCAAATACAATTCGACGACTTTTGACTTGTTTTTCAATTTGCATTACAATAAAAAATACCTGCTAATATATGTATATACTTACAGTAAGCAATTATTTGACTTTTCGCGATTGTCAATATCCTGTGAAAACCTGTGAGGAGTTTTCCCACATCGATTCCAAAAAGACTCTGAACATGTATTTGTATTAATATCATTAGAAGAATAGAACCTTTTGATTTGTCAACAACTTTTCAATTCAATTACACCCTGAGTGAGATGGTGGCTATGGGATTGGGACCCGAGATCTTTATAAATCCTCTATAATACCGTTCACCTTCTAAGCCAACACAGCTTGGCTGGCCGCTTTAACAACTGGGCCATCGCACAGTGTACACTTTAATTAAATGCATTTATATCCAGTTCAAGACACTTGACGTCTCGTACAACGACTCACTGGGAGTGGATGGAATTTCGGAAGTTGGATCGACTGTTTTACAATGTGAAGTGGAAACTGTTGGCATGGCCGGGTGCGCACTAACAGCAGAAGCAATGAAAGCTTTCAAAAACAAAACTCGTGGTGCCAAGGTGAAATTGCCCTACTTTATTTTGTTCTTATACTAGCGGGTTACAATAAGCTAACGGTGTGGTCGTTTTAACGACTGTGCCATCGAACTCACACACAGTTTGCACATTAATTAGGATGTATTTATATTCAGTTAAAAAAACTTGACGTCTCGCACAACTTCACACTGGGAGTGGATGGAATTTCGGAAGTTGGATCGACTGTTTTACAATGTGAAGTGGAAGATGTTGACATGAGCAAGTGCGCGCTGACAGCAGATGCAATGAAAGCTTTCAAAAACAATACTCACGGTGCCAAGGTGAAATTGCGATACTTGTTGAAAATTTATTTTGCTCTTATACTAGCGGGTCACAATAAGCTAACGATGTGGTCGCTTTAACAACTTGGCCATCGAACGTACACACAGTGTACACATTAATTAAATGTATTTATATTCAGTTCAAGACACTTGACGTCTCGTATAACAGATCCCTGGGAGTGGATGGAATTTCTGAAGTTGGATCGACTGTTTTACAATGTGAAGTGGAAGATGTTGACATGAGATGGTGCAAGCTGACAGCAGATGCAATGAAAGCTTTCAAAAATAATACTCGTGGTGCCAAGGTGAAATTGCCCTACTTGTAGAAAATATATTTTGTTCTTATACTAGCGTTTCACAATAAGCTAACGGTGTGGTCGCTTTAACGACTGGGCCATCGAACGTACACACAGAGTACACAATAATTAAGATGTATTTATATTCAGTTCAAAAAACTTAACGTCTCGTACAACGACTCACTGGGAGTGGATGGAATTTCGGAAGTTGGATCGACTGTTTTACAATGTGAAGTGGAAAATGTTGACATGAGCAAGTGCGCGCTGACAGCAGATGCAATGAAAGCTTTCAAAAGCAATACTCGTTGTGCCAAGGTGAAATTGCGATACTTGAAGATTATTTATTCTGTTCTTATAATAGCGCGTCACTATAAGATAACGAGTCACTGCGGTTCTGGTCATATTGACAGAACAAAAACCCTTCAATTAGCCATTGAAATATTTCGCAGATAAACATATAAATCAATCAAATAGTAAGCATCTATCTCTATAGTCACACATAACAATGATAACCACTGGTATACTCTTATAATCCTGACAACAAAAGCGCATTATCAAAGCATTTCAGTTGTGTATTAGAGATAGTTCTGCGCGATCAAACCTGTATAATACATATAGAAGCCGTTGTCAAAAAAAACGTCGGTTCGAGGAATGAAATGTTTGCAAGACAGTTCTGAAGGATTTCCAAGAGTGAAATCGAATGTGCTAATATCCAAAATACCGCTAAGTAAAATCCCAAATATATTTGAGAACTGTGTTATTTTGTTTGTGAAAATTTCTATTATCGTAAATATACTATGGCGAATGATCCATTTATTCCTCATGTAACTGGAATGTTACAAATCCAAAGATGAACTTCCTAAAGCGTTTCATTCGCTTCTGCGCAACTGGAAACTAATAATAGACATAGATTATGTTGTGTAACGGATAGCGATTCAATTTTAAAGAAAAATAGCAACAAATTCATAAACCATTTTCCGGGACGAAAACATAACTGGAGGCAATCTTTTGACATTTGGGGAAGCAAAATACTGCGCCTGTGGTAATGTCTAGGGCTGAGCATTTTGAATCGAAATCGAATCGAATATTTGAATCGAAATTATTCGAATCGGTTCAGAGCAAAATTTCGAATCGTCGCCATCTTTTTGTCTCTTTCCGCCAATGGTCGAGGTAAATTGCTCAATTTATTTTTCATTGAAGCCATATATTTTGAACGCAATTATGACATGTGACTCTTTTCTGTAGTGAGTTATTGATAAAAACGTGTTTTTATTGTGTGTGAACGCTCAGTAATCTGCCTGAATAATTTATTCTATATTTTAGGTAATCTATGTGTCTGAAGGACCTAATACAATAAGAAAGTTACATACGATTTTATATCTCCATTTTATTACAAGTATTCGAGATTCGATTCGAAAAAAATATTCGATTCGATTCTGAAATCATCAGGTATTCGAAAATGCCCAGCCCTAGTGTTGTCCAAAATGAGAATGAGATGATATTCCACCAGACTAACTGCAACTGCACTAATATGTAATATATATAAGAGAAAATAAAATGAGGGAAATTGTGTTTATTCTGGCTTTTAATTATGGAGTGTTTAGTTTTCCAGAGATAATTATACAATACTTATTTACTTTATGTTGCAGATAAATAGACTAAATATCGCAGAAATTCCATACCATGATGCACATTATGGAAATGAAGAAATATCAACACTAACTGAAATCGTTCGTCAATGCCAGGTTGACATTTTGGTGGTAAAGTGTCATAGCATCAAAAGTATTATGTTTGAAAATTTCCAAAAAAATATTTCGGATGCCGGTGCTGATCTCGAGTTTGAATAAATTACATTTGACTGGCTGATTAAATTTAATCTATTCACGCTGACATTGTTTTAATCGTAGAGCAGTAACTTTTTGTCATTAGGTTGTTGATTTGCATTTGAAATAGATGTGAAATTTTGATCAATATACAGCAATCAGAATCAATCTTGTGCGAATTATATCAAGAGGACGGCTGGGCTCAAATATAGGGGAATCGATAGCAAGAGAAAGGATTTATATAAACACCACATAGTTTTCCAGGAAAAAGGTGATTTGCCCGGTACCGGGATGCAAAGGAGAAACCCCCAATAGACAGCGATAATAACCGAAAAAGCTATAGCTGAGAAAAATATGGTATTAACAGGTATATTTTAAAACTTGGTCTGCCTCTGTCGACGAGACCATAATAATTTATTCGAAAAGCCTCATTAGACAGCTCTTGCCACTTTCTGGGGAAAGTAATGGTATAATTTGGTATATTAAGTTTCATATTTCTTAGTTTGGCATAACAATATTTTGTTTATTGAACTTTACATGATGAACAATGGAAAAGAAGTTATTTTACTTTGCTAAAATTTCGGTAAAATTGTTTTCTCGCATTTTTGTCTCGATAAGATGAAAATTTTCTCTAATGGTCGAGATTGCTGGTTTGTGATTAGATCGACATAAATTCGTATCGTATATTAGCCACAGACAATTCTGAGCCTGAAAATAGTCGGTACCTTTAAAAATAACAGATTCCACAGAGCTTTTTTGCAGTGAATTGGCGTAAACGACCCATAAAATATTTGGCTTATAATTTGTGTCGTTATATATCTATTGCACGATAACACAAGTTCATCATTTTTTGTAATATCTTCCGTGATTTTCTGGTAATATAGCTAATTCTATTCGCCCATCCTTCAGTTACAATGTGGAGTCGGGATATTTGTTCCATAGCGAACAAAAAATTCTGCGAAATTTCGCAAGAGGAATGCAGTGATACCAAGCTTTTTGTTAAATGCATGCTGTTCTTTTTTTAAATCTTTACTGTTGGGAAATATGATGCGTAAACTACGACGACAACACAATTGAGTCAAACTTGTTAACCGCAGACATAACTTGATAGAATATATTGGGGGTGGGCAAAAATTTTTAGTATAAGAGCCGCAATGCAGCAAGTCAGAAATATGTGAGAGCCGCATAATAACAATATTAACTCGGTTTAAAACATCAAATAAAATAAATCTTACAGAGGTATTCTCATGGTCCTTACTGTTATATAAAATTAACGGCACTCCAGAAGTATGTGTACCAATATGGAGCAACTAATTTTGTTCGCCTACTTTACATCAAGTTGTGCAAAGGGACTGAAGACTATAAGCAGGGGGTTTATTCACTTGGATAGCACAGACAATCCCCGAACTCGTAATAGAACTAAAATAAGAAAATTTGGAATCTAATTATGGCCTAATCCTAACCTAGTACACTACGGGAGTACCCAACTAAAACCCTATATTATTTTGGAAGCGCCTTGCGTGCCAACAGATATCTATCGACACGAAACTAGAAAAGCATATTAAAAGAACTGCTATGACGGCGCAGTTTGCACTGCGACGGAGCCACTTTATAGACTCTTCTCTCAGAATACCTACCCAAATCCTTCAATTAATTCAACAGTCCACAAAATCAAATCGAATATACATGTCTGTAACGAATTTCAATATTAAGAATAAAGTTGTTAAGAAGCATTGAATATAAATTGCATACAATTATTATTAGCGAGAAAATATACAACATTCGGAACGATGTCTATGACGTCATCAATTTGTGACATCATCGAACGATATACCCATATAAGGCACATGGAAAGCAGCTTAAATTAAAGAATGCGTCGGCAGTAACTGTATTTATTTTGTGGCATGAAACAAGGATTGATTTTTACATTATAATGGACATAAAGGTTCCTATTATGTTCCATCAAAAATATGGCAATGGAATAATGACATCACAATGAGTCACGTCATGAATGAATCATAACGACGCTATAGCATATGATATCACAATGAGCGATGACGCCACAATGAGTAACTACAACAAGCTTCATTTTGAAACGAAACAATCAAATACTGCTCGTGATATGGATGAGAATAAAAAGGCGAAAATATAAAAATGTTTTTGCTGATGAATCGCCACAATTTTATCCAATAAATATTAGAAAAATTGTGATGAATCAAAGTTAGTTTGGAATAACTTCCTAGAAATAAGCAAGAGTTTCACCAAGACACAATAGCATGCGTGGTGTAACTTTGAAACAAACGAAAGGTCAAAATGATACCGATTAAAAAAGTAACACCCGCGATTCGAGAATCTCTAATGCGTGCCAAAATATCAATTCATTTCCTAAAAAATAAATTTATTTTTGTACATTGAACATTCAGTGTCGTTATTATTTATCCAATTATATATTTTCCTTATTTGTAAGCCTATCCCACTGAACAAGTCTGCGCATAAGAAGTATGTAACGATGTCTAAACCAGTTGTTTTCGAACTTTTTAAGCTGCGCTCCATTTTTAAAATTTGTCCATAACTAGCTAACAATAAACCATAATCAACATTTATTAAGGCGAACGTATGTTTCACACAAAAAAAATCTGAAAATTCATATATGGAACGTAAATATCCAAAATAAAAAATTTAAATATCCAGAAGACGGGCAAAATCAAATCCAACAATTAATTTTATTTAGCTTCCCCCCCCCCCTCAAAAATCGTCTACTGCCCCTCTTTAGGGACACGCCCAACCGTTTAAGAACCACCGGTCTAAAAGAACCGAATTTACTTCCCAATACCATAAGACTTAAGTCTAACGATTTGACCGTAAGACCATCGATCGGCAACATGCGAATTCGAAGCTACATGCAGCTGTTTGTTACCAAAACTCTGGCTCTCGGGAATCAGAATGGTTACAGAATTCTTTTGTTAGAAGCATTGTGATTTAATGAAAGGGTATACAGGGAATCCTCGGGTTAGGACGATCGCAACTTGCGCTGTTTCGAGGTTACGAACGCGCACTCCATAACGCTGTTTCGAGGTTACGAACGCGCACTCCGTAACGCTGTTTCAAGGTTACGAACACGCACTCCATAACGCTGTTTCAAGGTTACGAACGCGCACTCCATAACGCTGTTTCGAGGTTACAAACGCACTCCACACAAACATAAAAGTTAATACTGTACTGTAATATCTAAGTTCTTAAACTGGATCATTGTGATCAAGAAAATCATTGCTTTGAGCTCATTGGTTTTTGTCATTTACATCTAAAATGACGTGGACAATACAGTACGATATGTATAGAGTAATTTATGTACTGTACAGTATAATGTTCCGACTTACACTGAAATTCGGGTTACACCGCGTCTCGAAAACGGAACAACATCGTAAGTCGACGACTCCCTGTATTTACTTGCTAGGTTATCGTTATGCGGACAAAAACTTGCTCGCGTATCGCATGTAATACATAAATTAAAAAAATTTTGTTGTAATTTAATCGTTAAGGAGACAAATTTTGTTCTAATTTGTTATGTGAAAAAATGAATGCGTTGCGAGTTTGAAAAGTTTTGGGAAAGTGAAAGATATAACTTTGTTAAAAGAAATTAATAATTTTAGGATAATATTTTCCGCAAAAAAACGGGTTTTTAGTTCAAAACGTGAAAGAAAATCATAAAATATACAGAATTATTGAAAAACACCGCAAAAATGAAACTTGAAACAATGAAATCAGCAAAAATGGATAAATATTAAAAATTTAGTAAAATGAATATAATCAATAACATTCGGCAAATTGTATATTAAAATCAATCGCTTAAAATGTAACTAGTACCCATTAATGTCAGCTTTGCATTTATTTTTGAAAATGAGTGTAATCGGGTTTGTTAAACTCAAATGCTTCATCTGTCCTCTGTACCCATTGTTTTCAGCTTTGCACCAACATTTTGAACAACACTCGCTAACACATTGGAAAAAAGTAGAATTTAGAAAGCGTATCGATTAATGGGCAAATTTTATGTTGTAATCAAGCGCCCAAACTGTACTCTGTATGAGGTAATGTGAGCTTTGCACCAACATTTTAAACAACCCCCGCTAACACATTAGGAAAAAAGTAGAATCTAGAATAGAATGTGCAATTTGTACTCATAAATGTGAGCTTTTCACCTGTATTTTGGAAAATTGGCACTTGCTAAAACATTGTGGAAAAAAAAATAGAATTTAGTAAAAACTGATCAATTCATCGGCAAATTGTAGGTTGAAATGAATCCAATGGTAAACTTGTACACAACGCGCTTTGCACCAATGTTATAGAAAATAGTTGCATGCTAACGCACAGGGAAAACACAATATAGAGAATTAAACATAATTAATCTGAATGCTGTACTATTAATCTGTACTTTGAAAAATAGTCCCTTGCTAACATATAAGAGATGTAAAAAGGAAGGCTAATCATTATATTGGGGCAAGTTTAACATTAATATAAAATCAAATGTCTTATCCGTATCCAATGTGCATCGTACTTATATTTAAAAAAAAATACAATATGGGAAATTAATCACACTTAATTTGCATGCTGTATCATTAATCTGCGCTTTGCACCAGTATTTCAATAACAAGAAAGCTATGCTCAAATATATGGACACGTAGTTTCCACCACATAATTTTGATGACGTCATAGCAAAAAATAAAAGTAATAGCACTTTAGCAAAAAATATAATATTTACTCACTAAAAATTTCAAAGCAATTGGTCCAATAATCAAAGAGGAAAGCGATTTCTTTAAAACGTGTCAAAGAACAACAACATAATATTGAAACGATCGTCATGTTCACTACGTGTCAAAAAATAGTCCCTTGCTAACATATAAGAAAGGTCCAAATAGGAGAACTAATCAATTTATGAGCAAGGGTCATGTCATTATGAAATTGAATGTTTAACTTGTATCGAACGCAAATCGTACCTAATTTGAAAACATAAACGGTTGCTAGCACACTAGAAAAAAGAACTTTCACTGTCTCGTTTTTGCAAATATTTTAGGAATAAAAGTGAATGGTGACATGAAATTAAAATTTCAATAGGGCGACTCGGAATCCCCTGTTGAAATATAAAAAAAAGTTCTTTCTGTATCATACATTTTATGCAACTTGGAACGCTTTTTAGACGTCAGGCCGCTTGAAAAACCACATTTTTTGGCCTCCTACCGGAGAACCCCTGACCATATTCATCAAAGATGAATAGCATTTATAATTAAATATGTCAATGTTTCAAGCTGAATATTTTAAACTAGTTAAAATAGCGAAACGGATTATTTTTATAATATTAACTTTTTTACTTGGTTGTATTATTTTAAATGTAAGAAGAGAATAAAATATATTTAATATTGTAAAATAGGATGGCTTCAATTAACAATACAGATTTAATGTAATTATTATTATAGAACAATATAAAAGTATGCTTCATTATTACATCACAAGCATTATGAAGGAAATAAAAGATAACATTAGAAGATAGAGTGTGATATCACAATGGTTCTGACTTGGTACCGATTATGATTCACAATGCCAAATAATGTATAGTGCCAATTTATGAATAAAATGGTTAAAACTGGTTTCGATTCGATGTGAATTACCACATAAGTTAGACCAGGGTGGTTCAAACCCAGTCTCACGGACCGCATGTGGCATGCAGCTTCATTTTCAGTGTACATTTGCTGGAGAGTAATCGAAAATCGCATTTATCATTGTTTCGTCAGGAAATAGCCATATATGTTTGCACAATATAAGTGCTTGTTTTCTATTGCACTGTTTACCTATTTTTGGCACTATTGTGGCCCGCGAACAATGCAAAAAAAATTTTGCGTCCCCCGGAGTCGACAACCTTGGACCACGCTGAGTGAGACAGTAGGGTTAATTTATGGCAGTGCACCACATAATTATGAATTTTCATGATTTGAATGTGACCTTCTATTATTGCAAATGGTGTTATGAGACCCATACATCATAATTCTGGGTCGTATGGGAAATATAATAGGCCCAGCACATAGATCTGATAGATGGGCCCATGTGTCATACCACATATATTTAACCATCTTTTGGTCACATGGGGCAGCACATATATATCTTTTTTATCAAGATGTCGATTTAGCACATGTAGCACATGTGCCACATAAATCTTTTTTTTCACTATTGCAAATAATCTTATGTGGCTTGCCACATAATTCGAACTGCAGAGGTCACATATGCCATACCACATAAATTAAATTGATTCATGATTCCAATGTGGCTTAGCACACAATCCTGTGCCACATGTGATTTAACACATAAATCGAACTATCTTTTCACCATGTCAATGGGCCGTACTGTCCCTGTTTTATTCTGTTTTACCCATAATTCTCTGTCTTTCGCTGGATCAACTGCTTCTGTTTTTTGCTTCACGTTTTCGCTCGTCTGAAATTTAAGAAGAGAATTGATAAGACGGCTTAATCATACGACAAACCATGGACTCTAGCCTGGATATTGATGGAATAATTAACAGACTTACGCTCGCACATGATATAAACACTAGATATACCACAATTAGATTGCGATACTTATCTCATGGAAAGAAAAAAGCCAATTCACTTAATCATATAAAGACATAACCAACCACACCGGGTAAGGTATGGAAATAGCGACCATCCAAACATTTTTCACATGAATACATGAAATCCAAAATCTGCTCATAAGTAAATGAATAATTTGCCATAGCCTCACTCACTCCAATTTTAAACCCATTGATCCACCAATCACCACCACCCATCCACCAATTTAAAATCCAAAAAATGCACCTATTCAGTTTAATTCAAACATAAAAAACAACAAGATGGCAGTTATTTAAAAATTTCGCGTGGACCGATTTGAATAATTTACTATTCAATCCAAAATTTTCAGCCTTACTTTAGCAAAGCTTTGTTTAGAGCAATGGTGGGCAAAGTTTTCCGACCAAGGGCCAAAAATTTTGCCCACCTAAACTGGCGGGCCATGTATGCATGACGTAGGAAATTATTTTATGAAGAATACTAACAATGCTACAAAAGCAATAGCATCGTGCCAAAACTATATATAATCGCAACTTCAACATATTCCTTGGGCTATTTTAGCTGAAACATTAAAATTTGGTTTTAGTTTGGTTTAGGCAGGAGGGCCAGATTGAATCACTCAATGGGCCGGATTTGGCCTGCAGGCCATAGATTGCCCATATCAGGTTTAGAGTGAAAGACATAAAAAGGCAACAAGTAAGTTTGTGAATGATCTACCTTTTTAGTTTTACTTGAAACATCTTGTAGTAATTTGACATAATTATCAAGTTGTGTTTTCACTAAATTAATTCTTTCCACTTCTTTCTTTTCCAAGACTAATGTTGACGTCACCATTTCTTCAAACCAATGATCTTTAGCTGTGTTGTATAATGAGATTGCTTGCCCTAGGTCTTCTCCTGAAAGAACAAAAAGTAAAATGAGAAGCAGAGAATATAAAGCAGGAGTGGACACGATTTATGGACCAGGAGTCAAACGTTTGGTACTCCCGAAGTATGTGAACCAAGATGGCGGACACCGATATGTAGTATGTGTACCAGGTTTGGGTTAGGGCAGAGGTTCCCGAACCAGGGGTCGCGACCCCAAATTTGGTCAGAGTGATAAATAGATAGGGTCGCAAACAGTTCATGGGGTCGGTGGGGTCGTTGAGGTATGGTAGAGGATGGATGTACAAATCATCTAAGATTTGACAAACCATGTTAAATTTAGCAGTTTGTACCATGGCTTACTGTAAAACAGGCCCATAGGCATTGCTCTATGCTTATGCTATAGAAAATATACGTGCTTATTGTGACATCACCATTTGGTTTTAGCTTATTTTACTTAATACCAGCACATGACCAAACTCAAAAGTCCAGTGAAAGAAGCTCTAAAGTTTCATGAAAAATATATATATTGACTTGGGGTCGCACTGGACAATTGAAAGTTGTCCTTGGGGTCGTCCTGAAAAAAGCTTGGGAACCCCTGGGTTAGGGCATGATTTCAGGTACAAATACTACAGGAGTCACTTGACTAGTCCTCGATCTTGAAATAGAATTAAAATAAAGGAAATCGTAATAAAATTATGGCCCAACTCTAACCGGGTACACATACTACAATCCGATGTCTGCCATCTTAGTTCACATACTTCGAGAGTACAAAAAAATTTGCCCACCTAGACCGACGGGCCTTATAAGTGTGACGAATAAAGTTACCGTTCATTCTTTGAACAAAATTTACAGTGTTAGAAAAGCAAGGCCCACAGATTTTGGGACCAGGAGCCAGAAAATTTTGCCAACCTAGACTGGCCATGTAAGTGTGACATAAAAAGTGACATTTTATGAACATCATTTACAGCAGGGGTCGGCAACTTACGGCCCGCGGGCCGGATCCGGCCTTTGTGGAGTAATGAAATCTGGCCCGCGCTGCTTCACTGAATTATAGTAACAAAACAGCTGTTTTGACGATAGACGACAGAATTTATTGTGAGACATGTGTAGACTAAATTATATTATAACCTAACAAGTATATAATTCACAATTACTCGTTTAATGAGCCTATAATTTAATAATAATTAGATAAATGGTAACAAAACGCAGAAAATTTGATGTTAAGTGCAAAGGGTTTAATGGCGCAGAAATATATTCAAATGGAATTTTTTGAGATGCAATGCAATGAGGAAATAGATATATATTCTATTCGAGAGATGCATCACTGCTTGATTTTTATTATAAGATGTACCATCCGTTAGGTTTTCAACTTTCTAAAAATATGTGCGGCCCGCCAATGACTTGCAACCCTTAATTTTGGCCGCGAGCGACAAAAGGTTGCCGACTGTTGATTTACAGTACTACAAAAGCAAGGTCCTAGATCTGCTCCTGAAGAAACAAAAATGGTCATGTAACGGTCACGTAACGAGCTTTTTTGAGTGAATGGTAAAGCCTCAAATTAAAGTGAAATAGACTCATCTCTGAGGAAATTTATAGAAATGGCAATTGCTTCGTGCCCTCACTCAAAAGCGAATACTCATCTCTGAGCAAAGTTATGGGCACTCACATAAAAGTAAAGCAAACTATAATGAGATTTCTTGCTCTAGATTTTCCCTGAGGAATAAGAGAGTTAAAGGATGAGGAGTAGAGTGTTAGCATGACATAAATAATTACATTTTATGAACAATATTTACGGTGTTACAAAAGCAAAAGTGGAAAACAACGAACCTCGTGCACGAACCAAATTAAAATCTCAATAAATTCCTTGAAATATTTTTTAGCTAAAATATCAAAATTCAGTTTAAGTTTGGTTGTGGTAGCATCAGGCGGGCCAGATTGAATTACCCAACGATTCGACCCGCAGGTCGTAGTTTGCTCATGTCCAGGTAAAAAGCAGAGTTCTGTCTATTCGCTCAAATGCAAATGGGACTCATCTCTGATCAAAGTTGCAGCTGGCCACGAAAATGTCAAAATATGCTTGCTCAGACCCCCATGCTCTCCCCCCTACTGGGGTTGTAGAATATAGAATATAAACCAGTGGTTCTCAAACAGCAGGGCGAGCCTCACAGAAGATGGGGGTGTAAGCAAAAGAGACATGAAGCTAATTAAAAATAAGAACAATTGTTAGATTTGATTTTGTCCGCATTATTTTGGATATCTACATTTCTTTTTGAAAAAATATGCATTGCATCCACGTATTTTCATCATGTTCTTTAAATAAAACATACTTTCGCTTTATTGTCTGTCATCTGTAGCTTATTGTTAGCTAGTTATTTTTGACGTGGGGCAGAGGACTTGACAAATTCTAAAAAAGGGGCACAGTTTAAAAAGTTGGAGAACCACTGATGTAGACAAATCCAAACTAGATTCAGGTCATTTAAAATATTATATTCATCAGCAGCTGCTTATACATTCTGGACAAGAAGCCCATAACATAGCTGAAAACGGCGCTATGGAAGTGTGTGTACCAATATGGAGGTAACTAATTTTGCTCGCCTACTTTATATCAAGTTGTGTGAAGGGACTGAAACCTATGAGCAGGGGATATATATATTCACTTGGCTAACACAGACAGTCCCCGAACTCGTAATAGAACTTAAATAGGGAAAATCGGAATAAAATTATGATCTAATCCTAACCTGGTACACATACTAGGGTATACTACATACACCGGCTTAATCATCAATGTCTTTCGTTAAGCTAACAGCCATGTTAGGCATACCTAACAAGTTCAATATCCCTCAGTTGTTAAATTAAACTTACTTTGTTTTGTTGACTTTCTTTTAGCTTTATAACATCTTCATCCTGAAATGGAAAAAATTATTTTGGTGTTATGAATTTTTATTAAATTCACAAATCTTTATTTAAGGCTTATGGCCATAGTTCATTTAGAATTCTATCTAAATTATCAATGAACTTAACCTAGTGGTTTTCAAACTTTTTAGAATTTGTCCAATTTCGTTGCCTGACCTCAAAAATAACAGCTCACATAGGCTTACAAGTAACAGATAGTAAGACGACGGCATGTATTAGCACAAAAATACATTGAAATATGTGTACATAAGAAAGAAATGTAAACAATAAGAATTGTGAATATCCAAAATAAGGCGGGCGAGATCAAATCTAACAAATATTATTTATAATTAGCTCCACCCCTAAAAAAATTGGGGGCTCCCGAAGTATGCGAACCAAGATTGGCGGACATCGGAATGTAATATGTTACTAGGTTAGGTTAGGCCATAATTAGGTATAAATACTACGGGAGGCTCTTGGCTAGTCTTCGAACTGATAATAGGACTAAAATAAGGAAAATTGGAAAAAAATTATCGCCTAACCCTAACCTGTTACCCAAGTTACGTTCCGATGTCCGCCATCTTGGTTCGCATACTTCGGGTGCACCAAAAATTATCTACGCCTCTCTTGTAGGCGTACCCCACCGTTTTAACCACTGACTTAAACATTACTAGCCTACATACGCAGCGCTATATTAATTTCAGAACATTGACACAAGACCATACTGAAGAAATAGTCAGAAATAAATATCCAGAATTATATAGGACGTGGAGTGGATCCTTTGCTAGGCGGTTGTTGTTCTTCATGTTTCTGGAGCGATAGATACTCTGATCATGCACTTACCTTTTTAGGTGATTGCAATTTCATTTCTAAATCTTTCTGTCGTTCATTCATTGTGATTTTTTCTCGCTCGACTGCTTGATGTCTGAACAAAAGAGCAAGTTTTGAAATACAAGATGAGATAATATCAATGAGGCTGTATTAAAAATTCCTGCTTGTTTCTGCAAATAACCTAAAATAGGATGTTCATTTAACGATTTAATGAAAGTTTCAAATCTCAGAGTCATATTTATTCATTTCACCGTTGTTTGTAAAATCTACTATGACTCGAATTGCCATTTTGTTTTTTTGTCTGCCAAAAATATTCGATTTGATTCTGAAATCATGAGGTATCCAAAAATGCCTAATATGGAGCAGACCTTAACTCAGTTTCTGAAAGCCTAAGTCAACCAATGCAAGTCACAAGATGGGACAGTTCTACCTATTTATCCCAGAGGGATGGAATCCAATAAAACAGCTTGATCATATATCGAACCACGGTCTCTCGTCCGGTTACCAGTCTATAAAAAAATTGTAAATACAGCTTCGTAAACCATCTACCTATGTGTTAGTTGCTTCCTGAATTCATTCATTGAAGTTTCCATTCTTTTATTTTCCTTCTTCCCGTCATCTTTGTATTCAGCAAGAGGTTTCTCTATTTCAGTCCGCAACTAGAAAATGAGATTCAAAAGTGAAAATCATAAAAAAAGTAAAAATTATTCAAGGACGAATTATTTATCAACAATGCAAAAAAAATAATCCAATCTCTCACCTTAGTTGCAAAATCTTTATGAATTTTTGATTCTTGTAGTAATGAACCTTTTACTTGTTTCCAGGCTTCACTAAGAGTTCTGAAAATTTCAAGTGGAATTTATATAAATATGAGTTTGACAAATAAAGGTAGATCAATCTTTTTTGTAATTCACTGACAGCGATATCAAGATGCATATCATCAAGTCAATTTTTACCTTCTCACATCTCAGGGACCATATGGGGAATCTACTATGAGGAAGCACAGCACAGGGACTTTACCAGTAGCAAAATTGGTGGCTTTGCATCAATGTTCCCTCTAATTTTTTGAGTATGTGTGCGCAAAAGTTTTGGTGGGTGCGCACTTTTTTGGAAATGACTAATATTTGTGCAAAAACCAATGAAGAAATTTTGGCGTTCTAACCGGGTAATGGGTGGGCCAACAACAAACTTTCTCAACCTGCCAACCGAGAACATTGTTACATTACATCGAAATACGTCTGTGCGCAGTAAATCTATGCGTGTGCGCAGCCTCTGAAAGCTGCGCACACGCGCACACTTTAGAGGGAACACTGCTTTGCATAGTGATTTCCTCATTAATACTTCTAACAAGAGTGCTACTGTGATTCCCAGAAAATAAGATATAACTCAGAAGTGGGCCAAGGTTCTGGGACCAAGAGCCAAAAAATTTTTGCCCACCTAGACTGCAGGCCATGTAAGTGTGACTGTAAAAAAGTTACATTTTATGAAACTAATATTTACAGTGCATACAACAGCAAAAGTTGAAAAAACAATAAGCATTTGGTCATTCCGAATTTAATTGGCAATTCTAACAATGTCAATTCCAGCCTGGAATTTAAAAAAGATTTAATTACCAAGCCCTCCCGTTAAATATATAGATATAGTCGATATTCGCGCGTTATTTATGAGTAAATGAATATCTGCTATCATATTTGGTTTATTTGAAAATCTCGTACTCTAATTTTGTTTTTGATAAAAGACACCCCCAAAAATAGGCCCTAGTGTTATTTTTCAAAAGAAAATTGAAATAAGACAATGTCTTATTTTCGGGGAAACATGGTAGTACATCCAAATTAGTACCAAATTAAACTTAAATATATACCAAAAGAAAAGATGAAATGAAAATCAGAAAATGAAATGCTACGTCCCACTTGACTGATTTAGAATTAGCATGATAACATAAATACTTAACTAAAATCATGACATATTAATAAAAAAAAAGATCTTACCCTTCTTCTGTTGCTGCATATATTTCTGATGATAATAATGCAAGCCCTTTCGATACTGCATTTCAAGTGCTTCCTGCGATAGAATCAATAATATTACAAAAATTTTCATATCAAAAATTTGGTGCGAGCTTCTTTTAAAAAAAGAATGAAAATCTCAGGGAAAAAAATCTGCACTAAGTATTCATCAACTGAACAACCAATTATTAATCAGACCAGTGGTTCTCAACCTGTGGTACGCGTACCACTAGCGGTACGCGGAAGCTTTTCAAGTGGTACGCGAGCAGATTCAAATTATTGCAACAATTAACCTTTCAGTTGGCTAAAGTATGCCGGCAACGCTTTATCTTCCTTACTGTATGTATTCGCTGAACAGCGTCTATGGATGTTTACCCATCAAGCATCAGTTTACTTGTTTATTTCCGTAACTGTAACCAATCAGCAATGAGTCGATAATGACGCAACACGTAACAATTGCAATTTCTGCACCCAGCCGCCCAGACACTTCTGTCGCCCAAAGAAATATTCGATCATGGTTGCAAACATTGCCTCGTTTTTGTAGTTTTGAGTGAATTCGTCAGTTTTCAGTTGTGTTTCAAAAAAATAATTGTGAATAAATTAACTTAATTGTAATTGTGTCTTCCGGGGAGCTACACCTTTGTATATCAGTACCTGCAAACGGCACATGGTTGATTAATTTTAATAAAAATGATGGTTTCAAACACGTAAACCAGTTTCTATGCGCCCTCACATCAAAACACTCTCAGAATAAGTATAAAGTTTGCAATAGTAAAGTGTAGGGGTAATTTTTTTTTTAAAAAGGTTGAGAACCACTGAATTAGACAGACGGTGGAAAATGTTCTAAATTTTCTGGTCTGATAGTCGCCCATTATGTGAGATACAATAATGATAGAATAGAGTGAGTCAGCTGTCCAAGTCATTAGTTCCAGTCCTACTTGAGAATACGCAAGATCAAATTTATTTGATAAGGTAGGTTATCAATACAAAGTGTTGAGATTTAGGCAAGGTCTAAGCATAATAATAACTCCAAGATGCTTTCAAGAATGCCTTTCAAGTTGCTTAGTTTGCAGTAACTATAATCATATTTACAAAACTTATAATGAAATATTTCCACCGCAACTTGAAAAATCGGTACTCCCGTAGTGTGTGTACCAGGTCAGGGTTAGGCATTCCTTATTTTGGTTCTATTACGAGTCTGGGAACTGTCTGTGTTAGCCAAGTAAATATACCCCCTGCCCATAGGCTTCCGTCCCTTCACACAACTTGATGGAAAGTAGGCATACAGAATCATTTACCTCCATATTGGTACACACACTTCTGCACCAAAAAATATGAAATTTTTGTAGAGGAGTACAAAAATACTGCAAGAATTTACTTGAAGATTCTCACCTGGCTTTAAATAATTCCGACATTTCTTTACAAAGGTGTTTCCCTTTTTGTTGTTTAGCAAGTATAACTGAGAAACCAGATTCATATACATGCTTGTCGCCTTTGTCTCTCTGGAAGTAAAAAAAGGGAAAATCAGTGAAAACTGAGAAAGTAATAAGGCATTATGCCGGGATTGTGAAATAGAAAAATTTACAACTGACGCAGACTCTGGAAATATAGGATGAAAAACATTTTGACGCCAATTCGCGGACCCGAAATAGGAAAGGTTTAAACCATGTTCAAAAGTATTAAATTTTGGTTACAGACAACTGTAAAAATATGTTAAATTCTGACTTCTGGCATATTCGTGCATCTTTGACCAGACAGCTAAGAAGAAAAAACTTGACTTCCTTTATAAACGTTGATTATCGAAAGTCTGAAACTTTGACTGACTCCGGTAAAAATATGCTAATCTCTGACTCCTGACACCACAAAACCAAACTATATTCACTAGAAAAAATCCAGTATTCAAAGAATCCAAGGACACATGCAATAAAATGTGAAAAAATTCATTAGACTCACCCAGAAATAGTCACAATAACTATATCTTCCTGGCTGTAATAATTCTTGTTCTTTCGCTCTTTTAGCATCAGGAAGGCAGACTCCATTGACCTAAAGATAAAACATAAAGTCCTATAGAAATGTGAATTCAAATTAGGTCTAGTAGAAATTATTATGTCATTCATGTCACAGGAATTAGACTATGCGAGGGCCAGGAATGAATATAACTAAGATTGTGTGGCGCATCGTGCTACGCGTTGGGAGTAAGTTGGCCACCGCACCTCTGATGACCCTGTATGACTTCGCAGGTTCGAATTCAGTGGGAGATGAATATGTGCAAAAGGATTGCTGGACTCATCGCCGTAGGGTGGTTCCCATAACCGCTGTTTGGTTACGGCTTCCTCTACTGCCAAGTCTCCATGTATCTGGAAACAAATAACTGGCTAACTAATCCCATACCCGAAATGGATTGGTAACCAGACGAAAGGCCGTGGTTCGCCATATTATTAAACCCTCCTATTGGTTTCCTGTCCCTCGAGATAAATATGTAAACCCCATCACCGAATCTTGAAAAAAAACACTTCGAGCACAAACTTTCTTAATTTCGACTGAACATTTTTGGACTTCAGCGAAAGTATGAAATCAGATCTCTAGGGATTTTAATTTTAAACTGAGACTCCTGAAGAATGGGAAATGCAACTCTAAACTTCAGGGGCCTTTTGTAACTTACGTTAATTAAGATTAGAAATTCAGAAATTCAACGTCAAAAGATCCAAAATATCTCACCACATAACAGACTGGTTTTTCTTCAGTATTTTCTTTCTTCACAGGACCAGGACTTGTGGGAGGAGACTGGAAGAAAAATGAAGTTAGACAATAAAAGAATTAAAACAAAAGATTTAAAAAATTTTAAATACAGTTAGAGATGAAAATAGAGATTCCCCTAATAACTATTTGAACAACCTTGTCTGTAGAGGATATTGACGTATTCATTGTTATCTTCAAATAACATATATAGTTTAAATCTTTGTTATTACTTATCGATCTTAAGATCGGTAAATATGTTGATTTGTCTGTTTGTTTGTTTGTCTGTCTGTCTGTTAGATACACGCGATATCTCACGAAAGCGAGGTTGATTCTGCTTCAAATTTTGCATGTGCATTTATCATATCTCGGATCAGAAGCCTATTGATTTTGGATGAATTATGTCGTATAATTAGCGAGTTATCAATTAATTAGTGATGGGACACCCAGTGTCACTATGGAGTAAGAGCGCATGAATCGAAACCGCAGTTTTGTTTTGGGGGATTCCCTAACTTTCGATCGATAAGTCTTCGGTCTCCGACCGATATTCTCGTTATTATCTGTTATACTATTTTAAGGGTGCCACTGCTTGATAACCTATATGGGTTTTCCCCTCGTCCTGAAACACATTTTTCATATTTATTGTAATTTTTTGTTTATCCAGTGTGTTTTCAATATAATGAAAAAAAAAATTACTGATTTCTATCGGCTTGTAATATAATTGATGAGTTTTATAAGCTTACTAATTCTGTTGTAATAAATAATACATCCTATCCTTCATGTCATAATGGATTAAAAACTTCATTCACTCAAGGACAATTGCACCAATTGAAGTTTCAAAATATTGAGTGTGTAATGGGCAGGTTCAGCGGTTCCCAGCCCAGAGCAGTTGGAGGGGTCACAATGCTGAATGCAAAACTGACTTTACTTTACTTTTCACTTTACAATAAAACTTCTTCCCAATTTCTTTGCTTGATGAGGTGATTTCACAGAGTGTTTTCATTTTCTATGCGTGAATTGTTTGAACATAATGGGATTTGGAATCTACCAATCAAAATAACTCAAAGTATATCACTCAAAAGTATATATACCACTAGAAATAGAAACAGGGGCGGCATGAGCTAAAAAATAAAAGGCCATGAGTGTTAAAGGCCTCCAGAAGGAAGCCCACGAGACATGGAAGGTTGGGACCAGATAAAGGTTGTGAGGAACATAAAATGCCATAAAAAAAACTTCCAAACTTTGAGCTTTTAAAAACTTACATTTCCAGGTGATGAAGCGTCTGAAAGACCTCTTGAATGTGTTCTCTGACCATCTGAAAATATATATTCCTTGTTAGAAATTTATTTCACAATATTGCTAACTATAAGGCTGTGAAGAACAACAAAATTGATGGCTTGAGAGATCAAGATTCAGTCACAAGAAAGCAATGCTCAAATACATGGACACAAGGGTCACAAAAGCTATATAAAATGCTCCTATAAATAAATAATAAATGTTGCCATGAATTAAAATAAAACTAAATAATAGACCATGTAAACAAGGGAAAAAAATCGAAAAAATGAAAGTAATAGACTGCCTTAGAAGTTGTGGAAAAAGGGGATTTCTTCAGAATGACAAATACGCCAAGATTCCCAAAAAATTAAAAAGCAAAACCATTTAGCAAAATGAGGCATATGTAGGCTACACTCGATGTGTGATAATCCTCTGACTAAGAGTGGAATTGTGATGTGTGACTTAAACTTTATTCTGTGATACCATAATTCGACAGTAAAAAATGTGATTTGAAAAAATGATGAAGTAGATTTAATCATTTAAAATTCTATTTCCCAAACAACAAAGTCCAAATTTAAACTAATCTGTTAAGAAATGCTGAATCAGAATAAATAATTCCAAAAGATAATAGCTCCTAGATATCAGAGGATGCCTCATTCATAGAAAAATACATAATACTGAATAAGTACTGTAAAAAATAGAGTGTCTATAAAGTCCCTCTACAATTTAAATTTGTTATGAAGTCAGTTCTCAATAAATCTCAACCAGGTTTTTTTTTTTTAATCTGTAATTGTTGAAGTATTTTTACCGGTACTTCATTTTATACATCTGTGAGGGCCAAAAAAATATATGGTAACGATAAATTCTCTTCGCAATCTTAAAAAAAGTTTAAGATTTTATGGGCACCTTATATATTGAGTATCTGTGCCACATACTATATACATTCCACAGAAATAGTTTAAAATTAGCAACAAACCAGCACCTAACTGAACTTAAAAATGCCCTAAGGCGAAAAGTCTATGCATATATTTCACTAGACCTTAGCAAGGTATGAAGACAATTTTATCGTTAGGCAATAATCTATCGGAATTATGGGTCTTACTGATGCAATATAGGGATGTTTGAAATGGGGACTTTTATTTCCCTGGCAAAGATATACAGGGTGTCCATAAAGTCCCTTTACAATTTCAATTTTGTTATGAAGTCAGTTCTTATACTTCTCAATATATCTTAATCTTAACCAGATTTGTTGTTTTTTAATCAGTAATTGTTCAAGTATTTTTTCTTCATTTAATATTCAATACCGGTATATGGTATCGATAACTTTTTATTTAAATCAATTAAAAAAAAATTCAATACTTTATGGACACCATATACATAGAAATAGGCCCAGGCAATTATGTCCACAATTAAACAAATATCCGAATACGTCTAAAATTGGTTACATTCAATTTATCAAAATTTCATTTTAGGAATAGTATAAAATATTTTTCATTTTAAAAAAATAATTACATATGTAACTTGATCAAATATACGAATACGTTTGTAATTAATTTTATATGCAATATATTAAATTTTTGTCATTTTGAAAAATTCATCACACCAAGATTTGACATTTGATGGATCAGGCAGAGAATGGACTTCATTGAATTTCTGACAATGTGAAAATTAAGATCAATCAAGGCAATGTTTATATTGATCTCAATTTTTTTTGAATTATTAAATTCAGTTTTAATCAATTTATAATGATATATGAAACATTTCTGCATTGGATATGACTACAATATCCAAAAACATTATTCTAGAACAGGGGTGGACAATTACTATTCGAGTGGGCCAGCTACAGATTATAGACTTGGTTACTGGGAATTAAACAACGGATTATTGACAGTTCAATAAGAGCTAGGCCTACAAACAAATTACACCATGTTTACTTATAGTCTCTATGTATATAGCAAGCTGTTCTAAACAACATTATAAAATTATTTTCATCAATATTTTCAACGGAAATTCATATACATAATAACTATACTCGTAATTTGAGCACATACGAGTGGGCCGGATGAAACAAACCGGCGGGCCGTAATTGCCATTCCTGTTCTAGAATGTAGATCATTCCGTTTTAGCCTCCCCTGATCTTTAGAGGAAGCCATAACCACCTTGGCTATGACGAAACTATTACACTGTGATATTTAATTTGTACCCTAGACTGATTTATGCTTTGTGTGCAATATATAAAATTTGCAATCTTGCAAAATATACCATGTTTACTTAAAGGCTATATATAATCCAATATTCTAAACACATTCTGAAATAATGTGTAGGGTGTTCACAAAGTCTTGTTACAATTTCAAAGTTTTGATATGGAGTCAGTTCTCGATATATCCTGACCAGATTCGTTTCATTTTAATCAGAGTTTTTTTAATTGTTATTTACATCAACAAAAACACTTTTATATTTGCACCATTAGTCGCACAAAGCGCATCAAGTTCCCCTACCTTATTTGATATAATGACTTATTAATGGACACCATTGTCATGTTGAATTGCCTTAAAAAAGTACATCTTAGTCTTAATGTGCAGTGACAGTCCTAGAACACAAATTGTCTTTTTTTATGGTTATTAATTTCAGTATTTTTTTTTTATTTTGGTGTAGTCATCTTTATTTTTGCTACAGCATTCTTGCATCATATGCATACCAATCCATTATCGAAAAAACACAGAGTAAAAAGAAATATCATAAATACAAAACCCCGAATAGCTTATTAAAATAAGTTTTAGCTAAAGATAATATTATCTCGCTGGGAAAGGTCGTACTACATCTCAGGTTACAACAATATACTTGTAGTATTTCTGCATGGCTGCACTTAACAGTATTTATGGATAAACACAGAGTATGGTTTGGTCAGATATGAAAAATGTACACCGGTTATTCCCTGCAAACTAAATACTAATAGGCCTGTTTGAAATTGGCTGTATTTTAAGTAGATATAGGAAGAATTTTGGGTACTCCCGTAGTATGTGTACCAGGTTAGGGTTAGGCCATAATTTTATTCCAATTTTAGTGTTAGCCGAGAGAATTTCCCTCTGCGCTCTGCCCATAGGTTTCAGTTCCTTTACACAACTTGATGTAAAGTAGGTGAACAAAATTAGTCATCTCTATATTGGTACACATACTTCCGAAGCGCCGAATTTTGAATAGTTATTAAAACTTTATTAATCGTTATAAGCATTTGAAATCTAATGGTCAGACATAAAATATACTTTATTAAACTCAATTTATCCCATTTTGTCTGAAAAAGGAAAATATGAATTTACTATTCGTGTTATTTCGTGAAAATAGATAGAATATGTGATTCATTTGCACGAAATTATTCCATGCCTATTTTAATTAACTTCTTCCAATTTGTTTCTAAAATTATCTCAGCCACACAAAATTTGAGCATTTCATAGAAGCAATCGACCGAAGCCCAGTTATTTAATTTTCATTCATCAAAGTCAAATATTTACAGACCTATCCAAACAAATAAATTCCTTATGTTTAAGGTTTCACAAAGCAGAGAAATGAAGATTAAACTAGGCAAATAAATAATAATAACTGTCCGATGAACTGGACTGACCCGCGTCTTTATTGAAAGATGGATAATACTGGGTGTCCATAAAGCCCCTTTACAATTTCAATTTTGTTATAAAGTCAGTTCTCAATATATCTTAACCAGGTTTGCTGTTTTTTTCAAGTAATTGTAAAGTATTTTTACTTCATTTAATACATCAATGAAGGCCAACACCATATATGGTATCGATAAATTCCCTCTGCAATTTCAAAAAATTTTAGGACTTTATGGACAACCTATATAACGATCCTACGGACTAGCAAATATTATATTGGTTAGATTTTGTAAGAGCATAGCTCAACTTCCTAAGACAAAAGCATTAGACTATAATCTATCAAAATCACTCAAATATACCTGATATTTGGTATAAACAAATATTCTAGTTCAAGTTATTTATTCAGAATAACTATTTTAACCCCTGGGCCTGGACCCAAGTCAGATTTTCCTGACACTGTGTAACCATATTGGCCATTTAAACTATGTGTCTTGCTCTTGTTTCCAAATAAGAAGCTCCAGAAGTATGAGTACCAATATGGAGATACCTAATTTAGTTCGTCTATTTTAAATCAATTTGTGTAAAGGGACTGGAATCTATGGACAGGGGGATATTAACTTGGCTAACACAGACAGTCCCCGAGCTAGTAATAAAACTAAAACAAGGAAAATTGGAATAAAATTATGGCCCAACCCTAACCTGGTACACATACTTCAAGAGTATCTTTTAATATCACCCTAATACTATACTGTTCAAGCATCTTTGTGGCATTTCGACACACAGATCTGAAGTTATGGAGCAAACAAGGAGAAAGGACTTCAATACACAACAAATAACCCAATAACATTTGACATGTCATTTCCACTTTTGCTCTTTAAACACTGTATATATTGTTCATAAAATGTCACTTTTTACGTCACACTTACATGGCCCGCCAGTCTAGGTGGGCAAAATCTTTGGCCCCTGGTTCAAAAACCTTGCCCACCCCTGCTATAACCTCTGACCCAAGGCCAGTTAGATTTGCAAGTCCTTCTTCTTTGTTTACTTCCTGCTTCTATAGATAATGAGTAAAAATTAGAGGCTTATGAACTTACTGTATACTCTGATGCTATTCGGACTTTTTATACTTTTATCTTTTTCACCAGAGTATCTAGCTGCCGGCCGTACCCATGTCGTTTCTGAAAAAAAAATATTCAATAGTATAGATATAGTCTAGAATGAATAATTATATATATTTTAGAACGAATTAGATTATGCTTTATAATGTCAATATGGTATAAAAAGTTCCCTTTACATCTCATTGAAACAAACATTCCAGAATTGTCCAAAAACATGTTTGGTTTCATTCATTTGTTTAATAATACGTTATATGTCATCAGCCTTTTTGCAAAACACATCTAATGTTGAATCACATTGGAAAATTCAAGAAATATAGTGACAGGACGATACGTTATTTATGAGGGGTTTTCAGATTTTTCAATTCTCCTCATTAAAATTGATCAACGCTCACATCTGAACCACAAAAAAGCAAATTTTAACAGGTAAACAATAATTCAGAGCATTTCGGAATCATCCAAAATAACTTAATCTGAATTATTTCAGCATTTCAATTTAACCTGAGCATGAGAAGCACTTTCTGTCTAACGCAGAGGTGGGCAAAGTTTTTAAACTAGGGCCCAAAAATTGTGCCCAACTAGTCTGGCGGGCCACGCAAGTGTGACGTAAAAAGTTACATTTTATGAACAATATTTACAGTGTTACAAAAGCAATGGTGAGAAACAATAAGGTTCGTACAAAAACTAAATTTAAGCGGAATCTCAACAAATTCCTTGAGCTATTTTTAGCTAAAACATCTAAATTTGGTTTCAGTTTGGTTGTGGCATAATCAGGCGGGCCAGATTGAATTAACCAACGGGCCGTACTTTGCCCATTTCTGCTCTGACCACTTGAAATACATATGATAAAACATAGCTATTGATGGGGTTTGCAAATTATCTCTGGTCCATCTATCAATTATCTTTGATATTAAAAAAATTCCACAGTTCTCAAATAAAGTTTTTTTAAATCTGGGATCAAGTGAAACTGTTTTCTTTTGACTTAGTGGACAATTGAATTGCGGACACCTGCTGGTCTCATGTTGAGGAAATAATATAAGCACCACTACAGCTTCATAAAATCACAATGCTGTATCCACAAAATATTCAAAATAAAATTCTGTTGTATTTTCAAAGTTTCAAATAATTGTATTCTATGGATGAATTGATAAACCAATGCATAAGTTGAAAATGGAGAAAATGTTTAAAGAAACTTATGATATTTTAAATAGGAATAAAAACTTTCTCAAAATATCAAAAACATTCCTAATTCTTTTAAATTTTTAAAAGTTGCCTAATATGTTAATTTCATAGTCAACTGAAAATTTAATCATCAATATGGATACAAAAGCTTCCACTAATATTCTTCCAAAGCTGCAGCTTCCAACCAAGGGACAAGGCTCACCAAGAGGGTACAGTTGACGAGGGATCACAATACTAGACGCAAAACTGATTTTACTTTTTTACTCTTTACAAGAAAAATTTCGTGTTCTTCCTATTTTCATTGCTTGATAAGGTTATTTCACAGGGTGTTTTGACTTTGTTGAGCATGAATTGTTTGAACATAATGGGATTCGAATCTATCGATCAAAGTAACTCTATAAATAACACTGGAATGACAAACAGGGGCCGGAAGTGCTAAAGATTATGGAAGTGGGGCCATAAAAGGTAGCTTTAATTAAGTAATCTGACAGTTTTCAGTCGTCAAAAAATTGTCAAAGTTATCAAAACTACATTTCCTGCTTGGACTGATTTTAAATGTCTAAATGCATTTGCAACTGCACAATTTAAAATGTTAGGGCTTTAACCAAGTAGGGCTAAACTTTAAATAGCTGCTTTGAGAAATGAGGCAAATGTAGATTTTAGATTATTAAATTCCTTTTTATTTACATTCTTTGATAAATATTGCTTCTAGAATTATATACCAGCTTTAGGATCACATCTTTCAACTTTGGTAAAAACTTTAAAATTTCAACATTCCCTATTTTGATTATCAGAAGACTAATTCCCAATCCTTCCTTGTACTATGGATCCGTATGTGTATAATGCAAGAATGCTGTAGCAGGAATAAAAATAAATAAAAATTGCATAGTTCGCTAGTTTGTCTTGAAAACTCTGGAATTTATTTTGTTCCTTACCTTTAGTTTTCTTGAAATAATAGTATGTTCTCCCATCTGGTGTTTTGGCTTCTCTCCATCCTGGGGGGAGGGGCCCTGGAGGAGGGGGGGAGGGAGGGCTCTCTTCTGGTGGTGGGGGTGATGGGAGCTGAAAAAAAAAATATATTCAATATATTGGGAATGTGATAAAAACTACAATCAGGGGTACTCTTGAAATATTGTGAACCAAGATGGCAGACAGCGTAACAAAGGATGTGTACCAGATTAGAGTTAGGCCATAATTTGGACCTCCCGAAGTATGCGCACCAAGATGGCGCACAACCTGAACTCATGTTGTGTACTAGGTTAGAGTTCAGGTTATGCGACATCTTGGTGCGCATACTTCAGGAGTACCCATAATTTTATTTCCTTATTTTAGTTCTGTTACGAGTTCGGGGACTAGCCAAGCGACTCTCGTAGTATTTCTACCTGAAATTATGGCCTAACCCTAACCTAGTACACATACTACGTTCCGGTCGCATATTACAGGAGTACCCAAATTTTTGACAAGGTGAATATGATGATATATTGATCTTAACGATATCTGAAAAGCCGTTTTCAAAGATTTAAAAATATTCTGTATTCCTCCTGAAATCAAGAATTGAATAATTGGAATATAACCAGGAACAAAAGTATTCGAATATATGATTCGTTTTTGATATCCTATGTGAACACCAAAATGAAAATACACTTGAATAGGCCCATAAGTTCCATTCTATTTTTTCTAAAATGATGCGAATGATTTACTTGATGAGAACAGAAAACGGAAAAAAAACATGGAAATGGCATTTTACGATGAAGGGCGACACAAAGAAACCAATTTTGGTTATTGAGCAGCGACACCCGCGGTAGAAGTCTAACTTTGATCAGGTTGGATAAAGAGTAGTCGAAAGACATATAATTGAAAAGATTAAATGCCCAAAAAAAGAACTCTGTTAAAAAAAAGAGACTCCGGACACCGGCAAGGACCAGCCAGATAACTATGGCTAACAACATAAAAGCACACAGCAGATTGAGTACAGTATCATAGATTCATAGTCATAGTGGTGAGAGCGGACTCAAGTGTGTTGGCATAAGAGGTTATGGAACTTAAAGTTTAAACCTAATGTTAATGAATGTATTCCAATATTTGATCTGTTTTGACGGTCAATGTAATCACTACACATCGTGCCATCTCATGGTAGCAAAGTATGTTTACTTACTATATTTTAACCAGCCTTTTCACAATTAATAAGGAGAAATAATATCAAATATGTCTAGACAGTTTACAACACAGTCAAGAGAAAGTACATAAGTCAAAATGTTTCTATGTATACCAGTGGCCATGGCCAACACACCGGTCGTGATCGGCCGAATAATCACCATATGTTGAGTGTCAATCGTGTCGCCACGCCTGAGAATTTGTATCATTGTATCACATTATTTATTATCCCTTTATATATATATCCCCAAATGAGACTCCTTGGAAAGGAACTTGATTGAATCATTTTATCAGCTTTCCTCACTCTTGAAATGAATATGAAAATTCTACTTAGGTAACTAAATCTAAAAATACCTATTGACATCATGATGAAGTCATAAAGCTCAGACAGGTTGCCCCAGGCAACTAATTAAGTCACAATGATGATGTATAACAGCTTATTAATGAATCAATCAATAAAAATAGAATCTTTATATTTGTTTTATATAGTGCTCAGACATTTGCTCTGAACGAGGCTATGCAGAAGCAGAAACTGACAATTAAGATATGTATCTTGAATGAAAAGAATCTTTAAGATTATAATTAAATAAGAAATCGTATCTCCCTAAAAATCGGATATTGATACCAGTGACTGCTAGTTCTGCTGGTTCTTAACGAATGGCATGAATAAACGTTGTATAAAAGAATTAATATAAATATGAAACCAACATCAGGGTCAGACACGTATTCAAACTCTATTCAAAGACTCAGATTGAGATTAACGTTCGTATCAGAAACCAAACATGTTTATCTTGATAATATTAATGCCAGCAGTAACCTTTCTTAAACATTACCTAACCGAGGTCCCCGTTGCTTAAACTTACAATATGAGATGCACACGGGTGTAATCAACGTAGCCTAGTCTCGGACCTCGATCTCTCTTTCAGTTTGGTTATTTATATTCAAGCGGCGGCGTTCGTTCAACAATAGAGACCAACAGAGCGTAACGTTGTAAACATTGTTCGTTAAGAATAAATTGAGTTTTATGAAAAATATAATAAAAATAAAGACAAAAAAACTCACCGGCTTTTCTCTCACATAAGCTGCAGGAAACCATCCTCTTTGACCATCCTCTTTCTCACCCTCCCACCATCCATTGACATGCTTCTTAATAACAGAGATTATTTCCCCGGATTCAAATATAAGAGGTGATGGCTGTAAAAGAAAGCATACATTTACATAATGATAGATATATTGTCCAAATTGTCATTGAAGTCTTAGGGCTGACATAGGAAGGTTAGAAGTAGTGATGAAGTTATGGTCCCGACTCCCAACTTCCTTAGAAAGCTAGTACAGTGCTTTTCAACCTTTTTGTTATCGTGGAACCCCTGATATGATTTTTCGATTTTTATGGAACCCCAATTAACGGAATTAAAAAAAAAAATACTCATAACACGAAATATTTGTAATTCAAATATTTCTACTTCAACAATGAAACAGAAAGAAGGTATCAAGCGTGAAATTCAATGACTAGGTTGTTCTTGCATTTTCTTTGCAATCTTCTTGAATTCTCATACTCATGTCTACACTCTTTAAACAACTTCGCAACGACGCATCAACATGCTGAAGCAAGAAATTTTTCCCCCTCAAAAAAAATGCGGAACCCCTAAGGAACCCTATAAACTGACGGAACCCCACTGCATGTATTGTGGAACCCCTGTTGAAGAGCACTGAGCTAGTAGGCTGCCATATAGGGACGAAAACATGGGTCTCAGTCAACATTTGAATGGCCTCCTCCATAGAGGTTACCATATAGACAACAGGATTGGAATAGAGATGGGTTTTTGAATTTATCTGAAAGAAACGATCAAAGGGGTTGTTTCGTGATATGTAAGCAAACCAGCATGTATGTCATTCAGCAATTTTCAGTATTTACCAGTAATGCGTTTAGTGTTGTGGAATAGGCCCATAAGTTCCAATCTATTTTTTCTAAAAGCGAATCGCATATATTTTGAGTCAATATGAAATTTGATTTGTATATTTCTCACAACAACGAAGATGTGGGCCATTTTGAGAGAAAAAAGTGCCTTAAGAGTACAATCAAACAGGTTTGTTAGTAGTTGGAACGATTTTAAGGCAAATTCGCCGCAGGAAATTTCGGCGCATAGAAATAATCACCGCATGAAAAATTGCCTTATTTAAAAAAGATTCGTTATTTTAAGAGCATACCATAACTCTATAACTCTAACTGTTCTAATCACAAATACTTGTTTTACAGCGAAATGCTCTTGTGATTTTTCCTATGCGGAAAAATTTCCTGTGGCAAGATTTTCCACGCGAAATTTTTGGACACGAGTTAGAACAGCTCAAGCACTTTTAATGGATTTTCCAAAATCCAATTTCATTCGAAGATATGCAATCTATAAGAAATTGGCTCAGAGCATAAAAATCAGATATTTTGTAAATCACAACAATTTTGGAGTCTAGTGTAGTTTCGTACCTCAAGTACTTCTGGTGGGCGAAGCATAATAATTTTTGCATATGCTGATCCTAACTCCCAACTGACTGCGTCATTCAGAAATTATGTCACTATGATGTCACAATGACATAATAAGGTCCTTCAAACTAAATGAACTGTCATCCAAGACGCGTTAACGATCACCCAAAATTGAGCAAGCTATTTCTCTCTTTTTCACGTTGCAACGAACCCGATATGAGAGAGATCACTGCTGTTAATAAGTTCTTTATCATCGGCGCAGATGCCATTTCGGGCAATCGTAGGTATAATTTGGCAAGATCTATGATGTGATTGTGATGTCGTAGTGACGTAATTTTCCGATGGCATAGTCAGGTGGGAATTAGGATTGACATGTCTAAAAATGCTACGCCCACTGGAAGTACTCGAGGTACAAGACCCCAATTTTGAGATCTTATTTTTCGGGTTAAGATTTCACTACAATGAAATTTTTGATTAGATTGACAAAAAAAGTGCCAGCTGAACTCTTCAACATTGGTCCCCAACTTTTTTGGCTTGTGGCCCCCTTCCGAAGGCTTTTAGCTCTCATGCCCCCGTTTATCAATCCAGTTAATATTGTTATTCTGATTGCTAGATAGAACTAGGATGAACGGTAGGTTTTCTTGTAATGGGAAAAGTAAAACAAGTTTTGTGCCTAGCATTGTGACTCCTCTCCAGCTACCCTATGCCCATCTTGATGGGCCACTGGCCCCTGGTTGGGATACCGTTGCTCTTGAATCTTATTTATATTTTAATTTAATCATTGCTCATTTTACTGTTTTAACATGTACCGTACTTTGTGGAAAATTAAGGTACCATTCTGTTATTGCACTATCTAACTTGTGTTACTGCTGTACTGTGTTATGAGGAAAGTAAGGTAAAATAAAAAATAAAAAGTAGTGATGGGCAATACACATGTACAGCAATAACAGAAAAATAACAAGTTAAAACCCAATTTAAACTATATACAGCCATACCAGTAATTAAAAAAACAAAACAGTCAGTAATTACCTGTCCTTCAGTTCCTTTGAACGGATACAGAGCCTCGCAAACGGTTTGCGACATGGCCGATCTTCTTTTAATTCCGTATCATATATCCAACTTTTCAGTCTCAAATGACTTAATTAAATTAATTCTATAATGATCGCCGCGGGTGACGAGAGAGCACGTAAATAGCGGAAACTTTGGTCTAAATTAAGCAATAAAACAAGAGGCACGCGCCGTCACCTATAACAATGAGTTATAAGCTCTCGTAAAACTGTAAAATGACTTTTATCATACACCTGCACGCTGTGAATTATTTTTCTTTCTAAGCGTATTTTAAGTAAACTGCATAGATTAATTGCATGCCCGTATTCGTGACATGCAAAGCATTCTTACGTGACAAAACTGCTAGTATTTTCAGTTTTTAGGATGTAAAAATACTTGAATTGTCACGAAATATGTCGTGGAAAATCTTCCACGGAAATCACGGCTACTTGACGAGAAAAGCAACGACAGACGTCGAGTAAACAAATGCCCACAGACGAGGTGACGTAAAATGTAATTTTACTGCTCTATAGCGCCAAAACGCGGATACAGATTAAAATTAATGTTTTCGTTTTCGCAGTTCTTGCATAGAATATTGGGTAATCGGTAGTTCATTTCTTCGCCATAATGAAAATTTATCTTATACAAACAGAATATAAAAAATAACATAAAATAGCATTAGAAGCTTTAAAATTCATTTGTACACAGATTATTATTTGTCCGAAGATTGTTGTTTCATCTGAATTTTATTCTACACGAAACGGTAAACACGGTATTTGTATGTTTACTTTAAACCATTGTTTCTACAAACATATCTATCGGGCATCCACATTTTAAATTTAGAAATCTTCGTTGGGTCAGTAAACTCAGATATGAGGTCTATATTTTGGCTGGATCAAAGGCTTATCAACCAAGGGGCCTCGATGAATGTTTCTAGAGATTCTAGAGATTTCTAGAGACTATTTGTTTTATATTAGCAACTTTCTTGGCACAATGGCTCGGCGGTGTGGCGCATAGCGCAAAGCGTTAGGAATACGCTCGCCATCGCATCGCTGATTACTCTGCGTGGGTTCGCAAGTGCGGAGATAATTATGTGCGACCGACGAGATTTGATTAGAACGTCTTATAGGCTCTCCTCCTCCAAGATAACTATGTGAATCTCTAATTTAAGCTCTTTGATAATGGTAGTTGAGAAATATGAAATCGAAACCTCGAGAAGCGTCGAGTAGAACTAGCGAAAATACCGCACAGTGGTTTTAATAAAAGATATATCTGAATCTGAATCTATACAAAATTCGAGTTGACGATTGCCTGGAATGATTATTTGATTATTCTTAAGTCGACTTATACTTTTTCGTTATTGACTTGTCTGATTGTATGCCTGCGAAATAATTACAGTTGTGTGTCATCGATTAGTCGCGCTAGAGATGTTTATTTATTATTTTTATTTCCATAGCCATGTAAACAAGATGGAAAGAAGTTGATATACGCATGCGATAAACATATTCAGGCTCGATGGTTACCCCATAGGACTAAGTGTTACCAATACTATTATATTTGCAGCGCTGAAAACCCCATGTCGTCTCTTCAGAATATATCATTTGGTAGGGGAACTAGGGATGTTTCCCCGGGCATTCATTTCCTTTTTTATTTCCGTAACAATTAGAAATCGGCAAGTTAAAAATGACGTGGGAATTTATGCCGCCGCTCAGACACTTCTTTCGCTCAGACAGATATTCAAGAGTATTTGTGAACATTGCATCTTTTAGATAAGTTGGCGTCCTATTTTTCAGTTTTAAGTTCTGTTTCTAAAAATAGTGGTGAATGAAATAACCTAATTGTCATTGTGCCTTCTGCGGACTTTTGGTTTAGTCATAGCAATCAAAAATTGATACAGCTAACGCTGCTATAAATTAGCCTAAAATTAGCTATCAGTACCTATAAGTGGTACATGATTTATTACTTGCTGGCTGTTTGACTGAGAATGCTACGCGCTGTGTGTTTCGGTATTTACTGTTGGATTTGTATCGCGTAATACCAACATGAGCTAGGCCCATCCACCGGGATTAAAGAAGTTTATGGATAAAAGATGGAATTTAAAGTTAAATGGTGGACGGTCTGTTATGGGTGTTTTGCGAGGTTTTGATTTTTTTATGAATCTGGAAAATCCGAGACCCATGCACCTGTTGGAATGGTGGTTGATCGTGGAAACTCAATATTAATGTTGGAAGCATTGGAACGGATACAATGATTTTAAATCGATCTAATCGAAAACGACGAAAGTACCCGATACCCCAATCCGTGATTTTGCATAGACTGTTATGAAACATTCAATCTATTTACAAAGCTTGTTTATTTAGTAACAATTTTTTGTTACTGTGTTATTTTTGTAGAGAAATTGAACTACAACATCACCATTTCACGTCGACGAGTGTTTTTTATTCCATATTTTCATAGAAAAAGCACTGTAGTGTATTTATTAATTGGGACCCACCGAGTGTTTATGTTTACACAAGTTTGATGCCCGAACGATACTCGTTCGTGTCTTTGTCTTTTTTATTTTGAATATATGTTTGTGTGTTAAATGTGGGTTGTATATGCATGTATATCTACAAAGATTTTGCCAGTTTTCCCTATTTTCTCTTCTTCTGTGTGTTCATTGTTTGTGTTTCGTGTATGATTTTTTTGCGGGAAAATCTAAATATACTCATACTTTGAATAAAAAATGATAGTTTTGAATGCGTGAATCTGTTTGTAAGCGCCAACTCTCCTGAACACTCTCAAAATCAGCGATGAAAATGTTGCATTGATGAAGTATATATATATGATTCCATTACAAAAAATCGTTTTGTCGGCAGTTGACAATATCGTTATAATTCAAAGTATGAGTCGAAAGGTTGCATATATCATACTACATAAAATGCCAGAAAACTGAGCGCAAAATATTTAGATCATCTGAAAATAAATTTGTTTTAGTGACGTTTTATTCCAAATGGATGATAACTGCACGCAAACTCGCGAAATTGTCATTTTCCCCCTTATTCAAGTACCCAAGATTGTGTTTGTAGCAATCTTGAACTTTTCATCTTATTTAACCCATCTTTAAAAATAGGTACAGTAATCACATTTTCGTAATATATTCACTTAGGCGCATTCTTCATACCAGGTCAAAGGTTATTGAAATATGTTTAGTCATGTTTCCATGAATAGACAATTTTGCAAAGGAATGTGGGGAGCAAGCGTCAGTATCGCCATGGTTATATCGCGTTGTGGAATATCAGAGGCGATAATATTTATGATTCTTTTCAAGTGGCATTCATATAAATAAACATGTCTATTTAATCGATATAGCAGGCTTGATTTTATGTCAAAGGGCCATTTAAACATATAACAAAGGCGGTCTCGCGAGTCCTGCCTTTATTACATTCTTTGAGTAAAATTATACCCGGCCTTTTGTCTGACTTTAATTGTTAGCTAAAGCGCCTTGTCGGCGAAGGAAGTCGGCATATATCTGGAGGCTGAATATCATATGTTTATGATTAAAATTGTATCAAATGGGAATGTTTTTATGTAATTATGAAACATGTTAAAGGTTGGACTAAATGACCTTGCGAGCCATAATTTTTCCGACTTCTTACTTGTGAGAGCTAGCACCATTTTACAGTTGAAGTCTATCTAAGTGGGTATATTTAACAAAAAAGAGATTTTGTAGCAGATAAAGGGATATATTTGCAGATGACCTGTATATTGATTATATTTCTTTGAAAGTTTAAGATTTGGTCAGAGTCAGGAAAGAGTATGCACGTTTTAAAGATTTAGAATGCTATCGTTACCAAACAATTAATGGGCTTCTAATATGTTTATCTGGAAAATCTTAGTTTTCTGTTTTGCAAAAATGACTCCAACTCCCTGATTAACGAAAATTTTGACACAGACTGGTTGACTTTGATAAAATTGTTTGTCATGCGCAAATCATTTTTAATCAGACTGCTTAAAATGAAATTCCTAAAGAATATTATTAACAATGCCTATTTAACTCTAAATGTATTTTGAGTTTCAGGGAAATATTTTGAAGTCAGGAATTTTCCATTTTGGAGAGTATAAAAAATGCAACTCTGACATCAAGACATACATGCCAATCTTCAACTCTGCAGCTGTGATTGCAAGTCAATGCAGCACGGCCAATCAGAACAATTTTACTCCAATTACTTACTCACTATATCATTCCTATTTTCCAGAATAAATATGACCGATTTGATAGTAAATATGTCAGCTGGAGTTTCAAACGAAGAAATTTGTAATTTTGCTTACGACGGACAACAAGCTTTGCTGCAATACAGAATATCACAGAAGCCACAGTTTGTCAATATTAAGGTGACTTCTCATTTTCATTACTTATCGATCTTAAGATTGGTAAGTATATTGATAGGTATTTGTCTGTATGTCTGTCTGTCTGTCTGTGTGTGTGTCTGTTAGATGCACGCGATATCTCACGAAAGCGAGATTGAATCTGCTCCAGATTTTGCATGTGCATTAATCTTATCTCGGACCAGAAGCCTATTGATTTTGGGCGAATTATGTCGTATAATTAGCGAGTTATCAATCAATTATTGATATAGTGATCTAGATTTTTGTAAAGCGAGAGAATTTTGAAACCCGCCGAGTGTGTGTGTGCGATGCGCAGTGCGCAAGTTACAAGAGCGGATGAATCGGAACTGCAGTTTCTGTTTTGGGGGATCCCCTAACTATCGATCGATAAGTCTTCGGTTTCCAACCGATATTCTCGTTTTATATTTTAATTGGTAAAGATGATTCAAGATTCTTGCAGTACACGCATATATTATGTCAGGGGTTCTCAATGTTTTGGTGTTACTATTGTTTACGGAACCCCACAATAAATTTATAAAAATAAAAAAAAACACATTGTTATTTACCGATTATTGCTCCTGAGTAAACTAAAATTACTTTATTTAATGATTCGAATGTATTTGCTGCCTAATTTTAAAAAAAAATATACCTCTGAGTTTTTCTCACAGAGCCCTGGGGCTTCGTTTGGTTCACTTCAAGAACCTATGTATTATGTTACGTTTCATTTGACCAGAATCAAATTCCTTCCTACAAACATATTTTAGTTGTTTAGTTACTTATATTTTTATTATATATTTCTGTGTTTACCAGATAAATTCGCACAAGCCACTGTAAATATATAGGAATTAAATTTGGTAGAATAGTAGCGATGAACATCATTTTGATTAGTTTTCGTTTTTACAGTGTCAAAAGTAAGCCATAATAAATTCATGTTAATATTCTGTTAAACTCTTTCTTGAACCAAGAATCACTTATGAATGCAATTGACCCGAATTTGTTTGAATATCCAATAATATGCTTTGGGCATTTCGGACTGTCACTCATCATATACATCTGATAAGTATCAGAATAGCTAATTAATAGTACCAGTATGAGTGACAATTATTGCTTTTTTATTAAGCTATATCTTGTTTTGTCTGAAGAAATTAGACTATGATTTAACGAAAGCTCACAATTATACTTGCCATTTCGTTGGAAGGGATTATGTTATTCTTATTTAATAATAGTACCAGCTAAGAATTATTAGGTTTTCCAAATGATTAATTCATTTTATCCTTTCCTTCAGAATAAATATAAAAAATCTTTTCCTATTTTAGGACCAGACAGAAAGAACGCCACTACACTGGGCAACGTCTGCTGGGAAGCGAGACATTGCTGATTTCCTGTTGGACAATGGAGCTGATGTGAATGCAAAGGATGACAGTGATTGGTCAGCTCTTCACATTGCTTCGTCCAATGGGAATGAAGAGATCGCTTTTGCACTGATGTCAAGAGGTGCTGCGATAAATGCAAGAAACTCAACAGGACAGACTCCTTTGCATTATGCTGCATCGAGAGATCGGTAATTTTGTTACTCAAAATTTACTTCGTGTACCATTTGGGTTTTTATTATAGGCAATATAAATGAAAGAGGGTTTTTTTTCAATAAATAATTTATAAAGATATACAGTAATACTAAACAAAATGCCCCATATGCTCAAGTAGTTGGTCAATAAAATGGGTCTGGTTTGAGAATAAGAATGTGGAACGAATGGTAATGAACATGGCATTTTTGATTTCTTTCATTAATTTATGATTTAAACAAGCCACAAAAAGCAGTTATTCAATGTTCTAAGCTACAGTGGCTCTTATATAATGGATTCTATTTCACTATCAAGAGTTTTATTTAAAGATAATAGAGACTATTCCTTGTGTAACAAATGAAAAACTCGTGCATTTATTGAGCATCTTTGAGTGAAGGTATCGGATCTTAATACCAGTGACAATTTATTCAGAATGTATTTGAGGAGACATAAAACCCACTTTGCTTCCATCTTTTTGCCTGTCACACTCTCATGTAATAGAATTCTTTGTGACTTGGGGTATCCTGCTCATCTCAACTTTCTTTTACCTAGGATCATGTATGAAAAATTATTCCATTCTGACATGATATTTGCTTTTCCAGATACAAAATTGCAGAGGGTTTACTCGCCCGCGGAGCTGAAACAGACGTAGCGGATCATCTCCACGCAACACCGTTACATCGAGCTGCTTCGCGGGGGAACACTAAGATGGTGAAGCTACTACTTGCATACAACACAAATTACAATTGTACAGATTCAGAGGGTAACACTGCTCTACATTTAGCTTGCGAAGAGGATCGTGTCGACATAGCACAAACACTCATCTCAGCTGGCGCTGATACTACAATTCGTAATAAAAATGATAAAACGCCAATAAGCCTGGCATCAGACACGACACGCGGTATACTCAGGCGTGTAAGAGAAGCGTGAATAAATACTATGCGTGTACCCTTTAATTCCGGTAGTCCTAATCGACTTTTGATACTTCCTAAATTGGTCATTTTTTCTCATTAAAATACGCTAGAAACGCAACTTATGTACCGTTGGAAAGGATTAGTTAGTCTCTTTTTCATTAGGGAGAAAAAGATAACTGGCTTTCTTAGTTGTGTCTCATGGGTCTGTCAATAAATACGCCAGGGTGGTCCAAACCCAGGTCTGCGGGCCACATGTGGCCCGCTGCTTCATTATCTGTGACCCGGGTCTCTTCTGGAGAGGAATCAAAAATTCGTGTGTTTCGTCATAAAATCAACCAAAAAATCTTTTGACATATTGTTGCATCACTGAATTGACTAGTGTTATGGCTTGCTGAGGCAACTAGCGAAGTTCTTGGCACTATTGTGGCCCGCGAACAATGCAAAAGTAATTTTGTGGCTCGTGGAGCTAGCAATCCTGGACCACCCTGAAATAGGCACTTCGGGATAAAACTGAAAGAACTCTGAAAAACTTTTGAGTCTTGACATCCAAAAACCTTTCATGACCTAGGACAGTGGTTTCCAACTTTTCACGGCTTGCATCCCCATTTCTGGAGACTTTTAGCACCTGTTTATCATTTCAGTGGTATTTATAGTGTTATTTTGATTGGTAGATTCCAAATCCCCCATAATGTTCAAACAATTCATGCTCAACAAAGTGAACCCCCCAGTTCTGACTTAGGATGAATGCGGTCTCTGAATCAGACTTCTTTAAGATACAGGGTTAATAAGAGTGTGTGGCTTCCTACCTTGAACTTAATTCCACCCAACACAGTGTTCCAATTTCACTATATGTTATATATACTATACTAGTTAGAACTAGTTAGAATGATTGATGCAGCCAGCTGGTTTTGGGGACAATTCCCATGTCACAAGGATGGTTTTACCATTCTAAATATATTCTGAAATAATATTTCCAAACATTAAATTTTCTCTAAATTAGGATTTGTATAAACTATTGTAAATCCATAGAAAATAAATTTGATAAGATCGAAAATTTGATTAATGTTTTATTTTAGTCAAATATACCTAATTTGGAATTGATTTGGATATTGGACATCCCTGCACAAGGCACAATTCAACAACAAATATTAAAGATTAATGACTGTTCTTTCACTTTTAAATGATATTGACACATCATGGTTCTCGATTTTACTTTTAGTCACTTTTGCGTTAATTTTTAGAAACATTTCAACCCATTTATTGAAACCGTGAATCCCCCTCTGGATGAGTATATCTTGTTTTCTGTCACTTAATAACTTTTTCTATGCCCGCACCTAAGAAGCAGTAGCTACATAGCATTGCCCACATATTATGTAGATAGATATGTATTCTTTAGAAGCCGTACCATATATTGGAATATTTTTTTTTGTATTGCTTTTGAAGTTCTAGTGATCAGTTACCATGGGCAACCACTATTGGGTGCAAATTTTGTCAAACATGTATTCAAAAAAATTTCACCTTTGGACATTCTTGAAATGCTCATTTTCTAGTGTAAACATTCAATATTTTGGTCATAATTTGAATCCATGCATAAAGCACTGGTTAACTATTCCCAAGATAGATATGTATTCTTTAAGTCCCATAGCATATATTGGAATATAAATGTTTTGTGTTGCTTTTGAAGTTTTCGTAATCAGTCAACTCAAGTGTGAGCCATTAACTTGGGCAATCACTATTGGGAGCAAATTTTGTCCAACATGCATTTAAAGATATTTCATCTATGGACATTCTTTGGTACGACATCTTGAAATGCTGTGCATTCCTATGATTTTTTAGTGTAAACATTCAAAATGGTGATCATAATTTGAGTCCATGCATAAAGCACTGGTTACCCGACAAAAGGCCATGGTTCACCATATAATAAACCTGTCTCATCAACTTTTTTTCCCTTGCTTATGCTTAAATATTGAAATCTCATCCTAGCTAATAAAGTATTCCACTACTTAGAGCAGGGCTTCAAACTTTTTTCCGCCGTGAACCCTTACATTTTTATTTAAAGTTGGACCCCCAAGTGTTTATTGGAAATATCCAAGCTAAATCACTTGCTATCTTAATAGAATTATAAGATAAAGTGTACTCAGTACTCAATATTATATTCTTTTTGGACAGGAAGGTATGTCTGTGTACCCATGGGGTTCCCCAACCCCGTTTGGAGGCCCTGACTTAGAGATACCAGCAATTTCTTATAGAAAATGATAACAATAGTGTTTGGAAAAGCCAAAAAAAAAGAAGTTTGAATTCATGGCTACGGACTGAGAAAAATTAGATTACAAGCTTCGCTACTTTTCCATTTATAAGTGCTGATAATTTGTAATTGATTGGTACTCCTAGAGTTGCAAGAAAAAGATATCCATAGGTCTGCTTCGTCGCTAAAAAGGCAATAAATCGTGCAATTTCTGGATAATCTTGCCTATTTATCCCACACAACGCACATTCACAATTGCACAAGTTTCACTAGTTTATGTGTGTACAATGTATCAGGTCAACATTGCTTATTAAAATAGAATTCAGATTATTGTTGTGTGTTTTGCTTTACTGAACTAAATGGGCAAGGCAGTCATTGTAGAAGCATTATGATATTGCTCGAAGGGGCCCATGAAAAGAAACTAATCCATTTTACACTGTATGAGGCAGAAATTTTAAAATAATTTTACGTCCGAGATTCCAACTCACTATTTCAATATGGCAGCGCTATACAGAGTGATTTAAAGTCTTGATAAGTATGTTGATAGGTATTTGTCTGTCTGTCAGACACTTTCGTATGTTACGCGATTTCTCACGAAAGTGAGGTTGAGTCTGCTCCAAATTTTACATGTGCATTCATCATATCTCTGACCAAAAGCCTATTGATTTTGGTATATTATGTCGTATAACTAGCGAGTTATTAATTAATCAGTGATGGGACATGTGGTGTCGCTATTGAGTCAGAGCGAAGGATACACGCCACTAGATCGATAAGTTGGCGGTCTCCGATCGCTATCTCGTTTGAATAATTATACAGAACAGTTTCATTTTATCAAACGGAACAATTGAAGGAATACAAAGTTGATTTAATTTCTGAAAACTATGGGAATAACAAACCAATCAAATCATGTTGATAGACAAGTGGTTTTTCAACTTTTCAAGCCCTTTATACGACTTGCTAAGTCTTCCGCTCCACAAAAATAACTACCCCGGTAGCTACAAATAACAGATAGTGAAGCGTATATTTTATTCATTAAAAATACGTGGATGGAGCGTGAATATCCAAAATAAAAAAATGTAAGTATCCAAAATAAAATCACGTCTACGAGAGGCTGTGGTTCGCCATATGATTTAGCCATTTTTTTGTTCTACCTCTCCTGTACCCAACCGTAGGTCCGTGACAAATTATATAAGATCTCGACTCCCAAGGACAATATTGAACAAATTTTTTTAAATTACATTTTAGGCAAATATAATCTACGGTAATTATATTCAAGTATAACCAAATAACTATAGTGAATTCAGATCAAACTCGAAATTGTATCAATTAATATTATTCCGGAATCTATTCAGAAAGGAAATTATTTCGTTTCAGCATTACTGCACTGCTGTATGAGGTATTGGTTTATTTTTGTTTTACTCCCCATCAAAAACATGCATAACCGTTTTCTTTGTAAAAGTGAAGACGAGAATATCGGTTGGAAACCGAAGACTTATCGATCGATAGTTAGGGGATCCCCCAAAACAGAAACTGCAGTTTCGATTCATCCGCTCTTGTAACTTGCGCACTGCGCATCGCACACACACACTCGGCGGGTTTCAAAATTCTCTCGCTTTACAAAAATCTAGATCACTATATCAATAATTGATTGATAACTCGCTAATTATACGACATAATTCGCCCAAAATCAATAGGCTTCTGGTCCGAGATAAGATGAATGCACATGCAAAATTCAATCTCGCTTTCGTGAGATATCGCGTGCATCTAACAGACACACAGACAGACATACATACAGACAAATACCTATCAATATACTTACCGATCTTAAGATCGATAAGTAATAATCAATGATTTGATTGGCATCTTGTATTTTTCACAAATTTCAGAATAAATAAATATTATATTTTGATCATATGATTCATTTCGGGCAGTGATGGGCATTGTTTTATTTGTTCTACTCCCCGACGAAAACATTCATAACTTCGAAATGTTTTCTTAATGAAGCTTCTTTATCTATTATTTCATCATCATCATCGCCGGTATCAAAATGCAATTTTTCGACAAAATTGACACCAAGTTCTGTCAAGCCTGACACAAATTCTGCTTCTTCCTCACCTTTCCAGGGATGAATTTTATCTTTGACTTGGTACGGCGTAAGATGGATAAAAATTTTAATATTTTCGCACCATTTCCCAGTTTTTAAGCTTTTTAAAACATCTTTATCCTTTACCCAAATGTCTTTTTCACCACTGTGTCCTCCATCCAGCCAATATAGGTTTTTAATGCGACTGATAAATGGTAAAACATTACCAGAATTTTGATTATGTTCAACATGATTGTCAGTTCGTGAAAATTCTGCTACCTCATATAAAAATTGGTTCAGGACTATACAGCCTTTGCTAAAAGCTGATAAAGTAATAGTGTAATCATTATTCAAACTTTTAGAAGCATTTTTGTCTTTGAAAACAAGTCCATGCGCGTTTGTAAATAGTTTTTGAAGATGTAGTAGTCCATTATAATCGCCAGTGTACTCAGGTATTCCAAATAATCCTTCGCTCTTGACAAAATTTTTATAAATGCTGAATGTTTTATAAATTTTCTTTGAAGGTGAAATAAGCCATATATGGCTTCCTGAAAATTTTTGTGAAAATAATTCAACAGTTTTTTCATAGCTAAACTCTACCCATTCTTTGCTATTATGATGTTCTTTCATATTCTCTACAAAATCTTGCACATCGCCAGGAAAAAATATCACATTATTATTTGATTCATGTTTGTTTTGAATGTTATTTCCAATACCCGTAGGTTGGCAGTATAATATTGAATTTTTTCGATCCTCAAATCCACTGACATCCTCCAGTATCGTCATTTTTGAAGATCCTGCGGCCTCCATTATAAATCTTGAATAAAATGAACGTTTTGTGAACGAAGAATGTCATATAATTTACAGATCTAGCGTAGTGGTTCTTAAAATGAGGGGAGAGAGGTCAGTAGCCCATATGAAATTCCCTGCAACTTTCATTCTTGTTGCATTATAATGATGTAATAATGTGTTGTTTATACGCATGCACAATGACACTTTTCTTTCGTTGTTTTCTTTAGTTCAGTTGCAATAAATAAAAATTGAGACCACAGACATGACACTTTTCTTTCGTTGTTTTCTTTAGTTCAGTTGCAATAAATAAAAATTGAGACCACAGACACTGGGATAAACTAGCAATAAATTAGCTACCACAGTATCAGTACCTGTAAACGTGGCTCAAAAAGTTTAAGAACCACACTACCTGCCATTGATTCTTGGAATAAGGTTCGCCGATGTACCGCATCGTGTTAAGTGTCGGGATTACCTTCACTACCGCACCTCTGATTAGTGATTACCCTGTGTGGGTTCGAATCCTATGAAATTGATTTTGTGCGAGAGAATCGCTTACATAAATATGTAAATCCCATCCTAACTGTCCTAAAGTGGGACATAAAGACAAGATAAAAAAACGTCTTGTCGGCCTGTATCTCCCTTGATAAACCGTAACCAAATCACTGAGAGGCGGTTGGCGACTTGGCACCGACGCACATGCACCAACATACGACAGCACCCCGGGGTCGCAGAAAGCAATTTACACGTAGCACCACCTGGCGGATATTCGTACAATCACTTTTATGACAGGCACTCGGTGCTTTCGGTCATCACGGCGATGGAGTCGTGAAAAAATTGCCATGGACTTCGACTCCCGAGTTGAGAATTTTTTACTCCGACGCCCGGTTGATGATAAAATATCGTATCGGTCGTATTTCTATCAAAAAAATATCGATGTTATTTAATCAAGAATTCACTGACTTTATTGATTATTTTACATGCGTAACTCCCATACTCTTACACTGATTGTTTAAATTTGCATGTAGCTGCTTTTCTTGTTATAATTGAACTATGTATGTCTGAAGAAGTCTGACCTTGGTCAGACGAAACATTACAGAAATATATTTGTTTTATTGTGCAGCAAGACTCTCGAATCACTTATACCCCCAAAATACCCCTCTCGCTTTTTTTTTATCTCATCGCGAGGTTCGCCTCGTCGTAACACATATTTCCCTTCTGCATTGGTCCCTTATGTTTTTCGCCGCCGCCTGCTCGCCACTCTAAACATTGGGTAGTTGTTCACGTGGCGAAGTGAATTTCTGCCGAAATTCGTCATTGGGGTTCTAGCAGATTTTGGTGACCGTATTAGATTGTACTACCATACTAAAAAAAAATTCTCTGTGTGTAGAGATTAAAAACGGCAGAATGTCCTTACGTTTGACAAAGATCATTCACTTCTCGCCGCCAGTGCACGAGTAAGAAGTTATTCGACGCATAAAAAGGTGCTTCACAAAATAACGAAGTCAACGAGACTCGTCGGGAAAGCCATAGACACAAGACTATTCACACATCGGCTGCAACTATTGAATACCGAAAGGATCGTTGCTCACGGACAAACTGTATCTGATGTTCCATGTTAAGATGCAGTACATGAGACACAAAACTACATAATAGGCTTCAAAGAGTTCGATTCTAAAAAACTCTCGACAAAAGACGCCAACCCATGAACGAAACCCCCGAATCCTTTTAACCAAACATAACAAAACAAAAACAAGATTTAAATAGCATTTCACCGTAACTTTAATACTGTTACAATGCGCCAGACGTTAATTATCTAGTACAGGGGTTCTCAAACTTTTGGTGTTGCGGAGCCCTTGAAAAGGTTGACTATTATTCACGGAGCCCCAAAATAAATGTTAAAATTGTTACTTTCAGACCAATATTCCTGAGCAAGTTAAAAGTACTTTACTCAATTTAAATGCTGAACCTTTTTTAATAGGGTTGATGCAAGTCATAAATAAAACTAAATTTTAAGCATAAATTATATATATATACTGAAGCTGTAAATTTGACACTTGACAAACTTAAAATGGAAGATCACACGCTTGGTTTCAGCAGACTCGCCTCAGATTGAAAACGCTTTTATAGACATTGTAAATCACAAAATTTGGTGTTATGTTAGGTTTTCATCGTAGTAATAACTGCGAAATCGAAACACAGTCAATTGTGCGCGCGATGTACCCTTTTTTCCCATTTTGAAACTACCGACGGAGCCGCACGCAATCAATTGTGCGCGCGATCCGCGATGTACCCTTTTTCATTCTGAAACTACCAACGGAGCAGAATGCAATAAAATAAATTTCAATTGCTCGTATTTTGCCCAGACATTGCGATTTTTTATACGGCGATATCTTGCTTAAAAATAATCTCAAGTGCGAAAGAACGAATCAAGTTTGACAAATTTTGGCAGTTTATCACGTATTTTATGTTATTTTAGAATAGTATGCTTTCATTTTAGTAATCCTAATAGTAATCTCGAATCAAACGTGAGTAACGATTGAATATGTGGACATAGATTGAATATTTTACGCAACAGAAATCTCGTTATCCGTTTTTTTAATCGCAAAGAATGTTGCGCGTAAATTTCCGATTCCAATTTTGAACCACCTCCCTCTTAAGAATCCTTGCTGCGCTCCTGCTTATAAATAATGTCATTTTTTAATTCCGCCTCTTTGCCATATTTCGAGGCTATATTGTTGTCATATATTATCAAAGCTGTTATTGCTTCTTTGAACAGTTACGAAATTAGTCAGTATTTTGAAAAGTAATCGAATAGCTCGCGGAGCCCCTGGGTTTCTCTCGCGGAGCCCTGGGGCTCCGTACGGAGCACTTTGAGAACCTATGATCTAGTATACTTACCAGAGGAAAAAAACAATTGGGCCACCCAATCGTTTGCGTAGTGGTTTTTGCTTGATGTGGAGTCTGTACGCTAAGTCTGGGGTTCACCCGAATCCTGCGTAGGCAGGGAAGAGAGTAATTTCTTTCCTATACGCCAGTATTTCTCAACCGTGACGAAATTCAGAGAAATTTAGTTTAAGTTCTTACGCATAGCGAGAAGAGGAGGTAAAAAAACGAAAAAGGCGCAAGAGGAATATATAGACGGTTGGGAGCCGCTGCTCTACTCTTTCAGTTGGTGGTTACAAATGCGAATACTGAAATGGTGCTGTAACTGGAACGAACATGATTATTCTAATGAATTCAAGAGTTCTAACACAGTTCTAGTACAACATTTCTGATATCCGCTACAACAGGGCCGGGGATCGTGTAGCATCGCACATGGCTTTGTACAAGCATTACAGCAAGGTCACTTTTTTGGGAGACTTCCTTCACACGTGCCGTGCCGAAGTTTTAGGTGAGCAACTCCCTATATCTGCATAAACCTAACCCACGAACACGTAAACAAGGACACATTGTTTCAGAACACAATATTCTGTTCATATTATTCAGAAAACATTTCATGATTAACACAAATAAGACAATAAATGAATAAAAAAAAGTTTAAAATGAGTGAAACCGAGCTTAAAATAGTAAAACGAAAATATTCACAAATTAAAACAAACAATCTACAGAAGAATTCATGTTAAATCAAGATCAAAAATTAAAATTTACGACCACAATGGGCGTTAATATAGTGCCAGTTGTGGGCTACTAGCACAGAAAATATAATTACAGCCATGAAGAGAAGAACACCAAGTGCGATATGAAGTGGAAGGCCAGCTGTATCTGAAGTGGCGCCGGCGTCTGGGGTGTCGTCTGAAACATATGAAAGATTTAAGAACTATGATAATTAGCCTGAAGCATCTTAACTATGAAGGATTGTGATGCTTTTAAATGCAAATCTGCATTTTCTATAAATTAATTTATCCTTCACAATTGTCTAAATCCAGGTCAACTAAGAGTGGGAATAACGAAGAGAGCTTATTATGGCGACCAAGTTACTGACATGGAACAAGACAAGTGGAAAGATATTCATGGAAAAATCGTGGCAAACACTGAGCAAAACAGTGTATTATAGATCTATATTGCGATAAATATAGATCGTTTTCACAAGGATATCTCAAGGGAAAATTGAAACAGCAGGGTGTCACTGGAAATTCCATACCCCTGCAATAACAAAATCCGGAATTCAAGGGTCCGAACAGATTCGTGGATAAAAACTTCAGTTTAAAGCAGGGGTGTGCAACTTGTGACCCGTGGGTAAAATGCGGCACACATGCAGAAATTGTGCAGCCCGTGGAGAAGTGCCAATTTCAAATGGCCTGCGAAACGAATTTTCAAAAAGCTTTTTTAGGATAGGATAGGATTTACATATTTATCCAGAGGGAGAGGAAAGCCGATAAGACGACTTATCCATATGGCGAACCACGGCCTCTCGTCCGGTTACCATTCCAAGTCTGGCATGGGGATTATTTATATTGTTTGTTTTCGGAAGCATGGACTTGGTGGTGGAGGAAGCCGTAACCGACCAGCGGTTACATAAACCACCCAACGACGGCGAGGAGTCCAGCAATCCTCTCGTACATAACCATCCCTGCATGGGATTCGAACCTGCGAACCCACGCAGAAGAATTAGAGGTGCGGTGGCGAGCATATTCCTAACGCTTAGCCCGCACGATCCTTTTAAAAAAGGATCAGTGGGTAATGTATCATGAAATAAAAATCCACTAATTTCGCATCATTTATCCAAAACAGAATAGGTATAAAAGTTTACTCTCAAACAACTAAAGTCATTAGCATACAGTTAAAACCCACACAGTTTAGAGCAGAGGTCGGCAACCTACGGCCCGCGGGCCGGATCGGAGCACTATAATCCGGCCCGCGACACTTCACTATATTATAGTAACAAAACCAGTTTTGACGAATATATTTATTAGACTAAATTATGTTTTAAACTAACAATTATATAATTCACAATCACTCGTTAAATGAGCATATAATTTAATTATAAATAAGCAAATGGCAACAAAACGCAGAAAAGTCGGTGCTAAGTGCAAAGGGTTCAATGGCGCTGAAAATATTCAAATGGAATTTTATGAGATGCAATGAGGAAATAAATCTATATTTTATTCGAGAGATGTATCACTGCCTGATTTTTATTATAAAAAGTACTATCCGTTAATAAAAATATGTGCGACCCGCCAATGACTTGCAACCTTAATTTTGGCCCGCGAGCGACAAAAGGTTGCCGACCCCTGGTTTAGAGATAACGGAGAAAATAAACAACTTACTTTTCAAGATCAGAACCCCAGTCGCAGTGCTGTTCACATACTCTTCACCAGGATACATGATTTCAGTTGCAATTCCAGATTTGCCATCAATTACGAATATAGGTCCGAATATTTCTATCTTGCTAGTCTCCTCAAGTGAAGTCTCTTCACTTCTTTTGCGTCTTCCTCGAGTGCTACATTGTCCATAAGCCGTAATGCAGGCCTGTAACAAAATGATTTGCTGTCGTAATATGAAGTGTCTATAATAACTTAAAAAAATTTAAAATCGCAAAGGAATTTATCGATACGATATATATTGTTACTTATCGACCTTAAGATCGGTAAGTATGTTGATAGGTATTTGTCTGTTTGTTTGTCTTTCTGTCTGTTAGATGCACGCAATATCTCACGAAAGCGAGGTTGAATCTGCTCCAAATTTTGCATGTGCAATCATCATAGCTCGGATCAGTAGCCTATCAATTTTGGATGAATTATGTCGTATAATTAGCGAGTTATTAATTTATTAGTGATGGTACACACTGTGTCACTATGGAGTAAGACCACTGTTTTGGGGGATCCCCTAACCCTTCGATCGATAAGTCTTCGGTTTCCAACCAAATTCTAGTTTTGCATTTATTATATAAAGGGTGAGGTGGTGGCCTTGTGGATCACAGATATTTTCAACCTACCAGCCACCTCTTGACTGAAAGTGCAGCTAAGTTCAAGATCGTTGTTTCTAATTTACATCAAGTATCTGAGCTCATTTGGACAAAGACTAAAAGTGTAAATGCCACAAACTTTGAAACCAATCAAAAACCTTCGCTCTGCTTTATATATAAAATAAGCGTTACTTACGCTAGCAGTGCATGCCTGAAGATTTGCATGGATGTAAAATTGTTGGCATCCAGCAATCATAGGCACAGGGAAAGAAACACAAACTGCTGTGCTGAAAAGTCTCGCAGTTGTAGGAAGATATTTGTTGGATCCGATCGGAAGGCAGCCAGCAGTAATGAGGTTAACTGGTGCTGTAGCAGGGTTTGTTGCGGCAGAAGAACATGATAGAAAAAGGTCTTGCAGCCTGAAAGTGGCACCCTAGAGGGAAAAGTAAGATTTTTTCGCAAATAACATTAAAGATTACAATTTATTCAATTAGGTTTTTTAATGGCAAATCTGAACTTCGTCAAGAAAGGCCTCAATTTTCTCAATATTTATACTTTGAGAAAGTTATTGCTACATTCTACGTGTAAAAAAAGTTGAAAGATAGTTTTCGATGTAACGAAAACTTGCGTAATAAAAATAAAAAAGAATAAACTTGTTTCTTTACATTACAAAATTGTCTGGCAATGATGATGCGCTTACCTGTTGGGCTGGTGTGAAAAGTAGATGAATCTTTTGTCCCACAGTATAAATAGCACCATTGGTAAGAGAAAACTGAACGGGGCATTTGTTCGGGCATGCGGAACCAGATTTGCAGAGCTCGATATTAGCAGTATTTGTTCTTGAACCCTTGCTGATGATGGTGGGTGGGGTATCAATGCTGGAAAAGAACAATTTATGTCATGATTCAATCAATCAAGCAATTTGTATTTTGGTCGCTCAGTAACTTATTTTCCACCAATGTTGAAAATACACAAGGTACATATACGGAGTAGAATAGTATTTCAGGGTGTAGGGAAACGCTGAAAAACCAGTAATGGTTTTTGAGCAGCGACGCCCTAGATGGGGTCTAACACAGCATGAAAAAAAAGATAAAATAGAAAACTTAAAATGAATATAAATAGAGAAGCAAAATATTCACACTAATAAATTTGTATATTGGAAACGTTCCAAGTATCCACAGGATTTTTGGGAAATCCAGAGACTCTCGTTAATATAAAGATAGACTCCAAGCACCATCAAGCGAGTAACCACGGCAACTGCTCAACTGAGGCACCGGCAGTAGGTTAGTGTACAGTTAACGTATATATGGCACCGAGACAAATTTGTATTTTACAGGATGCATAAGGTATAATTTGTGTAACCACTCTTGATCTTAATTCACTCATAAATAGAACTCCAAAAATTATTATGATAGTAACCTTCCAGTGAAGAAGAAAATAATACAAAAGATAAAACAATAACCAACAAACAAAATGCACAGAGGTCTTGAGGATGAGCATAACTTAGTACAAACTCAAAAGACGTACACCAAACGGTACCAAAAACAGTTGAAAAACATAATAAAACTAGAGCTGCTTGCAGCTTTAACAGGCTTCCCGCCTAATGCAGCCATGTAATAGAATGAGTCGCAGCTAGATAAACACTGAAGTAAAGTGTTAACTTTTTCTCTGTAACTCTTCTGGGTTCAAACGTGAAATATGAAAAAATCACTCATGCATGACTTAGTCACATGACCGGGAGTGCTACCCCAAAAGGCTAACATAAGTTGTGGTGGATCAACCGACCTCAAATACCAAGTTTGAGTTCTTAATATTCAATAGTAATTGAGAAATGCGAAAAAAACTGAAAATTATGTGAATTTCAAGTTTGTAGGACCAATTTGAAAAAAAAATAATAATAATAAATAATAATAAATAAATAATAATAATAAAACACAGGAATACAATAGGTTCCCCGATGACAAGCAGCGGGAAGCCTAATAAACATACACGATATAAAATCTAACAATCGCATTTGATTGCAAAACAATGAAAATTTCGCAGGTTTGAATCCCATGCGGGATGGATATGTGCGAGAGGATTGCTGGACTCCTTGCCGTCGTAGGGTGGTTCACGTAACGGCTGGTCGGTTACGGCTTCCTCCACCATCAAGTCCATGCTTCCGAAAACAAATAACTAACTAATTAATCCCATACCCGACATGGAATGGTAAGCGGACGAAAGGCCGTGGTTCGCCATATGGATAAGCCGTCTTATCGGCTTTCCTCTCCCCCAAAATAAATATGTAAACCTTATACTTTATTTCAGTCTCCAGCAAACTGTGCAGGCTGAAACAATGCAATTGAACATTTTTTTAACATATATTCATGTGCTAGTCTGAATTGCAAACACATTTCAACGACTAGCCTCCAAACTATGAAAAAAAAGATTTTGATAACAAGGTTAAGCTCTTGCTGGTTAAGTATTCCATGAAAAAAATTAGCCTTTTGGATAAGATAGAATTTAGTTATCCCAGGGGAGAGCGAAGCAGATACTACGGCTTAATCATATGGCGAATCACGGCCTCTCGTCCGGTTACCATTTCATGTCGGGTATGGAATTAGTTATCCAGTACTTGTTTTCAGAAGCATGGACTTTCAGTATTTTAAGGAGACTTGGAGCAGTTTTAACTAATACAAAAAACGTACCTTGGTCTCATTGATGTAACAATACTATATTGTTTCTCATAATTGCAGATAAAATGAATGATGGGCACCGGCATATCAGCCAAACCATTTCCAATAAGTCTGTTGATCCAGATATAATTTGAGACTTGAGTTTTTCCATTTGCAGCAGGGGTGACCCTTGAACCGCAGCCAGTGAAAGGAAGAGGAAGTGTGAATATGTATTGTCCATTTTGTACTGAAACAAATAAATTTGGTAAATGAAAAAATTTACATAGCGTACAGCAACATTAGCACAAAGATGGATCTAGTTCTGTGTCATTAAGTTGTTTTAGATCAGCGGTCTCAACCTTTTACTGGCCGCGTGCCACTTTTGTTCTTTTTACTCTGGCCGCGTACCACCGACAAAACCTTTTTTGTGGTGAGGAACAATGGCTCAAGAAACTCGCTATGGTAGTATTTTATGTGGCACTACATCCATTTTAGATCTTCGTGCAAAGTTTTAACGTATTTATTTTATGCAGTAACAACGTATTAATTGCGTGCAAAATCAGGAGAGAATTTGCGTTGATTGTAGTCATGGCTGAAAGGCTTTGTCTATTGCTCGTTTCGTTTTAGGTGGGCAGTAGCGGGCGAGGGCGGTCTCAAGACAAGAACTGCTGCTAGTGCTATAAACCCGTTGTCGCCATATTTAAGCCAACTCAAAAGTTAACTGTTGCAATAATTCAAACTGCTCGCGTACCACTTGAAAAGCTTCCGCGTACCACTAGTGGTACGTGTACCCAGTGATGAGCTGGAAAATCGTAACAACCGGAACGCACCTAATTCGCAAAAATGTTTCGACTGTCTTAAGATAGAGTCGATGAAATATGGAGAAATTATCTGAAATATGTCTGTGTAGAATTACAAGAATATTTATAACAAATCAATACAAATGTTATTGTTAGAAAGGTATAGAATGAATTTCCATGGGATCAAAGGTCGGGGAATTATCTATTATTACACGTTACTTTTGTACTAATTATTTGCGCGATGTGATGTAAAAAGAATTACGAATTATAATGTAACAAAAATTCGTAACTACATTAACCAGAGAAACTAGACTTCTTGTACTATAATTTTATTTTAACAACAGGAACGCAAATGCAATGAAATGTCTGACAACCAGAACGCCGTTTCGGTGCGTTCCGGCTACAGCTCACCACTGCGTGTACCACGGGTTGAGAACCACTGTCTTAGATGACCTGAGCCCCAAACCCCTTCATATTTGTTAAATGCCGACCAGGGTCAAGGGTCAACTCATTTTCTACTGGATTTAAACTTAACTCCCACGCAAACCAATGCAAGCCGACATTTGAAAATTGCATGTCTTTGCGTAATCTCTGAGATAGTACAATATAAATGTAAATCTTCGAAAAAAATCTTCGGATAGAGAGTAGGTCACTCTCTCTCAAAACAGCGGGACTTTCATGGTGATCTTGGTCACTCTCTCTCAAAACAGCGGGACTTTCATGGTGATCTTGCATAATTAGGGCTGGGAATGGTTAATCGGTTAACCGATTTCAGATGGTTAACGGTTACGATTTATTTTAACCGTTAACCGACATCTCAGGTACAAATCATCTTCATACCATACAATTTCTTCAAATATGATTACGTCATCGCAAATTTATCTCTTATACAAAAGAATATTACTAACTGTGTGGGTAAGAACTCAATAAATGTGAAAAATAATGGAAGTACCAAGATTGCTGATTATGGAAATTTGACAATGATGAATTTAGAATCAGTTTTTGGTCGATTTCGAAATATATTGCTCACGATTTCATTGCAAAATCGGATATTCAATGTCATACAACAAGTGCGCAGTTGATGCCGTTTTTCTTTATATGATATAAGTAAAATTTGCACATCGAACACTGATAATTTGTCACATAAATGACGTTTAACAACGGAATCAGGTTTTCTAAAATACTTCCACACGCCCGAACTACGCTGCCTATCTATTGCAGCAGAGCAATCATGAAACTATCTCGAGTCGTGAATAATTCTAATAAGCGATACCGGGATAAGAACACGCAAAATTGCTTTATAGCATTGTGACGTAACGACCTGAAATTATAAATTATTACGTCAAATGTCACGAGGCGGTTAACCAGTTAATTTCACCTGGTTAACGGTTAAAGTGTTTTCCCTGAAATTCCCAGCCCTATGCATAATCTTTTAACAAAAAAAAGTGGCCTTGGAACATGATGTCAACCCATCTTTCGGACGAGGAAGCGCATCACACTGAAGCGATATCGGTGTCGGGGATGTCATTTTGCCTGGGAGTCGAGTTGATACAAAACATACATTGCATCGTTCTAGTGCGGTTGCATTAATTTAGTACTGGGGAAAATCAATGCACGGATTGCACTGCTCTGATCAAGCAATTTTGCACTAATCCAAAAGTCGAGATTGCAGCAATTAACTTGCAAACCACCTCTATAAAAAGAGGATTTTCAGGTTTAATATGCTGTCCTATCATCTTTACAAATTCAATTAGAAACTGGGTATACTACCTGCAGCTGGACATGTAGGTGCCGGATTCATGGCATGGCTAGGCGACATGAACATTTTGTAGCCCCCTATGCCTCCGTCGTACTGAGCAACTATTGCAGCATTGATAGATACAGTGATTGCATTGTTGCCACAATTAACCACCGGAGCAGCTAAAGGGATAGAAAAATGGTTTTACGATAAGTTATACATCATTAAGCTCTTATCATTGGAAGGCGGACATATTTTTTGTTTGAATTTTGGGAGCCTCTAAATCAGTGGTTGGCAAACAGCGGTCAGTGGGGCAGTTACAGCCCGCGTAATGAATTATATATTTGAGACTTTTTACCATTTTTTTGTGAAATTTTATAAAAATAGTATTTTAAAAAATCTCAATAAAAAGTTCTTGACAGAGTGTAAAAAATATATATGTTATCTCATTTTTAAAACATCTTTTTCAAGCTTTGCGGAAGCTTCAAAAATTTCATCTCATTTGTAATCTAATCAACTCACGTATGCCACAGTTCTTTCCGAGTAATCCATTGGTGCTCTGGCAGTAATACCCATCGGAATGTCTACAAGACGGTTTGCATAGGCATCCTCCTTTACATGGGCTTGGGGTGCACGGATCGTTTTGTTTTGGAGTTTTTACTGTACACGTCGTCCCTTGCCATCCAGTTACACAATAGCAGAAGAAAGTCCTTTGAAAGAAATAGAATTTTTATTGCCAGCTTTGGAGATTTTGTGTTAGGTTTTCCTAATTGCTACTATGAAAAAACTATTATCCCTCAAAAAATTATTTTAGTAAAGATATTTTACTATACAGGGTGCCCGTACATAAAGTCACTTTACAATTTCAATTCTGATAATAAGAGTCATAACAAGGGCACGACTTTGCTCTGATACCAGCATAATAGTAGGAAACCAATGGTCTATGCGTTTAGCATTCTACATTAGAGAGAATAAAGCCAACTTGCATTGATAAATTCTCACAAATTCTGGGACATCTTCGCTAGATTCTTAAAGTTAGAAATCAATGACTGCTTTTATCTAGCCTTTTTTGAAGCAAAAAAGACATTAGTGAGCGCCCTATTATGTCAATACACAACAATATATCTAACTGGTTAATTCTTCTCAAATTTTTTAAACTCTTATATCATTACTTACAATCCGTTAACATTGCAAGTTCCACTATTCTGGCAGGGATTTGGGATACATGGGTTTCTTGGTATTGGGTCGCAATAGTTTCCGCCGTATCCAGATCTGCATAAGCAGACAAAAGAGCTGAAAAAGAATAAAATAAAATGATGAAAGATTGATTTATTTTTAGACGATTAGGTTCAAAGGTGTTTTACTGAACAAGAAAAAACATAATCACTTCAAGAAATAGCGAATTATTTAGGATAGAATAAGATTTGCATATTTATCCCACAAAGAGGAAAGCTAATCATATGGCTAACCATGGCTTCTTGTCCGGTCACCAGTCGATGCTGGGTATGGGATTAGTTAACCAGGTATTTGTTTTCAGAAGAGAACAAGGTGAAAGGACCTGTTGTTTATTGTACAATATCCCACTTGTTCTACTTGAAACTAAGAATCCACGGCGCGCCATATGATTAAGCCAATACCCAACATGGACTGATAACTGGATGAAGGACATGGTACACGATATGATCAAGCACTCTTTTGAACACTTCTTTACTTCCCCCCTGGTCGAATATGGAAATCCCATAATAATGTAAAAATCTGAAAAAGTAAGACTAGGGGAAGTAAGAAGGCCATTCCTATTCAAATTGGTATAGTTATAACAATAGTATAGTGCAAAGTTCCACTGCAAACTAAAATGTTCCCATAGGCTTCCATGAGAACTCTGCTCCTATAACTATATATAACTCCTTACTTTCCATTTACTTGACATGTTCCACCGTTCCTGCATGGACTGGGTATACAAGGATTCTTGGGTATTGGATCACAGTATTGGCCACCATAGCCAGTCAGACAAGCACAGTAGAAAGTCCTGGAATATATAGAGAATTATTTTAATTTAACAAAAAAAGATAACAAGGGTCCCATATTCAGAGCTCAGAAGATAAGCAAACATAACTCTTGAGCAAGCCATTTCAAGAGTGATTACTAAATGAAAGTTTTTCTTCTCAGGGGTATACATTGACATTTGAAGGATCAATTTATGAACAGCAGTAGAGCATATTAAACTAGTCAGCATCTCCGGTTAAAAATATGATTCACATTTTATCCCGATGAAGAGGAAAGCCGATAACACAACTTGAGCATATGGTGAACCACGGCCACATGCGAGGACTTGATGGTGGAGAAGCCGTAACCAGCCAGCGGTCACATGAACCACCTTATGGCGCGAGAAGTCCAGCAATCATCGCACATAACAATCATGAGATTTGAACCTGCAAACCCACGCAGGGTAATCAGAGGAAGATCTCGTTAAACTTTGGGGATATTAGGTAGAATCTTTCAACCCATGAAACCCAGTCCTTCCCCCCAAAAAAATCTCCTTTTCTTATTTATCAGTGGCTGCTATTCACTGAAGATTTTAAAAATAAGTATCTACTCTAATATCCGTGGGTTACCGCAGAAAGCCTTGCGAAGAATTATGCAGTCTCTTTAATTAATGAATAAATATTAAATGTCGCACAGCCAGTTCTGACGAACCACTGAATTACAGAAAAATACAATTACTCACTGCCCATTGACATTGCATGTTCCACCATTCCTGCATGGGTTTGGTACGCACGGATTCTTCGGTATCGGGTCACAGTATTCTCCTCCAAAACCAGCAAGACAGAAGCAGTAGAAAGACCTATATTGTAAAATAATAGTGTTGTAGCATTCACATAAAATGTTTAAGGTACATAGCTCCATGCCTGATAAGACTCGCCAACGGTGGTGTATCTACACCAGATGGCACCCATGGCAAAGTTTAAATATGCGCACCCTTGATAGTCGGAGACAATTTTTTTTATTAATGAGTATTGTTTAAACGAGATTCTTCTATGTTATTATTTAAGTATAAAAGTCCCAGTTTTTTTTCCCATCTATAGTTTTTGTTAATACTTTTTATGATTAAAACTTTTCACTCTTTTTGCGCCTCTTTCCAAACATGCAAAAGCCATGGCTGCCATACCCTAGATCCGCCAAGGATATGTTATAGGCTTGTAAATATCAAGTGTTTGGAGGTTTCAATACAGATATAAAAACAATTTAGTACTTACTGTCCATTAACATTACATGTTCCTCCATTCCTGCATGGGTTTGGTACACACGGATTCTTAGGTATCGGGTTGCAGTATTGGCCTCCAAAACCAGGCAAACAAGAACAGTAGAAGTTCCTAAAATGTAGAATAAAACAAGAGCCTTAAAATTGTTATCATTTCATTCATATGAAACAAGTAACTGATCCGAGTATCAGATCTAGACATCATATGGGCTTTCCTCTCCTCCAGGATAAAAATGATCTTACCCTTATCTATTTTTGTAATTGTCTAATTGGCTACATATTCAGAAATGAAATAATTTGCCAAGACTATGGGTAAGAGTTGTTCTAGGGGCATATCTTAGTTTGAAGAGAAGGGCGCCCTTCAAAAGTCAGAAGGGCGCCCTTCAAAAGTCAGGAGGATTTGATATTAAGGGCGCCCTTCAAAAGTCAGGAGGATATTTAACAAGTCACATAAAGCTCATCTTCGGAAAGATATACAAAATCATGTACAAATAAAATTCAGATATTGTGAAGTTTAGAGATACTTTGTTTACAGAGAAATACTTACTGTCCATTAACATTACATGTTCCTCCATTCCTGCATGGGTTTGGTACACACGGATTCTTGGGTATCGGGTCGCAGTATTGGCCTCCGAAACCAGGCAAACAAGAACAGTAGAAGTTCCTAAAATGTAGAATAAAACAAGAGCCTCAATATAGCTATCATTTCATTCATATAAAACAAGTTCATATGAAACAAGTAACTGATTAAATATTCCATATCCAACATGGACTGGTAACCGGAAGAGATGCCATGGTACGTCACGATTGAGTCTTATCAGCGTTCCACTCCGTCAGGATAAAAAAGATCTTATCCATATTCTTTGTAATTTTAATTGTCTAAATTGGGATTTTATCTACATATTCAGAAATGAGATAATTTGGCAAGACTATGGGTTTAGTCTGTCAAGAAAGTGTTGCACTGATGTATTTAAGAGGGGCGTAACTTAGTCTAAAGGTAAGGTCGTTCATCAAAAGTGGAAGGACATCTATTAAATGTTGAAAAAGTGTCCGTCAAAAGACATCCAACAACAGTCAAAGGAGCATCCCACTAATATTTAACAGTCACTCAATGCTTATCTTTGCAAAAAGATGTACAAAATCATGTACAACATTTTGGGAATGGTGTGAAAACTTTTTATTTCTCACTAGAAAAAGGGTTTTGATGTCTTACTACAAACAGAGAAATACTTACTGTCCATTCACATTACAGGTCCCCCCATTCCTGCATGGGTTTGGCACGCATGGGTTCTTCGGTATCGGGTCGCAGTATTGGCCTCCAAAACCAGCAAGACAAAAGCAATAGAAGGACCTTCAAAATGAAGAGCAATAAGGTATATTTATTGTGCAAATAGTAGCTTATTTGAATAAGTTTAACCATGGCTGTTTTAGGCCTGAGTCAAAATGACAAAGCACACTTCTCAATGCTTAAAAGACCGTAAAACAATTGTAAAGCATATTACCTAAAATTTGTTTCTTCATGGATATAATTTAAGGGCCTAAATAGAGGAAATATTCTGATACTCTCATCCTCGGGCTTTTTGAGTCAGAGTTAGGATTGTTGCAATTTGGAGTTCAGTCTTAGCCAGATCTTATTTTAATTCGCGAGTTCGGTGTCTAGTCTAAATTTTAAATTTCCTAGAGGAGTCTTTTGAGTTGAATGTCAGACTTTTAAATGAGATCAAAATTCTGATGGATACTATAGTTGACAAGCTACTATAATAGTGTAATATATAGCATATGTTCTCAAAGTGCTTAATACGAAGCCCCATGGCTCTGAGAGAGAAAAAGGGAGAAAGAGGGAGAGGGGGAACTTATTCTTTGTCAAACCACAAAACATGATAAACATAATAAAACAAATCATAATACAGTTTTTGGTAGATGACTAATGATCTTGGTAACGATACGACCATATGTTGTCATCCGAGTCAGTCATCGGTAATCAGTAGGACAGGGATGGCGAACCTTTTTCAATGAATGGGTCAAAAAATTTTTATCGCGGAACAGAATAGAGTGGGTCACAGATATATAATCAATGTTTATATCTATAGGGAACTTCTGAAACAAATCTTATCTTCTCTTGGTGTAGTTTTGGGCTTTATTTATGCAGCACTTTTATCAGGGACTTTTTATGGCTCTCGATTTTATGAAATTAGAGTACGAAAACACGCATATGAGTTAACGAAAACGTTTAGGATGCGGCAAATTATTTTACGGTTTCAAAGGGTTTGGAGGAAATTCCATTCTGATAGTGTTATATTTTTCGATCATCTTTCAACCACATTAGGGCATTTTGTACCGTCCCATTGTTATTTCAGATTTCTAGGTTTTTATTTCAAGTCTGAAAGATTTTGTTTTCTCAACCGCATTGTAGGCGAGAAACTAATAAACTGCAAAATAGCATCTGGTTCTCGTATAACCCCTAAACAATCTGCAAATGGACCTCCGAAAGAGACGAGATGTTGCGAGAAATAAACAATCAATTGCATTGTTATGTCATAAACGATCTCAGAGCCAATAGCTGAATAACTTTACACAGCGATGCAGAGTGCAGACACGGCATCCAGATTAGTAGTTTTGAAAATTACCATACCTGCCCGAAAATTAACAATTTGAGTATGAGCGATCGCAGCCCTGGCTACCAAACTGACGGTACATCATAATAGTTCAGTTATTGTTAGATTAATTTAAGGCCGGGTTGATCAATTTTTATCACTGTTATATTAGCATTTTATTTTATTCATGCGTTGGCGGGTCACGAATAAAACGCGGTGGGTCACTTTGTGACCCGCGGGTCAGTGGTTCGCCATCCCTGCAGTAGGGGCTTCACGAGCTATTCCTTCACTTATTAAAACACCGACTTGGCTAATTTTGTCAAAACTAACTAAAGAAGCAATAACAGCATCGAACGGCAGCATCGAAATGTGGTAACAATAGGGGAATTTAAACACGACATTATTGAGTTCCAATAGAGAACAATGTTCCAATAATGTGTTTCCTTGTTTTTATTTTTATAACTTTATTATGCGGTTTCGTAAATAATACTCTTCACAAGCCCCATAACACCAAAAGTTTAAGAACCCTTGTTTATGCGCCAATGTTTTTATCAAAATAACTTCTAGAACAGTCTAGAGCAGGGCTACTCACTATTTTTACCCGAAGGTCGGCATACAATAATTAAAAATTTTTAGTCTGGACTTTCCAGAAATTATATTTCGGCATCCTTAAACACGCACTTCCTCGGCCGACTAATGATTATAAGCTAGTCAAGATTGTTTGTTATGGCGTTATAGTTCTTTTCATATGTATTTTCAAATCCATAAGTGATTTTATAAAAGGAAACTTCAAGTGGAGCTGAAGATCCCAAAAAAATGCGCGGTCCGAATCGAATACCCGAAAGTCCGTATCCGGACCGCGGTTCGCCAGTTGAGTAGCCCTGGTCTAGAGTTCTCATTTTTTAAACCTTAATTTTGAGCTGATTGTAAAATAACAAGAACTTCTTTTACTTAGTAATGCAAGAAAAAAAATCCACATACTGTCCATTAACATTGCAAGACCCTCCATTTCTGCATGGGTTCGGTGAACATGGATTCCTGGGTATTGGATCGCAGTATTCCCCTCCATATCCTGACAGACAGAAGCAGTAGAAGGTACTAAAAACAAAAGAAATTAAGCTTAGAAATTTTTGATAACAGGTGGAACATAAAGCAATATTCATGTTAAAAGAAAATGTTAGAGATTGCTTAACATGGAGCGAAAAAAGATGATATTATCACTCTTAGTGAACCTCTCTGTACGGTCATCAACTTCCAGATTAAATTATCAAGTTAACAATAAAAATCTCAGCCATACATAAAGTATGATAGCGAACAACATATTTACATCAAGGAGAAAAGGCTAATAATTATAGTGGATTACAAAATCTTGGATGGATTTGTAGGTTTTGTTTTAGCTATTAAAAAATTCAGCACAGCACAATCGTTAACACTGCTTTTTCTGCTAGTAAGAAATTCAACGCAACACAGCATAATTCCTAATATGGCTGATATAAATTAATTTGAAAACACTTTTCTTTTAAATACTTACTTTCCATTTACATTACAAGTTCCCCTATTCCTGCATGGGTTTGGAACACAAGGATTTGGAGCAATCCCACATCTAGTCCCAGAATATCCAGTCTTGCAATGGCACAACGCAACCCTGTTAAGAAAATCATTTAAAAGACTCTATACTGCACCCATACCTAAATGCATGGTGTCCATAAAGTCTCTTTACAATTTCAATTTTGTTATGAACTTAGTTTTCAATATATCTTAACCAGGTTCGTTATATACAATCAAAATATACAATTTTCATTAAATTACTAATTATTTCATTCAATTACACTGTATGGTCAATGGGAATTCATTTGAGCACATAACAGATTTTGACATTGCCGAGATTACAACGCCAGTGAGATTGTAACGTTAGTTAGTTACGTCACTTTTGTGTAAACTATTTACCAAAAGCAGCAAAATTACCCAATAACCTATAATCTCCCTGGCCAAGTACTAACTTGTCAGGGGATAAGATCTTTTACAAGAGAACAATGTTCAGGTCCTTGGATCGAGGGCCTTCCATAGTTGTGTACTAATTTGTTGTGGGCATAAGTTCTACTTTTAAGAGAATACTGTACAATCAGTGGCGTATCAATGTAGAATGGCGCCCATGGCAAAGTCTAAAAATGTGCCGCCCCCTTGATAGTTTGACAATTTACCGTATAATGAATTGAGGTAATTATTTTATTGAAACTTTATGATTGAAACATTTTTGCAGTTTTTGCGCCCGTTTAAACGGCGCCCATGACACAGGCATGGCTGCCACACCCTAGATACGCCACTGTGTAAGATAATACTGTTCAGGTCCTTGGATCGAAGACCTCCCTGGCTAAGTGCTAACTTGTCTGGGGATAATATCTACTTTTTAAAGAGAATACTCTGCAGGTCCTTGGACAGTCCGAATCTGGACCTTTCGAGTATACGATTCGGACCGCACCTTGGATCATTGGCCCAACTTCGGATATTCGAGGGCCTTCCATGGTTACATAGTTACTCACCCGCCATTATTATTGCAAGTGGCTCCATTTAAACAAGGGTTCGGCACGCATGGGTTCACAGGTGCCACCTCACATCTTGTACCAGTGTAACCTCCTTCACAAAAGCAAACGAAAGTCCTGAAATGGAAACGATAAAATTTACAGTACTCCCCTAGGTATGTGAACCAAGTTGGCGGACACCGGAATGCAGAATGTGTACCAGGTTAGGTCATAATTTCAGGTACAAATACTACGAGAGTCACTTTGTTAGTCCCCGAATTCGTAATAAAACTAAAATAAGGAAAATTGGAATAAAATAATGGCCTAATCCTAACCTGGCACACATACTACGTTCCGTACTGTCATTTAGTGTTGGGTAGAGCTTCCTAAACCAGGGGTGTGCAATATTTTTTGTCGGTGGGCCATATAACTAATTTTCAGATATCTAGCGGGGCTACACAAAAATGCAGCTATCGCTTAGCTTTACAGTAATGATACCTCTAGGCAAATAGGTTAAACATACAACGCAGAGACGAAAGCAAAAAAACAATATTTATACTCATGTGACAGTGTTTTTAAACTAACTTTCGGGATTGAGATTTTACGCTCTATGATAAAAAATCTACTAAATGGCTAAAGTCAAGTGGTATCTTCAAGTCACACAAGTCTTAGCGTCAAGAGGGTCTGGTTGAAGATCGTCAAATCCAGGGTCAGAGGAAAATCAAGCATCATGTACTCCCAGCCGGTCACATATGCAAGTACTAACCGAGCTCGACTTTGCCGAGTCTCTGGTAAATGAGTCTGAATTACAGACTTGAAGACTGAGTTAAGACATAGGATAGGATTTACATATTTATCCCGGGGGAGAGAAAAGTCAACAAGATGGCTTAATCATATGGCGAACCACGGCCTCTCGTCCGGTTACCAGTCCAGGTCGGGTATGGAATTAGCTAGCCAGTTATTTGTTTTCGGAGGCATGGACTTGATGGTAGAGGAAGCCATAACCGACCAGCGGTTAGGTGAACCACCCTACGGTGGCGCGGCGAGGAGTCCAGCAATCCTCTCGCACATGGTCATCCCCGCATGGGATTTGAACCTACGATCCAACGAAGGTAATGGCAATCAGAGATGCGGTGGCAAGCGTACTCCTACCGCTTAGCGTGATGCGCCACACCGCCGAGCCACATATCAGAGTCTTGGGGCGGTTTTAGAGAACGTCTTAAATCTGAGTATATATGTACTTGTATAATGTTACTTATCGGTGGCTCCTGTTTTGACCAAGAGGGAAAAATTACACGAGTTATTTCACTTACCTTTGAGGGTCTGGATTGCATCTGCCATAATTTAAACAAGGGTTCGGCATGCATGGATTCCTTGGTCTGATGTTACAATATGTTCCGGTCCATCCAGCATAGCAGTCACATCTGGCAGTGGCACTGAATTGGCATTTTATTAGAATAGTTATACTGGAGCAGGAAAGTGTGAATTTACAGAGACTATAGCAGGGGTGAGCAAAGTTTTTGGACCAGGGAACAAAAATTTTGCTCACCTGGAATGGCGGGCCATGTTAAGTGTGACGAAGAAGTTTTTATGAACAATATTAACAGTATTACAAAAGCATTCGGAAACATTCGCTCATCTGGAATGGCGGGCCATGTTAAGTGTGACAAAGAAGTTTTTATGAACAATATTTACAGTATTACAAAAGCAAGCGGGAAACAATAAGCCTCTTGCCGAAACTACATTTTATCGCAATATCAACAAACTCCTTGAGCTATTTTAAGTAAAACGTAAAAATTTGGTTTCGGTTTGGTCGTGGCAGCATCAGACGGGCCACATTATTTAATGTCCTGGATCTAGCCCGCGGGCCGTGGTTTGCCCATGTCAAGACTATTGAAGTTTTTTTGTACAAATCCCGAGTCTCAAGTGTCTAGGGCCTAGGCACTGCTCTTTCGGGTAGCAAGGTAGCGACAACTACAAATATGTGCAACAATGAGCCCAAAGAAATTCAGCTGAATATGCTGGTGTAGGACATTTTTAATAAATTTAATTCTCAGGTTTTGATAATCTACATTATTTGAAAATTTATAGTCTTTCGCATATATCACCAGAGTCTGCCAAGAAGAAGAGAAAAAAAAAACACTTCAAGACCACATTTACCATTGAGGTCAAGCAAAAAAAAAGTATAATAATAAATTTTACAATACTCACGAAACTACTGAACAACGTCCATTATTGCAAGGTGATGGAACACAAGGATTAGTCACTGTTCTTTGCTCACAATAATCCCCGGTGTAAGTTGAAGTACAAAAGCATTTGAAACTGAAAGGAAAAGTTGTATAAGGCATTCAAGTTTATAGAGAAATGATAAAAACAAAATCAAATTAATGTTTCTAGGTCATGAAGTACCCTCAGTCATCATATTTGAAATCATTAAACGTCATTTTAACTCATCCAGGGACGGTCGCTGCGCTACCCGCGAGGGGAAATGTAAGGGAGATATTTGAGTATAAACGAGCGTATGTTTCATTATGAGTTTGTTGGATGCACCAGGGTCGTTGCGCCGGACGAATGGCGGAAATTCGTCCGGCGCGTAGCCCCCAGCCACTTTAGTTCATTCAGTAGGTTAAATAACACGTCATAAACTGATCACTCTTGATGGATGTCGATTTTTATCAATTTTGAGGTCCGTGATCACTCGACCGTGACGAAATTTTATAGGCATAAACTTTACTCCAACCACCTTGTATGACCCAAATATGAGACCCCTGTCTATTACCGTTCTCGAGATATGGCAGAAAATCACTGGACCGTTACTGAAGGCTACTAGAAAATTTTTTTTGCTGATACGTGATTGGAATGATTTTTCTGATCATGCCCATGCCTTTAGATTCTTGATAAGACCTCTCTGAAGCCGGCAAAAGGTCAAAATCACTAGACCGTGACGGAGGCACGGGAGCAAAAAAATTTCTTGAAAAAAGTATCAAACTAAACTTTCTCAACCTACCTATGTATTTTTTTTTCTCAATATCTCAATTCTTAAGCGCAACATTCCGAACTCACTGGACCGTTACGGGGACGGGGAATCCCCAAAGTTCGGGTGGTGATATATTCTATTAATTAGTCCCTTCGATATTTATGCATCGCTTTGCCCGAAAACCGATTCCAAGTGCTCCTATTCGCCCAAAAACCATATTACCTAAGTGGGCGTGGCTTTCCACACGTTTTCTCACCATTGAGGGGGCGGTGGCGGTGCCCCCACCCCCAATTATACTTGGATAAATTCCTAATACTCGGGCAAACGCTTTCTGGCCCCGGAAACGGAGCTAAACGGCCTCTAAACCCCAAACCCACTCTTGCGTGACTTGATGGACAGCCGATTGACCAATCAGCAGCTCCGGGCCACTAAATTACCGTTTTGGCCCACTTCCTATGGCCCGATCGTTCTGAAAAATTTTCTGTGTTCGTTTGGTAAGTGTCCCCCGCTACATGCAAAGTTTCAACCCGATCGGCCCGCCAGTTTTCTGGGAAATGGTAACTCGTAGGGTCTGCCCTAACATACTCTGGACTAGTCTTTCGTGCAACGAATTCTGATCTATACTGTGCATGACGCACTATAGTGCTTTTCCTTGCCTAACCATCAAGGGCCAGCAACGTACCATCTTATTCAAAACACTGACTCCACTTAAGTATAGATTCAGAAGTAAAAAAATTACGTTCAGAAATTTATGATTTTTTTACCTTTTTCCGTCCTAGATACCGACAATTGTTAAGTTATTATCACAGTTTAAGATATATGTTTATATCCGTCACAATTCAATCGTGTATCTTCCGACCCACGGTTACCCTCCCGCTTCTAACTTTGACCCCCAGTCAGTCAACTTTTGAATGCGTTCAAACATCGATACTCCCGTAGTGTGTGTACCAGGTTTAGGTTGGGGCATGATTTTATTCCGATTTTCCGTATTTCAGTCATTTTACGAGTTCGAGGACTGTCTGTTTAGCCAAGTGGATATACCCAGTGCCCATAGGTTTCAGTCCCTTTACACAACTTGGTGTAAAGTAGGCGAAAAAACTTAGTTACCTCCATATTGATACACAAACTTCTGGAGCGCCGAGCCTTTTTTCAAAGTGAGTCAACATGAGAATAACACTAGACTCGCAATCGCCAATCCTAAGCTCTAACATACCATCTTTGAACAATTTCAAGCATTCACTTACCCAACACCACCTGGTCTGACGTTACATGTTGCCCCATTTCTGCATTGGTTTGGTACACATGGATTTGTATTAGTTCGGATAACTCCCCCTCCAAGTGGTTGCTCGCAGTATGTGCCAGTGTATGGGCCAAGGCAGAAGCATTTGAAGCTGAAAAAGATAAGATAAGTTTATTTCGACTCCATAATCAGTAAAAAGGCGATAAAATAGTTGATTAAAACAAATTAACAAAAACTGATTATGAAATCAGGAGAGTGGACAAAACCTTGGACAAGGTTTAAGACGCACAAGATATAAGACTGAAAGTATTGCCAAAAAGAAGTGGTACGTGTTCACTCACCTAAAACTATTGAATCAAATCATTCACACTTGCAAACACACACACACGAACGTAGGGCAATTTGGGTTAGGGCATGATTTTATTCAGATTTTTACGTATTTTAGTTCTTGTAAGAGTTCGCGGACTGTCTGTCTAGCCAAGTGGATATATCCCCTACCTATAGGTTCCAGTCCTTTTACACAACTTGGTGTAAAGTAGGCGAATAAACTTAGTTACCTCCATATTGATACACAAAACTTCTGGAGCGCCGAGCCTTTTTTCAAAGTGAGTCAGCATGAGAATAACACGAGACTCGCAATCGCCAATCCCAAGCTGTAACATACCATCTTTGAACAATTTCAAGCATCCACTTACCCAACACCACCTGGTCTGACGTTACATGTTGCCCCATTTCTACATTGGTTTGGTACACATGGATTTGTATTAGTTCGAATAACTCCCCCTCCAAGTGGTTGCTCGCAGTATGTGCCAGTGTATGGGCCAAGGCAGAAGCATTTGAAACTGAAAAAGTTCAATTTTAGCATGCAGTTAGGCGTGTTAGTGGGTTTATCTTGTCATTTATTTTGCAAAATTGGATTTTATTTCAATTTCCGGGTTCACGTGGTAAACATTTCACGCGATGTTCACAACAAGACGAAAGTACTTCTAGTCGGCGTGGCACAACCATTTGAGTATGTTATTTTTAACACCCACATGCTGACCTGACTATGTCATTCAAAAATTAAGTCACTACAACGTCACAGTAACGTAATAAGGCCCTCCACAAATTATACTAACTGTCATCCAAGACAGGCAGTCGATCACCCGAAATCGTGCAAGCTACTTACCCAGTTTTTTTCGTCGTAACGATCCCGACATGAGAGAGATTACTGGTGTTAGTAGCGAGTTCGATATTGTCGGCGCAGATGTCATTTCGGGGGATCGTAGCTATACTTTGGCAAGCTCTTTGACGTGACGTGTTGTGAGGTCGTAGTGACGTAATCTTTGGATGACGGAGCCAGATATGTGTTAGGAATAACATGCAAAAATGCTTATGCCACGTCAAGTAGAAGTACTTGACGGCGTTTAGTAAACTAGCCCCGACATTTCTATGTCAACTTTTTAATTTTTAATGTTTCAATTTCAAGCATTCACTTACCCAACACCACCTGGTCTGACGTTACATGTTGCCCCATTTCTGCATTGGTTTGGTACACATGGATTTGTATTAGTTCGGATAACTCCCCCTCCAAGTGGTTGCTCGCAGTATGTGCCAGTGAATGGGCCAAGGCAGAAGCATTTGAAACTGAAAAAAGCTCAATTTTAGCATGCAGTTGGGCTTGTTAGTAGGTTTATCTTGTCATTTATTTTGCAAAATTGGATTTTATTTCAATTTCCGGGTTCACATGGTAAACATTTCACGCGATGTTCACAACAAGACGAAAGTACTTCTAGTCGGCGTGACACAACTATTTTTGCGTATGTTATTTTTAACACCCACATGCTGACCTGACTATGTCATTCAAAAATTAAGTCACTACGACGTCACAGTAACGTAATAAGGCCCTCCACAAATTATACTAACTGTCATCCAAGACAGGCAGTCGATCACCCGAAATCGTGCAAGCTATTTACCCAGTTTTTTCGTCGTAACGATCCCGACATGAGAGAGATTACTGGTGTTAGTAGCGAGTTCGTTATCGTCGGCGCAGATGTCATTTCGGGGGATCGTAGCTACACTTTGGCAAGCTCTTTGACGTGATTGTGAGGTCGTAGTGACGTAATCTTTGGATGACGGAGCCAGATAGGTGTTAGGAATAACATATGCAAAAATGCTTATGCCACGTCAAGTAGAAGTACTTGACGGCGTTTAGTAAACTAGCCCCGACATTTCTATGTCAACTTTTTAACTTTTAATGTTTCAATTTCAAGCATTCACTTACCCAACACCACCAGGTCTGACGTTACATGTTGCCCCATTTCTGCATTGGTTTGGTACACATGGATTTGTATTAGTTCGGATAACTCCTCCTCCAAGTGGTTGCTCACAGTATGTGCCAGTGAATGGGCCAAGGCAGAAGCATTTGAAACTGAAAAAGATAAGATAAGTTTATTTCGACCTCATAATCAGCAAAAAGGCGATAAAATGGTTGATAAAAACAAATTAATAAAAACTGATTATGAAATCAGGAAGAGTAAACAAAAGCTCGGACAAGGTTTAAGACGCACAAGATATAAGATGGGAAGTATTGCCAAAAAGAAGTGGTACGTGTTCACTCACCTAAAACTATTGAATCAAACCATTCACACTCGCACACACACATACACACAACCATAGGGCATTAATAAAATTAGAAAAAAGAGAAGCTATAATATGTATGGTAACCAAAAATAAATAAATAAGCACGTAAAAAGAAATTGGAATAAAAGATGAAATGTAACAAATAATAGGATTGTTTGCCACACCAACAGGAATCGTTTACCACAGAAGCTCAATTTTAGCATGCAGTTGGGTGTGATAGTAGGCCAGTGTTCACTATTAGCGCACTTTTTTGCGAAAATTGCGAAACACTTTCGCAACTTTTTTTAGGGACTGCGAAATAGCACTTTTTTCCGATTTTGAAGAGAAAAAGCACTTTTTTCCGATTTTGAATGGAATAAAAATTCAAAGTTAACAAATATTTTCGAGTATTAAGTTGACAAATAAGTAACATACTAGTACTTTTGTAACTCAATTCTGCATATCATAACGATATTTATCGGAATTCTAACCTATGAGATGCAGACAAAGGAGATAAAGCTTTTGCATTAACGGCAAAATTCTTGTTTATAATATGATTATTATACAAGCACACCGATTCCGCTTCTCCCGCAAAAAACGCTCCCGGGTGTTTGAAACCAGATGTTGGAATACTAGGCAGTGCGTTTCTTTGAAGGTCATGTGACTATCAATGATATCGATGAATTCAAAATGACTATAAAAGTGTTAGTAACGTGTTATAGTCACTTTGGATGAATTGTGACCAAACTGCACGATTTTCAAATCAGACGAAACTTTTAGCAGCATGTCACAGATTTGCAAAATCACCAAATTCACAAAATACCATTAAGTGCCATTTTATTGTAATCACAATGTTGAAAGGACGTGGCATTTTCCGGAATTTTGCGATATTTACACAACTATTCCTCATTGATATGCGAGGACAGGTGGGCAAAATTCAATATTTTTTTTAATCGAATATTTTTAAGGAGTACCGAATAAACGCGGTGGAAACATTAAAAAATCGGCAATAAAGCCTTTTTACTGGTTAATTCCGTTGTAATGGCTAATTGTTCTGGTCACCGATCGTTTTGGCGGCGATATCCAGGTTTTGGGTAATCTATATTCCCGCCCTCTCCTTTTTACAAATATGAATTCTTGTGGGTCGGCGGTCATCAAAGTTTTATATTTCGGGTTTACCCGTTCGTTCACATCGGCAACAGCTGTTGAAGACATTGAGGACTCAAATTAACATTTGCGTTGGCTTTAATATTACCTATCAAGATTTGTAAATTTACCGTCCCAATTTTATGGGAATGGTAATATTATTGTCCATACCGTGATGCAGATATTTATTAAGACGATAATTAACTTTGTCATGTATTTCTATGGTGATAAACTTCGCAAACCTGAAATTGTGCCAATCCTGAATGTTGATTTAAAATAGTGATTGAATAATTCGGCAATAAAGGCATTTCTGCGTGGTCATAAGACGAGATGGCGTTAATGAACAGCACTTCTTTTACAGGATATTTTACGTATGCGACTTAATGCTAAAAAGATTGGGCTCGAGTGCTTTTTTTTTCGAGTGCTCGAGTGCCTAATAGAGGTCAGGCGCTAATTGTAACTAGTTTCCTCAAGTTTCAACGTGTTTTCAACAAAACAATACCCCGGCGATAATTATAGCTAAAATGTTACCGAGCAATTCACAATTTTATTTATGGAATTTGCAAATTCACCAGTTTCTTGACGATTTTGATATTGTCATGCCCTAAGTATTAGTGCAAAAAATACTCCCATTCTTCCGCGGCGGTTTGACGGGTTCTTTGTTCTATTCTTCAGAAAGTTCTGACACGGGGATATAGAATACTGAATCCGGAGGGTTGAATCCCTGTCCACTTACTGGTGATTTTCCGTTTTGAAATGCGTGAAACATTCTTTATTTTAAATTAAATGACGTTTCGCGGGCTAGAGTTCTCCCCGAAAATGATGTGTTCCAGACGTTAGTTAGACGATAGATAAAACATTAGATTATTAATTTTCGTGACGCCCCGTTTTCGAAAATACAAAGTTATATCGCAAAAAAGCGTTATGATACATTTGGAATGAAACATTATTTACCGTTAATTCAGATCATATTTTACTCTTCATGACACCCGGTATCCGAAAATACAGTTGTATCTCGAAAAATGTGTTTTGTTACATTTAAAATAAAACATTTTTGCGATTAATTTAGATCATATTTTACTTTTCTGGACACCCGTTTTCGAAAATACAAGGTTATATCGCAAAATGTGTTTTGTTACATTTAAAATAAAACATTTTTGCGATTAATTTAGATCAAATTTTTCCTTTCACGGCAACCCGTTTCCGAAAATACAAAGCTATATCACAAAAAATGCGTTTTGTTACATTTATTTTGCATTCCCAATAAAATACATATTTTCCCTAATTAAGGTCGTCGATGAATCTGTTCCTGTCGTTCAAGCTCGACACACGTTTGGACGAGTGTGGGGGCGGTTTTTTACGATTTTATTATACGATATATTACGATTAAGATTTTATGATAGAAGTGAATTTGTCTCAAGATGGTATTTTACGATTCCTGCCCACAGAAAATAAACACGCTGACAGGCTTGGTTATAATTGATATTCGTTAAATTTTTTTTTACACTATTAATAAACGCACCACACCAATTGCGACCATATAAATTGCAGTCGCATCGGTATGGACTGTATGTTTTTGGCGCTCTCACATTAATAATAATTTTCAACAAAACAATACCCCGACGGTCATTAAAGCTGAATTCGTTACCGAATAATTCACAATTTTATTTACGGAATTTGCAATTTCAAGATCTCACTTGACGATTTTGATGATGTCATGCCCTAATTATTTCTGCTTAAATGCCTCAAAATACAACAAATGTAATCATTTTCGACGATAACAGGCGCAACAATTCGTAAACGAGCCGTTATAACGAAATTCGCGATTGATTTTACCTCTCTCTTGTTTACAATTTTAACATCCCGCCGGCCATGTATGGTCGAATAAAATGTTCACCTATTCGAAACATGACTTGGCCAAGGATGGAAGGGATCACTAAAGAGCTAATAGAAAGTACATACGCGAGGGTATGATATTAATATCGAGAATATTTGTGAGCATATCACAGGACTGAAATATTTTGCACCCGGCTGTTTGTTTGTTGGCAGAACAACGATACGCTAAAGTTAATTGATCGAATACAGGGAAGTATTTATTTATCATCTCACTTGCGAACATCGAGGTTTTGGCGGAATTGTACGATCATGTTGTCTTTCTTAAATAATAACTTTTTCAATAAATGTTCATTTTACTTTTGCGTCTTTATTATATGTCGGGTTTTCATTTATTTTAAATTCGAAATTGTCCGAAATACTCCCAACAGGTGTATAAGTACAATAATATTAGTACTTACCAAAGTACTTACCAGGGAAGTTTAATACACACGATGTGTAAAGGGCGTCGTAACTCCCGTTTATTAATTATAAATTATTTTTCATTCTGCTTAAAAATCAACGGCAGCATCTCACGTAACTCTCGCGACCAAATCTCTTTTGTTTTGTATGGCATCGTCTTGATGATGAATTTATTGCCGACTGAATTTTAATTGTGTTTTAGGATAAGTTATTTTCTGTTTGTTGGTTTCTAAATTTTACAAACTTGGGTAGCAATTACTATTAATGTGAGATTTGTGCATATGAACGATTGAATATCGCGACTGGATGTCCGATATCTGAGAATGCGTAATTCTCTTTCAACAATAATTTTCAGAATATCAGCGTTCATGTGGTCGAATAAAAATTATTTATCAAATGGATTGGTATTTCGAGACACTGTCAAAATTATTTGGGATCCACTATCATATCATTCGTTTATTTTTTTTATTCATGTTTTTCTCAAGAATCACCCTCCTTATATTTAGTGTACCTTCGCAAAAGAAAACTCTTTGGTGTCATCGTTCCTATTAGTGTAATTGAAATATATGGAAACCTCGCAAGTGGCGTTGTGATGCGAATATTTGATACTAGGTCAGCAGCATTACAAAGAGTGCTATTTATGAATGTTGAAAGTACATGACATTACTGAACATTTTGCCAATATATGATGTTTTCTGCTCGATTTAAACTAACTCGCACGCAAACCAAGGCATGTCGACATTTCAAAATTACTTGTCTTTGGGTAAGCTCTGAAATAGTATAATGTAAATGAGGAATTAGGTCACGCTAGCTCACGAAACGGGAGGATTTTCAAAGTGATCTTGTGTAATATTTCGGAGAAAAAAGTTTGAAAGGAAAGTAGGTCAACCTATCTCCTAAAACAGGGGAGTATCCTGCGTAATATTTCGGAGGGAACGTAGATTAACCTATCTTTTAAAACAGCGGGTGGCGACTTTCAAAGTGGTTCAAAATCAAAAATTAATAATTATCAGATAAGGTTTAGGGATAAATCGAAAAGTTGAATTTCCAGCGCACCTAACCCTAATTAGGCTATTTATATTTGGGGGATTATTTTGCACGGGATTTGTACAAACGATCCACCCTGTAACTAATATGGTTTCCAGCCTGCCTCGTGTCTGTTAGATGGAAGGAGTAACAAATGTGAAAGTCTTTGCTGTTTAGGCGAGTAAGCAACTGACACCGTGATACATTGCATGAAAGTTTTGTCCGCAGCAGGTGTTAGCAGATGTTATTTCGTTGCCGATGAATTCGCTTGTTTTAATTAAACATGAATTCGCTTAAAGGGAACTCGGTTAACGAAAAGGCTTCTCTTTAATTCATAATATTAACCGGAGGAGCGCTTTTTCGAGTATCTATGCCGTTTTAAATGGGTTATATGAAAGGCTAGGGCACATAACTTGTTAAAATCGGCAAAAGCACTTTCGCACTTTTTTTGGACTGCGAAGCACTTTCGCACTCATAATTTGCTTAGAGTTAACACTGTTAAGTAGGCTTATATCGTCAATTTTGCAAAATTTTATTTCAATTTCCGGGTTGACGTGGTAGACACTTCGGGCCATGTTCACAACAAGACGTAAGTACTTCCAGTCGGCGTGGCACAAACATTTTTGCGTATGTTATTTTTAACCTCCACGTGCTGACCTGACTATGTCATTCAAAAATTAAGTCACTACGACGTCACAGTAACGTAATAAGGCCCTCCACAAATTATACTAACCGTCATCCAAGACAGGCAGACGATCACCCGTAATCGTGCAAGCTATTTATCTAGTTTTCTAGTCGTAGCGATCCCGGTACGAGAGAGATCGCTGGCGTAAGTGAGTTCGTTATCGTCGGCGCAGATGTCATTTTGGGCGATCGTAGCTATACTTTGGCAAGCTCTTTGACGTAATTGTGAGGTCAAGTGACGTAATCTTTGGATGACGGAGCCAGATAGGTGTTCGGAATAACATATGCAAAAATGGTTGTGCCACGCCATATAGAAGTACTTGACGGCGTTTAGTAAACTAGCCCCGACATTTCTATGTAAACTTTTTAACTTTTAATGTCCTGCAACCTGTACAAACATCCCAAACTAACAATTTTACAAAATATGAACTCACCCGACCCCTCCTGGTTTGACATTGCATGTCGCTCCATTTCTGCATTGATTGGGAACGCAAGGGTTGATACCAGTTCTGATAACTCCACCGCCACCAATATTTCCTAGTAAGCGCTCGCAATATTTTCCGGTGTAACCTCCAAGACAAAAGCATTTGAATCTGAACAAAGAAAATAAAATAATTCAATGGCTTCATCAAATCAATGATATCAGCTTGGTATTCCGGATTTATTGATTATCCATCCTCGTTCGGGAAAGATTTCATTTTGGGAGAAAAGGCCACTTCATAGAAGTATTTAAGGTTGGATGATTGGATTATTTAGAAAATTTGAAATAGCAAAATAGCAAGAAGTATATCAGAACTAGTTGTCTATTGAGTTAATATATATGAAAAAAAATAGCTGTTGAATAAAACGTTCTTCAACAATTCGATGGTGGCCTGGCTTTGATAAAAGTGATAAATGTTAGTTTATTTTATACCCTCAGATTTTGAAAACCCACATTTTCTGGCCTCTGCCATACCCGCTAGATGTTACGGTTTAACTTGGCAATTAGAAATAGAACAATAACATTCTTACCCTCCACCTCCAGGAACTACATTGCACGTAGCTCCGTTCTGACACCTGTTTGGAACACAAGGATTTCCAATTGGTTGAACCGGGAGTAGGGGTTGTGGTAAGCGAGTTCTATCAGGTGCTTCACAAAGATAACGGTTCCTGAAAACAAATTATTCACAGGAACTCGATTCTCAAAATTTGCATGTAATGAAATTCCAAAGTCACACCCAATGCAGCACTCTTGTGGAAATACACACAAGAGTGGAATGGATTTGAGCTGCACGTGTACATAAAACCTCTTGCATTCCAGCAAAAAAATACAAATATGTAACATCTTGCACAAGCATTATACATAAATCAGAGAAGAGATGTGTTACTAACGATCAACACTATCGCGCCAAGAAAAAAATATTAATTGACGACATTTTAGGACCTAGGAACATTATTACAGAGAAATATTAGTCCTCTGTAGAAACATTTACCGTTACACAATTGTTTTTACTATTTTTATAAATACAAGAATCTTTGTAGCTCTATACCGTCTAACCAATCTACGAGGCCTCAAGAAAAGTATAAAATTCTTTCACTTACAGTCCAGGCATCGCTGTACATCTGCCCAACTGAGGGCAAGGATTCGGAACACACAGATTTGTGTCCGGTATTATTGGATTTGGGTTGAATCCTCCACCTCCAGAACGCTGAGTGCAAGTTTTCCCGGAGTAACCTTGCATACAGAAGCAAGCAAAATCGCCACTGAAAATACAAACGAGAATATCGGTCAGAGACCGAAGACTTATCGATCGAAAGTTAGGGGATCCCCCGAAACAGCGAAACAGCGCTCTTACTCCAAAGTGACACCTTGTGTTCCATCACTAATTAATTAATAACTCGCTAATAATACGACATAATTCATCCAAAATCAATAGGCTTATGGTCCAACATATGACGAATGTATATGCAAAATCTGGAACAGATTCAATCTCGCTTTCGTGAGATATCGCGTGCATCTAACAGATAGACAGACAAACAGACAAATAAGTATGTTGATGAGTAAAACGAGTAATTAAAGTATTTGAAGTAAAAACATTATGTAGCGGAAAATATGAGGATTTTCATATTTAATCTTGGAGAGGAAAGTTATGATTAACATGCGCCAATCGCAAAACCTTTACTTGTTGCAACTCTTTCGTGACACAGACGATTACGATGTTCATATACACATTAGAAGCAAGCAAATATATATATATATGGTTTGATTTGTTGACTGATGACTGAATGATGAATAGACATCTAGTCTATCTTAGCATAGGATTGAATTTACATATTTTTCTCAGGCGAGAAGAAAGCCGATAAGCTCAAATCATATTGGGAACCACGTACTCTCGTCCAAGTTACCAGTCCCACGTCAGATATGGGATTAGTTAGTGGCTGCTAATAAATCTTTTTTAAATACTTCCTACACATATTCAAGCAAATCCATGAAAATAGAAAAATTGTACCTTCCAGGAGCCACTCTACAAGTTCCACTATTTGCACAAGGATTTGGCACACAAGGATGCACATTTCTCCCAACAGGCGCCACATCACAGCGCTTGCCAGTGTACCCATTCCTACATTTACATTCGAACACTTGAACGCTGAAATTAAAAAAGATGCAATGAAAATTTATTACTGGGATGTAAAACATTTGACGATGGACCGTATAAATAACACACGGCATCCAGCTGGGCCACCTAAAAATTTAGTTTTTTCATGAACACAGTGTGGCCCTGTTTACGACAATTTGGGATAAGTTAATTAGAATAATGCAGTAAAAAGTTTATTAGAATACCAAAAAAACAAAAGCAAAAAATTATGATGTTAATACAAACTATCCACAAAAAGACTTCATAGTTTATTTCAACATCTTATTCAGCATAGCAAGGATAAAAATAAAATTAAAAGCTCATTATACACAGATACATGTTGTCAGCTGCTGCTTGTTCATAACCTTATTCAGAGTCAACGTGAATAAGTATCATAAAAATGTACACATATCACACATATAGCCACGCATAAAGTGAAAGAATAATTCAGGATAATCCAAGAAGACGAAAAGTATCACAAAGAAACCAAACGTACCTATCGTACCTCACACATTCACCTCCGTCTTGATCACAGGTATTATATGGGCAATTGGATTGAGCGAAAGACCTTCCATGTAGAGTTTTATTTGCTATATTCGAACTATTCGTCTTGACAGAAGTACTGGTTATATTGGAGGTTCCGGTTTCAGTTTCCGTCTCATTGTCTCCTTCCTCTTGGTCCGGGGGTTCAAAGTTCGTGCCACTGCCATTCTCTTCTTCTTGACAAGCTGTGAGCAAAAAGGTATTTAACAACTTGGGGGGGGGGGGAGAATAGTGTTTGGTACCGGTTCCGGTATAAGTTGTTAAAACCCTTAACCGTTTAGCAAATATCAGGCCGTCCCAATCTCGACTAAGTCAGATACCAGCACACTTTTGAAGTTTCAGTCGAGTTTCTGCCCTGCCGAGTTAATAATTTTTATGATAAAACAACTAACCAACTAGCAACTTCCGAGAAAATATAAACACAAAATCGTTGTAGCCCATACCAAGTTATTCAGTAAGTTTTATTCGTTTAAACCCAGCCGCCGAGGTGAAAAAAACTACCGACACAAACACAAATTTTAACAGCACACAGGTCAACAGTACGCTGGGCATATTCGCAAAATAATGGCGAAATACACAGCGAAAAATATCTTATGGACGTTATCAGAAAAGCTGAAATTATTATTGAAGAACCAAAGCAAAAACAATGCCAACGAGGCCTCTCCAACAGCTGCTTTGCGAAAATTTGACTTCATTAATATCATTAAAAATAAAATAAAAACGCATAAAAAAATCGTAACTCTGCCACGCTTTCCAAACTTCGATAAGACGCAAGACGCTTATCGAAACTACAACAAAAATGTAATTTTATTCCCCTGTTACCCTGTTATATTTGCCGTAACATATAGTGTTAAATTTTGTCGTTCGCGGAACATAGTTTTATTCACTTCAGATTATTACAGCTTAAAAGTCATTCTAGGCCCCGAACGTGTTCAATAAATATATATATATAGGGTTTAGAGCTCACCGAATAAAGTATCTTTATCAATCATTTTGTATCGTAAAAAGCCCATACATATCAGTGCGTGCTTGTATAAAGTCTTGTACGGAATGAAAAGCGCAAAAAACGTCTAATTAGAAAGCCATGTAGCAGTGACGACTGCCGACGTTTTAGGGATCGTGGCATTCTCTCTGGATCCTTTCAGCATTCGTGGCCGCCCTGTTTATTATTCCAGTGGTATTTATAGTGGTATTTTAATTGGTATATTTCAAAGCAATGAAACTAATAGGACGAACGCGGAGTTCTCGTGAAGTGAAAAATAGGATGAGTTCTGCGTCTTTGGGGCTACGGGCTCCCGGTTTGGAACCACTAGAGCAGGGTGGTACAAGATTGGCAGCTCCGCGGGCCACAAAATTACTTTTGAATTGTTCGCGGGCCACAATAGTGCCAAGAACTTCGCTCGTTTAACTTCACTAGTTGTCTCAGCAAGCCATAACACTAGTCCATTCAGTGACATTAATAATGCAACAATATGTCAAAAGATTTTTTGGTTAATTTTATGACGAAACAACATCAAATACAAGCTTTTGATTCCTCTCCGAATGCGACGCGGGACCCAGATAATGAAGCGGCGGGCCGACATGTGGCCCGCGGACCTGGGTTTGGAACACACTGTACTAGAGTATATAACCATAGACGTACTTACCAACAAAACCAGCGACACTGCACAGTAAGATAATCATGTAAAACCAGCGCCTGAAAATAAAGTAATTACATAATCAGCATAGTTTGGCTCACCAAATATATGAAACTGAAGATTTAACATTTAAGGGAAGCCGGGAAAGCTTGTCAAATTCAGTCCTGCCCCGACTAAACGTATAGTAAGCATAGCGTACGTATACGTTTTTGGGGCTGAGCATTTCGAACCCAATATTAAAATCGGATTAGTCGAAAATTTTGAATCGACAAACAAACTATCTAAGTGACGAATTCTATGTTTAGTAATTTTATGTCTAGATAACCTATTACAATGAAAAGTCGGTACTCCCGAAGTATGTGCACCAAGATGGCGGACACAGGAACGTAGTATGTGTACCAGGGTAGGGTTAGGCAATAATTTCTGGAATAAATACTACGGGAGTCACTTGGCTAGTTACCGAAATCGTAATAGAACTAATATAAGGAAAATTGGAAAAAATTGTGGCCCAACCCTAACCTGGTACACATACTACGTTTCGGTGTCCGCCATCTTGGTTCACATATTTCGTGAGTACCAAAAGTCTCATACAATCACCAATCTCACAAGTATTCGAGATTCGATTCGGAAATCACAAGGTATTCAAAAATGCCCAGCCCTATGCGTTGTATAGAGTAAAATCAGAGACCGATTGCACTTGTTCAGTGCAAAATGCGTATAAATACGCCATGAGTGAAAATTAGTTGTCACAACTTCTATACCGGTATATAAATTGTGTAGTTTTGAACTTAATAATTAGGTACTTTAACTTAATCTCGTACTTAATTTCTGTTCGCTAAATTATCAATTTTGCCGTCTGAATTACGGATCATGGAGTCAAAATAAAATTAAACTTTAATGGCAAATTATTATTCAGCATACATATATATATATATATACGGCTTAATCATTGGGCGAACCACGGCCTCTCGTCCGGTTACCAGTCCATGTCGGGTATGGGATTAGTTTGTCAGATATTTGTTTTCGGAAGCATGGTAACATTATTACAAGTACAATTTAAAATTGAAAAAGTAAATTCAATTTAACTTTCTGCACACTAACACAATTGTATTTCTTTGTTAGTGTGCAGCAAGACTCTTAAATTAAATAGAATAGTCATTTTCACTCTTGCTACAGCATCCTTACGTCATACGCATACGAATCCACCTGTGCAAAGGCATAATAGAGCAAGGAAAGGTAGTTAGTTTCACGTAACCCCAACTGTTAGTTAAAAAAGTAAATGTTTTACCATTGCATCACGGCCATATTCGCCTCCATTAATCTCTTCACTAACTTGAACAACGATATAAAGAACGAATCCTCTTTTAACTTCAACTTATCGACAACAACACCCAACTAAAGCCTGAACAGAATGGCCTTTTAGAACCACGTGGGTGCTTGATCGACTCGACCTCGATTTTCAAACGCGAGAAAACAATTATTAAAGCTGTTCAAAACATCGGTAAATTGTACTCGAAATTCGTGATTATGAGGTAGATTGGGTACACAAATACTATTTTTTTCGCTTCGCTTTAGTGTTAGAGATTTTGAAACAGCGTTAGGAGTTGAACGTCTGTTCAGTAAGCTAAATAGGAATCGTACAGTTGGGGTTACGGGAAACTGACTAACCTTTACTTGCTCTATGCCTTTGCGCAAGTGAATCCGTATGCGTATAACGCAAGGATGCTGTAGCAAGAGTGAAAATGACTATTCTATTCAATTCAAGAATATTGCTGCACACTGACACAAAAGAGATTTTGCATTAGCCGGAGAAATAAACCTGCATGTTGTCTACATCCTATTACTGTTTGAAGCCATTATTCACTCTTATTCGTCACATTTCTCAAAGAAAAAAAAATATTATTTATAGTGTGTGACAAGCCATTTGGTGAGTAGCCCGTGACGAAACTTCACCTAATTTAAGGCCCCAGGAGGCATTTGGGTTGGGCATGGTGGATATACAACATAACTGATCACCATACCAGAACCTGGCTCAGGTCATTGCTTTCTATGCGACCACCTCGCGTTATTCCTACATTGTCAATTTGAACTGAATTTGTAAATTGTGATTTTTTAAATCTTGATTTCGTAATTAAGCGAAACGTAATAAAAGGGGTTCATTTTTGTTTATCATCCTTATATCAAATCAGACTGGACCCAACAATCCGTTTCGTACGGGGTGACGCAATGCTTGTTTGTTAATGCACCAGTGTTCGAGGGAATCAGCCACAACCCGGCCCGCTAATTCATTTGTGTGGCCGTGCTAGATGTATGATGTTGGTTATACCGCCCGCCGACAAAGAATGTTGCACTGGGTTGGCGACACCCCTGAAACAAATAACTGGATAATTGAGAATATCGGTCGGAGACCGAAGACTTATCGATCGAAACTGCGGTTTCGATTCATGACTCTATAGTGACACCGCGTGTCCCATCACTAATTAATAGATAACTCGCTAATTATACGACATAATTCATCCAAAATCAATAGGCTTCTGGTCCGAGATATGATGTATGCACATGCAAAATTTGGAGCAGATTTGCCTTCGTGAGATATCGCGTGCATCTAAAAGACAGACAGACAAATACCTATCAACATACTTACCAATCCAAAGATCGATAAGTAATAATCCCATACCTGACATGGACTGGTACCGGATGAGAGAACGTGGTTCGTCGTATGTTTAAGCAGTCTATCGGCTTTTCTCTCCTCCCGGATGAATACAGGGTGATCAAGAAACAGAACCCAGAAACAATAAGCATCAAAGTATCTCAGATGACCATGTATTGTATACTGTATATGGTCGTATCGTTACCATCCAGTCATAAACGGAAAACTGTAATAAATGGGGTGTCCAAACATTTTTGCCTGACTTTACATTAATTAATAACATTTAAAAAAAACCTTTGTCTTTGTTTATGTTCTGGACCTCCTGAAGTATGTGCACCAAGATGGCGCACAACCTGAACATAGTATGTGTACCAGGTTAGGATTCAGGTTGTGCGCCATTTTGGTGCACATACTTCTGAAGCGCCGTTTTCTTAGTTCTCATTCATCAAGCATTAAAAAAAATTTTGAACTGACAATTGTTATTACAATAAAATCGAACAAAATTATGAATTGTTATTACTATGAAATCGGGCGACATCCTAACATAACTAATCCCATACCCGACTTGGAATGGTAACCGGACGAAAGGTCGTGGTTCCCCATATGGATAATTCGTCTTATCGGCTTTCCTCTCCCCCGGGATAAACATGTAAATCCTATCCTATTCTGTATATAAATATGTTGTTTTTTATTGCTAATTGTATCATCATCACGTTATCTGGTTTGACAAAAAAATGATCTCTCTCTCTCTCACTCTTAACCCTTCAAAAACCAACATTAGAATTCAACAAAAATATTGTATTTACTTTCATAGAACAGAGAAATCAAGAACAAGCGCGATCGCGAGTTTCATTCTCATATGTCCGTCATGTAAGATTGAAGGAAAAGGCAGAAAAAATACAGAAAATGGCAAGTACATCTGGTAAAAGGAAAAAAGAAGATTGATATCCTGCAGACAAAATGTGCTTATCATTGCACGAATTACCCAGCGTGTGTTTACCAGGTTTTTACGAAAATAGGGAAAATCGTGTGAAAGAGGGTTGCTCGACTTTGATGCTATTGTGCATGTATGAGGCGCCGTGTTTAGTGCTAACTAGGGCTGGCCATTTCGAATTAAATCTAATAGTAAAATATTGGAATCGGCTCAGACGGGAATTTTGAATCGCTGCCATCTTGTTTTTATTTGTCTGACCACAGGTCAAGGTAAATCCCTAATTTTTGAATCAACATTTCCCCTTAATTTCTACTCTGGGTGAGTCGGAGGGGGGGGGGGCAAATGGTGGTTAAACATGACAGTTTTAATGTAGTTGAGTCAAATGCCCCAACCAATGAAAATTGCCTCATAAATTATAAATAGCATAATGGCGCCCCTGTACGATGTGTACCAAGATGGCGCACAACCTGAACCCTAACCTGGTACAACTACTATGTTCAGGTTGTGCGCCATCTTGGTGCACATACTTCCGGAGGTCCGACATAATAATATATAATAATCAATGTCATAAGCAATGAACAGATATTGTGCCATTATTAGGATTTTCTATCAGGAGGGGGATTACCCATCGGCATGCCTATTTAGTTAAGTCGGATGCAATCAATAAAAATTGGTCCATAAATTCGAAATGACAAATTATTATATAATGTGCGATACCACAAGCAATGAATAAATATTGTGGTCAGGTAAGCATATTGGAACTACGAAACAGGAAATAAGATTTCTATAGGGAGGGGATTACCCATCGTCATATAGCACTTGAGCTATCAGTTGGGTGTATTTTACATCCCCCCCCCCTCACTTTTTATGACTAACAATAAAAATATTTTACATATTACAATAAATATAGTAGGGCAATATATATGTGTTACTAATACGATCATGTACTATGGAATATACCAAATTAGGATCAGTTAGAAATGAATATACAGCAATAAATAAGCAGGGTCATTCACAGGGAAATTCAGACTGACAGGAATTCGAATTTGATGGCTGAACTTTCGACACTCCAGAAGTGTGTGAACTAATATGGTGGTATGGTTAATGTTTCATAATCTCTTACATTGGAATGGAACTTCTTATTGCGTGCAATTCAAATATTAGGAGTACATCATACAGTATAGGGTGTCCATGAAGTCTTAAAAATTTTAAAATTGCAAAAGGAATTTATCGATACCATATATTGTTTTGGCCCTCACAGATGTTTGACGTGAGGTAAAAATATTTCAACAATTACTGATTTAAAAACAGCAAACATGGTTGAGATATATTAAAAACTGACTTCAAAACAAAATTAAAATTGTGAAGGGACACCCTGTATATTACAGCATTAGTAGAAACACTCTTCGAAATGGTTGTATTTTTCGTAAAAAAAATTAATAACTGGATCTAATTGTGATGCATCAATAGCTCAGGTCTGCGTATTCATGATCAAATATTTTAATTATTTCTAAATATTTTTGAAATAAAAAAACAGTTTTTTGCTCTTGGTGATTAAACTATTACTAAAGCATTATCTAATACAGGGGTGGGCAATTACTTTTCTGAGTGGTCCAGTCACAGATAAAAGAGTTGGTTACTGGGCCAGAGGGTCAAAACTCAAAATTAAAACAGCTGGGCCAACTTTTGTTTAATAATAAGAAGCATGTAACTAACAATCAGGGTCATGATGACATTATTTTCATCAATATTTTCATCGTAATTTATATTCTTAAAAACTATAGTCGTAATTTTAGCAGACCCAAGTGGGCAGGAGGAAATATTTTGGTGGACCATATCCGGCCTGCAAGTCTTAATTTCGCCCACCCCCGTTTTAATAAATTTATATACATAAACGATTTCTCGACCAGGGCTTTGTTTTAAGAGAAGGTGTATACACATCAAAAATCAAAAAAGGATCTTAGCAAGCACGATTTTCAATTTATTGAGTGTAATTGTAGTATGAACATTAATTCATTGTTTTTAACTGTGGTTTCCAACCTTTTATGGCTTGTGGCGTCTTTCTGGAGGCTTTTATCACTCATGGCCCCTGTTTATCATTATAGTGAAATTTATAGTGTTTAGTATGATTGGTAGATTCCAAATTCCATTATGTTCAAACAATTCATGCTCAACAAAGTAAAAACACCCTGTGAAATAACCTTATCAAGCAATGAAACTAGGAGTATCTTGTGAAGTGAAAAGCAAAATCAGTTATGCGACTAGCATTGTGGTTCTCCTCCAACTGTTCTGTGTGCCTCGGTTTGGAACCACCGGTCTTAGAAGAAATTTTTGGATGTATGAGAACCCATTCGGATACGCCCAACAAGTGAATTGAATGCACGTTTTCAACATGTCCTCAAAACTTATTTCGCTTCCTTGCTTTGCTTGTCATGAATAGGTGTGGTTGCGAACGCTCCAATATCTAGGATCTTAAAAAAAGCCAAAAAATTGCCTTTTCCTGGTTAACATTCGAAAATTTAAAATGACGTCATAACCTTTAAAAGCAGGCTCAGTCACAAAATATTGCATTTTGGGCAAAAATAATGTTAAAAAACAATTAAAACTTAGTCAAAAACATACAATTTTTAGGTAAAATGATGAAAAAAAGTTTAAAATGCACAACGATATAGGTGAGGACTAAAGTTTGCCAAAACAGGTTACTTTTTACAGTATTGTACTAAAAATATTACATAACGCTTATCACACATTCATACAAGCTTTGATAATCACTGAAAAGAGTGAAAAAAAAGGTCAAGTTTTGTACTTTTTTTACATGGGGGAGGGGGGAATCCCCCATAATAGTGCCATAAAAGTTTTCGCTTTTCCAAGTAATTATCAGAAATTTACATTTTCCAAGTTTAAAAAGATAAACATAGGCGTTGAATACAAATTCGTCATACACATGAAATGTTCAAAATTTGCAATTCTTTCAAAAAATATAAATAAAATATTATTTTCTACAGGATCCACAGAGATATTTGATACAATTAAAACAATACGTTGGAAATAGGTACTATCATTAGGATGAAGATTATAGATAACAGTATTATCAGTAATTGATAAGAAATGGTTGATAAACTAGTAGTAGTTGAATCTTGAGATGTATTGAGGTGTTCGCCATCTGAAATGATAAAACCATTTTTTTTCTAGGATTTTAACTTGAAATAGAAAAAAGCAAAATAACTTTGGACAAGGTTTTGCATAGACAGCAACTGAGTCTCTAAGGGCCGTAACGACGGAAGCGCTTGAGTTTGGTGCTTAACTGACCAATAGAAAATCAATTTTTCAGTCCGGTCTGATTAGGGGGCTATATAGAAAAACCCTATTTTTCAGTGCTAAAAATAGGCTTCGTCTTATTTGCCAGGTAGACTTATTCGCCGGGAAATATGTTACATAATCTAAAAACAGTTAGTATGGAATAGGATTTACATATTTATTCCAGAGGAAAGGAAAGCTGACAATACGGCTTAATCATACGACGAACCACGCCTCTCATCCGATTACCAGTCCATGTCAGGTATTGGATTAGTGAGTCAGTATTTTATTTTCGAAAGCATGGACATGGAGTTACCAATGCATCTTCCTATGACCATTTTCACTTCACTTAAATCCTAATACAGTGATATCTCGGTAGTCAAACGACTAGATACTCGGAAAATTTGGTAGTCAACCAAAATATTTTATGCAAAAATGCTTCGGTGCTCAAATACCCGAGTGCGACCACGAGTAAGATGTGTTAACTCAGTATAAACGTATAATAAGTGAATGCCCATAAATATAACTTCCAAGACACACCAACAGGAATCAACACTCAAGTACAGATAGCACATGGCTATTTCACCTTCACAGCTGGTTGGTCATGATCAGTCATCTGTAACTGATGACATCACATGTCATGCTTTGCCATCTGGGAAAATGCTAATTGCCAAAAACGCAATTAAAATACAGTTAACATGATGGTATCACCTTTCATATGTTATAAAAAGGGAGCTCCAGAAGTATGTGCACCACGATGGCGCACAACCTGTACATAGCATGTGTACCAGGTTAGGGATTGTGTGCCATCTTGGTGCACATACTTCGGGAGCACCAAAAAAAGTACCCTACCCTATGACTACTGAGGTATTACTGTACTGTAACAGCTTTTCTCTCTGCCCTACAAGATATAAAAGACTTACAAACGCTATATTTCTTTTCCAACTCAGGATAATTCTCCTTCATATAAAGTCTGACAACATCAGCAAAAGAATATTTGACAGGACGATAACCCAGTTCCTTCATTACTCGAGACATATCTTGGTAATGAGGGATTGTCATCTTTAAAACCTGCGAATAAGAGTAGGGTTAGACCAGAGCGCATGATCTGCAGTCACACGGCTGAAAGCAGCCATGAAAATGAAAAATTGGTGTTTTTTAGGAGCAAAACAAATGAAGGATAGGATTTTACAGATTTATCTTGGGGAAAGGGAAGCCGATAGGACGGCTTAATCGGTTTTCCCGTAGTATGTGTTTCAGACTAGGGGTTAGGCCATAATTTTTTATTCCAATTTCACCTATTTTAGTTCTATTACCGATATCAGGGACTAGACAAGTGACTCCTGTAGTATTTGTACCTGAAAATATGGCCTAACCCTAACCTGTTACACATACTACGTTCCGGTGTCCGCCATCTTAGTTCACATACTCCATGAGTACCCACAAGGGGCCATTTTTTTCAATTTGCTTATGGCACACAATGTGGTATAGAGATTCTCATCCAACTCTCCCAACTTACCTCGTTTCTTGTTAATAAAGGTTCAAAGCAGTATATTGGTCTGAGTACGAGGTGCAACAATTCCATCAAAAACCCAAAGAAATAAGTAATTGTTGCAGGGAGTTGATATCTTGGCGGAATTTTCCCGAACCCGTAGAAAATTGGCCTTAAGAAATCAAAGACTTTAACCGGATTGCCATCTGCGATGAAGTAGGCTTGTCCTGCCTGAAAAAAGATTTATTTGTTAATATGAGTTTGCTCAAAGCAAGATCATGAACTCCCTGGAAAGCGAAAATGCAGTGGGTACCCAATGACCCCTGTCCTCTGATGTGCTAATAGACATAGAATGGTAACTGAACGTAAGGGACATGGTGTGGCATATGTTTCTAGGAAATTTCGCCGTAAAAAATTTCGTCTCATAGGAAAGAATCGCCACCGCAAGAGCATTTTGCCATAAAATAAGTATTTGTGATCAAAACAATTCGGTTTTTAAAGTAACTTTTTATTTAAAAATGATTCCTCATTTAAGAGCATACCCTGACCCTCTAAACCTAACTGTTTTTTATCACAAATACTTATTTACAGCAAAACCCTCTTGCGGCGAAATTCCCTGCGGTGAATTTTACGGATACGGTGCCATATGATTGAGTCGTCTTGTCGGCTCACCAAAGATGAATAAGAAATATGATGCCTAAGATCTCAAGTTCATTTCGAACCCAAGAGATAAATCAAGTACCAGTGGTCGCTGGGTAAGAGCCTTGCTTGAATAAAGACCATGCCCAACACATCATAAGCACAAGTGTGCAATAAATAAGACTACTATACCAAACTGGCAAGAATAATTGTTTATTGTTCGCACTGCCTTGGAGTCTGAATTAAAGTACGTTTTTGTTGATTTCCAAGACAAACTAAAAAAGCATTAAGTTTACAAGGCATTCACAGACAATTAAGAAGGCTTGCCTATACGTTTGGTGATTAAAATTTGGATTTATCGAAGTCAGAGTTGAAATTTTTCTTGAACTGGAACCATGACCTCGAGGGGGAGTCAAGATTTTTGTCAATTAAAAGTAATTAAATAAATCGGTATGAGTTTGGAATTGAGTGTAACACAACCTTGTTATAAATCAAGAACATAAAAAAACTCACAGCAATTCTATTTGAAGCTTTCGAGAGTCCCGGAACAGCCAGCAGATGCGCTTGAACGAGATTATTCACATGTGTCCAGTCAACCATGGCATTACCCATGCTAAATAAAATCAGACCTTGGTTGATGAAACTCTGAAAACAGAATAATATAATAAAAGATTGGGATTATTCACTACTTCTAGAATTTTATCTTAATCACTTAGACTTAAACTACCTTAAGTCTTGCATCTATAGTATGACTGGGAATGGTTAACCAGTTGATCGGTTAACCGATTTAAGATGGTTAATGGTTACAATTTATTTTGACCATCAACCGATATCTCGGTAATAATCCTTTTATACTGTTTTATGTATTCAAAAATGATACGCTGACAGCAAATCGATCTCCCGTGGCGTTTAATTCAGAAAAACATCGCTAACTTAATAGATAAGCACTAAGAAAATGTAAGAAATTTTTGAAGTACTAATATTGGCGACAAATCTCTGGAATAGCTCCATCGAATTGCAAGGGCAATTTACTTTGGTAATGTACATTTATTTCTAACTTGCAAATTTTAATTTTGGGCAAATATGAAGCAATAAAACAGAATAATATAGGTACAAAGTATACAACCAACCAAACTAAAACCAAATTTTGATGATTTAGCTGAAAATAGCTCAAAGAATTTGTTTAGATTGCGAATAGTTTTGGCATGGGGTCAAAGTGATCCATTGCACCTTGAGTACTTACTGCCACCCGGTGCATATGTCTTCTTTCAAGCGGTCCATATATCCCAGCAGGTCTTAGACAACAGGTGTACAGCTTTCCTCCTCCTGAAAAAACAAATGTTTCTCAAAATTAGAAATTTATACTCCAACCTTAAGTCTCATATTTTTATAAGTCGTTCCTTGCCTTCACTCTGAATAACATTTTGTGCAAACTTTCACTGATGCGTGAAAATCCACTATTTTTCGTAGGAACATAATCTTTTCATCTTGGGATTACACTCTGGAGAAGGGTTGGGCATGGGATTTGGGTCGGAAACCCCCCTACACCCCCCCTTTGAAATGTTGAAAAGAAATTTTTCTGTATCAAACACAGCAATTTTTCTTATCTTGAACTTCAAGATACCTTAAGTCTCCTATTTTGCACATGGTGTTTGCTGTATTCACTCCTAACACGGCTCTGCATAAGCAACCCCTGATGTATAAGGAACTGCTAAACTTGTAGGTCTGGAATTTTATCAGACTAATCGATGTCGGCTTCACAAGTCATGAAAGAAATCCCACCCACCACTACATTCAAGGGCAGGGGCTTAGCCAAGGATTTCCAGAGAGAAAGTTTAGAAATTTTAAATTGCCAAGTTAGAATGTAACAGCTACGAGAGGATTGCTGGACTCCTCGCCGTCGATGGGTGGTTCACGTAACCGCTGGTCGGTTACGGCTTCCTCCACCATCAAGTCCATGCTTCCGAAAACAAAAAACTAACTAATCCCATACCCGCCGACATGGAATGGTAACCGGACGAGAGGCCGTGGTTCGCCATATGGATAAGCCGTCTTATGGACTTTCCTCTCCCCCGGGATAAATATGTAAATCCTATCCTAAGAGGCTGAAAAATGGGGCTAAAAGTTTTCAATAATCTTAAGGTTCTAAAAGTGTTTCAAGCTAAAAAAAATGGCTTTGTATGATACAAAAAAAATCCTTTTATTTTTAATTTCAAAAAGGGTCGACGGAAGAGAAAAGAATAAAATAAAATACCATTTTATGTTCTAATCCAAAATTAATGAAAAAAATTACAATGCAATCGAATATGCAATTCAATTTGAATATCCCTGGAATCTACCATTCGTGAAAGTTGAAAGTTTGAAAATACGAAAAATTAAAAAGGCTCACCTTGGATATCTGTTTCATTTGCAGCCAGAACCAACTTATCTGCAAGTTGTTTTGATTTGGAGTAATGGTCGACCATCTGAAAAAAAATTAGGATGTTGTCAGATAGAATATTTATACTGGTGGAGAGAAAAGGTGATAAAATGGAAAATTTAATTAAATTGGCAAACTGCGTCCTCTCGTCTGGTACGAGTTTTAAGTCAGTTATCCGAATAGTTGACCGATTGGGTCTATATGCATGAATTTGGCTGGAGAAGGAAACTGTAACCAGCAAGCATGTGAACCATCTGTATACCAGTTAATCTTCACTGGTACGAGACTTATATCAGTATCAGTAGTTTATTTTTACACATGCCGAAAATACACATTATACGAATAGGATTAAGTAAAAAAAGAAAAAAATGCATTTTAGTGTGAAGGAAGACGCGATAAACCAGTAATGGTTATCGAGCAGCGTCACCTACAAGGAAGTCTAACATCAAATTTTATAAAGGAATAAAAAGACGAACATTAAATACTAAGAGAATACGGAAATAGAATATATTCAGGCGACCCGAATATCCGAGTCTCGTTCATAACGAAGGAAGCAAGCGACTCCAGTCACAACAGGCGGGGTAACCATGTCAACCGCGTTTTATTAGATATCAGAGTGATAAACCATAGCATTATGAGGTAACTATGGATAAACGGGCTAAGAAACCTCGCTTGTCAGCTGCAGTAAGGGCCATTGTTTTGGGGGTAGTACCTCATTCGGAAGACATTAATAACAAACAATATTATTGGAATCAGGTTCCGAAAGGGGTTTTTAAATCTATACGGTACCGTACCGGTACTCATGGAACTCTACAGTGGCCTGATGACTGGGTGCTGGTGGCAAATTCATACATGAACAGAAAAAGAGATCAACTTAAAAAGGTAAACAAAATTCTGGTAAATACTAGATTATCGTTGAACCAAACATAAGTTAGATCTATATTTTGTCCTATGTTTGATAGATATTGATAGAAAGGATAGGTCTATATATATTCCTGTTTATCGAGGCCCATAAATGACTTATATGTTATGCATCACCTTTCAAAATTTGCATTAGGCAATAGATATTGGATTCGGTATTTAAAAAAAAAAAGATTTTACACACTTTTGAGAAATTTCAAATCAAATAAATATTTCCTAATGTTGGAATGCTGTAAAAGATTTGAAATTTGTGCATTTCCTTTCAGTGCACTTTAAATTCATAGCAACACCGTTATTTACAGATTGATAAACATGATTTATAACCACGTACTATAGAAACAATATTGTTTCCTGTGATTAATGTAACACTGGTATTTTGAAACATCATGTACAAGTCTATATTGTTGTACAGGAAGTGATGATGCAAAATGAATGGTTGACCATTACAAATGTGATGAAATTGAATTAGCGCCACCTAATGTGGCCAACGTGGCACCACCGTTAATAGTCTCGTGGCAATGCAAAGGTTTTATTTGGTTAGCGTGCGTCAGGATTGCTACATCTTGTAACTTGTTCTTTTTCTTGTTTTAGTATAGTAGTAATCTTTAAGTTAATAAAAGCCTAGAAAACAGTCTAAATGAGTTTTCCTCGAATGGTTTCACTACAACAAATACATTCTGAAATAATGATTTTGAAGATAGAATACCAAACATTTTAAATTGAGCTACGCGGTGCCAGGAAATTTCAGAGGGGGGGGAGGGGGGGTTCTGAAATTTCTAATTGCCAATTTAGACCTAAAAACTAGCGGTGCAGTCGAAAGCCTAAAAACGGGGGTTTTCAAGAGTTTTTAGGGTCTAAAAAGCATTTCAAGCTCCGAAAAATTGCTGATACATAATGAAAATGATACATAATTTGAAAAAACAAATGTAAATCCATTGGCATTGGTGCAAATTGGTTGTAAATCCATTGGCATTCTCCGTGTATCAAGCAATGGATAAACGAGATAGCGATCAGAGACCGCCAACTTATCGATCTAGTGACTTGTATTTTTCGCTCTGACCTAATAGCGACACCGCGTGTCCAATCACTAATTAATTCACCTCCATATTGGTACACATACTTCTGGAGCCCCCAAATAGTTTCCTACATATTTGAATCTGCGTCCCCATACACAGCGCAAACAGCTTATTCTAAACACTAAACATAATGCACAGGCTAGCAAACACACGCTCAAAGAATTAAAAATCGAAAACAAAATCCAAACCTCTTCTACAGGTGCATAAGGTACAAAATCATTCCCATTTTCTATTGGTTGAAACCCAAGAACAACATTATAAGAACTTGTATATATCAGCTTTGATACTCCGACCTCTTTGCATGCTAAGAAAAAAAGGAAATGATCACCAAAAACATATTTAGAAGTGTATTTTGTCAAGTAAGATTTATGAGGAGCCTAATTCAGAGCCAATTTTATTTTAATCAGCTTCAGCCCTTTTCGAAAAATTTTCTACGTCCCCCTTGTGGGGCGAGCCCCACCGTTTGCACCGGGTATGTCCAGATACCAGTAAACGTGGGTTTTCAAGAGTCGGGATGGTCTGAAAAGCGTTTCGAACTATGAAAAATTGCAATGTATAATACACAAAAAACTTTTTTTTACATTTCAAGAGGAAGGAGGTTACCACTCGCAACCCAAAATTGCAATGTATAATACACAAAAAACTTTCTTTTACATTTCAAGAGGAAGGAGGTTACCACTCGCAACTCAAAATTGCAATGTATAATACACAAAAAACTTTCTTTTACATTTCAAGAGGAGGGAGGTTACCACTCGCAACTCAAAATTGCAATGTATAATACACAAAAAACTTTCTTTTACATTTCAAGAGGAGGGAGGTTACCACTCGCAACTCAAAATTGCAATGTATAATACACAAAAAACTTTCTTTCACATTTCAAGAGGAGGGAGGTTACCACTCGCAACTCAAAATTGCAATGTATAATACACAAAAAACTTTCTTTTACATTTCAAGAGGAGGGAGGTTACCACTCGCAACTCAAAATTGCAATGTATAATACACAAAAAACTTTCTTTGACATTCCAAGAGGAAGGAGGTTACCACTCGCAACTCAAAATTGCAATGTATAATACACAAAAAACTTTCTTTGACATTCCAAGAGGAAGGAGGTTACCACTCGCAACTCAAAATTGCGATGTATAATACACAAAAAACTTTCTTTGACATTCCAAGAGGAAAGAGGTTACCACTCGCAACCCTGTACCTTTCCTCTGGGTACGCTATAACGGTGGGCCCATATATTACTGTAAATAAGGCATATATTATACCTACAGTATATACTGGTAAATTGTGTCGTTTGAGAAATCCCTTGAAAACTAATAATCAGCCCAGCAAAAAGTCAGGTTCACATAACATCTTTACAATAAAGGGTATTTTACTAATGCATAGTCAAGAGGTCTAATCATTCCTTCAAGATAAGAAACATTTTATAGCTGATAAGAAAATAAGATAAATACCTCTGATAACATTCTTTGTTCCATTCACATTGACATTGTAAGACTTTTCTTTATCAAGCTGAGAATATAAATAAGATAGGATATTAACAGACTATTATTAATATCGAGATTCAAGCGTATATGAAACAATAGAGCTATGCTCAAATATATGGACAGGTAGCGCCACATAGTGGCAAATTTAGATGGCGTCATAGCACACAAAAAACGATAAATAAAAGTAATAGCCTTCTAGCGAAAAATATATTCTTTACTCACTGAAAATTTCAAAGCAATTGGTCCAGTAATCAAGGAGAAAAGCGATTTTTTCAAAAAGATACGAAGAAGAAGAAGATCAACAAGAACAAGATTACCAAAAATATGAAAACGATTCATAAGTCCACTCACATGTCCAATAACACAAAGAAACGATCTTTTAGTTTACTGGACTGTGGGCACATAGATAAAGTTTTGATATAGCCTATCTTTTACTATGAACAGGGCGCTGTACAAACATTTACTGATATGCAGTAGTATTGGTAGTATTTTGATAATTTGATTTTCCTTATTTTAGTTCTATTATGAGTTCGGGGACTGTCTGTGTTAGCCAAGTGAATATACCCCTTCCCATAGGTTTCAGTTCCTTTTCACAACTTGATGGAAAATAGACGAACAAAATTAGTTACTTCCATATTTGGACACAAACTTCTGGAGCGCCCTTACACACATAGCCTCATTCTGCTATTTATTTCTTGTGTATTGCAATTTGAATCAAATGAACATACATTAGAAGCTTCTTGACCAGACTCACCTTACTAAGAGCGATAATTTTAAAATACAGTGATACCTTGATTAGTTACATCGTTATTGGTACACTTCTGGAGCGCCTTAATATCTCCCACACAGATTTGAATCTGCGACCCCTTACACAGAATAAACAACATATTTATCCCGGGGAGAACCATGGCGAACCATGGATTTTCAAATTGAAGTTCTGAAATTCCTAATCGCGATTTCTAATGTTTTGAAAAAGTCTTGAGAATCTAAAATGCGTTTCAAGCTATGAAAAACTGTTATGTATGATACAGAACCATGCTTTTTTCACATTTTGAAATGTTTTGAAAAGTCACTTAAATGTGTAAAAAGGCCGTCTTCGACTTTATTATTTTATTTATTATTCACGACTTTTGCTAGTATTCTGTTTGACTTTTTTCTCACTATGATTTAATTTTTAGACTCACTCCCCCAGGGTGACGCTGCTCGATAACCTCCTCTGGTTTATCGTGCCTCTCTTCACACTGAAAGTATTGTTTTATATGTGATTCGTAGTTATTTTTGTCTATTGTGTACTTTTGGTATGTGATAAAATAAACTACTGACTGACTGACTGACTTGAAAGTGGGGAGGGGATGGGTTCCGACTCTTAAACCGCCAAGGCTACTTTCTGAGCAAGAAACCGCTGGCAAATCAAGAAGTATTAAAATAATAACATTTCTCTTACCTGATCTTTACCTGACATTCCAAACGATGCAACATGGAACACACAGTCGACACCTTTGCAAGCTTCAAAAACAGAGTCATATTTGCAGACATCTCCCTAAGAAATAAAGATAAGATTGAGGGCTTTAATCGGTACTAAATGCAATTTTGCAGTGAGACATAAATTCCTACGCCTCTTCCAACGCCATTTCACTCTATTCTTGAACGAATTACTGAAAACTGGGCATTTCCTGTCTGGCTATGAACTATCGTTTCATAAATGAACCAACCGAGATAGATGAAAATGTGCACTTGTACAGGGTGTCCAAAAAGTTTTGTCTGATTATAAATTCTTTATAATCAAATGTTATTTTTGTTTTTAATTATAAAAAAGGGTGACCGTACATTTGAACCCATGCGTATATCCACGGGTTCAATCTATATGCGGGTGCTAAAACTCATGGGTTAGGGTTAGTATGGGTTTAACTATCCGTGAAACAAAAAAAATTCCATAGGTGCAATAGCATACAGGTGCAATTGTCATGGGTTCAAATGTACGTGGGTTCAAATGTAATGGAACCATAAAAAAGAATAATAGTCAGCCTGTGATTAATTGGATGTTATAGATGTTGGATGTTATAGTCCCAATTTATCATACAACAAAATTTATTGAAATTTGCGATTGGTATTGCTATGAAATCGGGCGAAACTTTTTGGACACCCAGTATTAGATATCAGAGGCTGCTATTATCTGGCCTTATATGCAGTAAAAGGCACGAGTAAGCGTCGTATTGCGTCACTATATAAAAAAGTTGACCCCCCCCCCCCAAAATTCCAATTCCAAAATTTTAGGAACAGGTTCTTGAACTGACTAACAACGGGTTCCCTCATTTCAGAAAACTATGCGGAACTCAATGTTCTGGAAAAAAGGTTCGCTCAGTATGTTCCCCAGCTTTCCAAATTTAGGGGGTGGTAATTTTTTGTCTATTAGCGATAGATTGAGTTTCCAATTACATTGTCAATTTCAATACTTAGTTCAGGGATGTGCAACCTGCGGCCCGTGGGCCAAATGTGGCTCACAAGAAAAACTTGTGCAGCCCTCGGAGAAGTGCCAACAAGCGAGTAATTCCATTCCCTTTGTGTTGCAAAGCCTATACCTGAGTACAATATATTATCTATGTCTATGATGTTACAATTCCATAACAGCAAGCTTGTGTGATGTCATAAGATCAGAAACTAAAATTTTTGTGCCTGAAACTACTAGAAAGCCTATATCAGCTTTGATACTCTGACCTCTTCGCATGCTGAGAAAAAGGGAAATGATCACCAAAAAACATATTCAGAAGTGTATTTTATCGAGTAAGATTTGTGAGGAGCCTAATTAAGAGACATTGTTATTTAAATTAGCTTCAGACCCTTTTTAAAAAATTGTCTACGTCCCCCTTGTGGGGCGAGCTGATGCCCGGCCGACCCAGTTATTTTTTTCTGGTCCTCGTGTATTAAAGGTTGCACATCCCTGACTTAGCTGATCAATCTGCTTTGCTAAGGTATTTTACCGCCAATTTAAATTAAATTATACATACCTTGATGAAACACAAAGCATCATCTAAACATTTCTCAATCCTTGGAGGAATTTGAAGGTCAAGCAAGGTTACATGACCTCCAAGGCCATGAATCGCTGCAGCAAGTTCGTAACCAAGGTAACCACATCCTCCTGTCACCAAGAACTTTAATTTCCGGCTGAAATAGGAAAGAGTTAATACATTATTATCAGTTTAAATATAACAATTAAGTTTCAAAGCTTGTTAAACGATTAATTTGTACAAAAACCTATGATAGTCTGTTTTACATACTTTGCTTTACGTGCCCGTCTGTTATTTCTCGGTCTTGAATTGTCTTTTAAAATTTCAATTTAAAAATATTCTATAGGCCTATTCAATATAGAAATATAGAATATTCAAATCTTTTCGAAATTTATTCTTGATTTTAGAAAAAATGTGAAATAGTTTCATTTCAAAAATTATTCAAACAAATAGTTTCGTTTAGGTATGCTGTAAAAAAAAAATTCAATAAAGCACTGTTTGTCATAAATTTTCTTCCATTTCCAAATCATTGAATATATAACGATTTTAGCGAAATCTTTATGACCAGATTCGTCTTATATTCAATAATCCATATACAAATATTATCCATATTTATCCCTATCTATTTATCTACAAATTTATCTAAAACACACTCCGAATAGTAGATTAATTCAGGCCATTCTCGACGAATACAAGTGATTCGTGGGCAATCGCGCTGACAAACCAATTTACAATACAAGCGGTTTTTATTCAAATTCTTTCACCCTAGATCACACATGATGCATACTAGCATACTAAACTTATCTTCGTGCCACGCATGTTCATCTTTGAATCAATTTTTTATAAAAGACTACTCCAGTGTCAAGTATTTCCTCTTGAAAGCAATTTGTCTTTCATTGTGAATCAAGTAGGATTTAAGTACACATACTTAGCTTAATTTTGACCGGTAGCATAAGCTGTTGATCCTCGCTTCTAATTTTTGTTTTGAAATTATTATAACATTTACTGTTTGATGTTTTATGGAAATTTGCCAAAATGAATTCCAAAGTGCTTTTTGCTATTAAGTTCCTCTTAAAAATAGCCAATGTAGGATCTGAAGCCCTTTAAATTAACACTATCAATGGTCCCCAAAAACCGACCCACAAATCGATTTAATATGGCCGATTGTCACGTCATTATTATAGTCTAAGCATGGGTAACAATTCAACAATACCGTAATCATCGTAACAATTCAAATATACCGATATCTTGATTATGTGTACCGGTACCGACAGGCAATCCCCTCTCCTGACCCCGGTAAATCACTTTCGGAAACCACTGTCGTGAATGCTCTGAGAAAGTCCCTGCATGAAGCCACTGAAAGCCACTTGAAAGTTTAATGGGGAATTTTCAAAACCAAGCTCAAAGCGCTTTATGATTAGCGATATCCATATTTTCCTAAAATTAGCTGATGTAGCATTTAAAGCAATTAAAATGAACAATGCCATGATTATTATGAAGTGTTTCTCTCAGTTGCTCTGAAAGAGGCTTCACACAAGAAATCTTAGACGTAGAATGAATACACAAACTTTTGTTACCACTTTTCTCCAAAAACCAAAAAAGTAGGAGACTTCAAAGTTGAGAATGTAATTATTTTAATGACCAAAATCTGATTTTGGTATCGTACAAGCGTGTTCTAAATTACAGTATTGAAACTTATAGCTATTGTGTAAAATTGTAGAAACTCAGTTGTATATAATATTCATACATGCATAATTTAATACAACCAAATACTCCAATACGATAATTATAGTTTAACAAGACACGGTACATACAGTATACTTCCAGGAAATTACGACTTAAAGTCAAATTAAAATATAAAGGTAGCAATTATAGAAAAGCGCTTTATTTGAATCAATTCTAAATTTAGTTCAACCTAATTAGAGTCTGGAACCGTTCCAGAGTCTGGAACCGTTCCTGCATTTCTGAATCCAAACTCATTCAACATTTATGTGCTTGTTCTCCATTGAGCATGACCCAATTTAATAGGTACCTGATATTCCATATCTCAGAAAACCATATTAGATATATTTATAACATAAGTATAGCCAGTGGGAATCAGCAGCTATGCCCCACCACCCCCGCAAAAAAAATCTTTCAATAGATATTTTTTTAAATTGACATTTGCAGTGAGACATGAATTGTAATTTCTTTTTAACACCATTTTGTTCTATTCTCGAACAATTAGTAAAAAATGAATGTGAACAAAAGCCCTTGCGCTCAAAACTTTTAAAATATGGATTATCCATATTAGCTTTTGCTCCATGAAAAGCAACCTGCCTAGATATAAATTATTTTTTTTTTAACAAAATAACTAAACCAACAAGTAAGAGATATATTCTTACCTGTGTCCATTTGTTCCTTTCTTGAATTCCAACTTCGCAGGCAACTCATCTAGTCTGATATTCAACCGTTCAAGTATCGTTGTATCAACCATAGTTATTGAAGCTGCCTGCGATAATTTAAATACTAGAGGCCTAAGCTACTGAAAAGAGAAAGGGATAGTGGTTAGGACAGTAGACTTAATTATGCAGGTGCTGCATATTAAAATTATCAAATTCAAATCCTACACTTATAGGGACTATATGGTGTCCATAAACTCCCTTTACAACAGGGGTCGGCAACCTTTTGTTGCTCACAGGCCAAAATTAAAGGTTGCAAGACATTGGCGGGCCGCACATATTTCTAGAAAGTTGAAAACCGAACAGATGATACTTTTTATAATAAAAATGAAGCAGTGATACATCTCTCGAATAGAATATAGATTTATTTCCTCATTCGAACCCTTTGCACTTATCATCAACTTTTCTGCGTTTTGTTGCCATTTGACTAATTATAATTAAATTATAGGCTCAACAAACGAGTACTTGTGAATTTTATACCTGTTAGATTATATTATATTCTAGTCTACACTTGTCTTCTGTTACGTACAGAATATATTCGTCAAAACTCCTGTTTTGTTACTGTAATTTAGTGAGACGTCGCGGGCCGGATTATAGTACTCCGCGGGCCGGATCCGGCCCGCGCCTGTAGGTTGCCGACTACTGCTTTACAACTTCAATTTTGTTATGAAGTCAGTTCTCAATATATCCTATCCAGATTTGTTGTTTTTTTATTCAGTAATTGCATCTTTACTTCATTCAATAAATCTGTGACGGCCAAAGCAATATATGATATCGATAAATACCCTTCGCATTTTTGAAATATTTTAAGACTTTATGAACACTATATATATCTTGTGTAATATAATGGTTCGGCAATGTCAGATCTGGTTCTTCCAAATAGCAGCTTCCCACATATTATTAGATATCAGTTGCTGCTTGCACAGGTCTTGTTCGGAGCAGAAGGCATGAATGAGCTGGTGTAAAAAAAGTCAACCACCTATATTGTTAGTTTGTGATGTGAAACTATGGATCGTTTCCAATAAGTTAACCAAAATAAACTATGCCAGTTACAAGCACCAATATCATATAACGAGAATATCGATCAGAGACCGAAGACTTATCGATCGAAAGTTCGGGGATCCCCCAGAACAGCGCTCTTACTCCATAGTGACACCTTGTGTCCCATCACTAATTAATTAATAACTCGCTAATTATACGACATAATTCGCCCAAAATCAATAGGCTTCTGGTCCGAGATAAGATGATGCACATGCAAAATCTGGAGCAGATTCAATCTTGCTTTCGTGAGATATCGCGTGCATCTAACAGAAAACAGACAGACAGACAAATACCTATCAACATACTTACCGATTAAAATCGATGAGTAATGATAAATCACATACTCAAAATGGACTGTTAACAGGTATGAAGCCAAGGTTCTCCAGGATAAATATTTAAATCCTATTCTACATGCAGGCTAGCAACTTTGCTTTTCCTTTACATGATACAACCAAACAAAAAAAGTTTTGCTTTGCGCAAAAAAGAAATGGCGCCTCCTGTACTAGTTGCTTCTTGCACTGTGCCTTGCTCAGAGTAAGACATATATAACATTATAAAAAATAAAAGTTTTTGACAGTTAATCACACTCACTACATAGACAATCTTAGTTTTGTAAATGTCTCATAAAAAATGTGTCACTACAGATGATCGTGTCCAATTTGAGGACAAACAGCCTTATCATAAAGATGTTTTTACATTTGCTACTCAACTAGCTTTGCAACAAATGTTAGCGCTCCTGAAATATGTGTACCAATATGGAGGTAACTAATTTTGTTCGCCTATTTTAGATCAAGTGTAATGGGACTAAAAACTATGGGCGGGAGGATACTCACTTGGATAACACAGACAGTTCCCGAACACGTAATAGAACTAAAATAAGGAAAATCGGAATAAAATTATGGCCTAACCCTAACCTGGTACCCATACTACGGAAACATCCAAATTTTCTCAAATTGATTAATATGTCGGAAACATTAAGTGAATCTAAATCTATTTAGAAAGATTAGTTTCAAAATTATTTTTCCACAAAATGTTTAAAATAGCACTGTGTAATGTTCCCATGCATTATTTATCTCCAAAACAAGTGGAACGTCTGCGGTTCCGTTTATCTGACGGAATATACACAAGTCAGACTTTCACTGTCCGCAACTTGCATGATGCAAATTCTATATACGAATGAGTCATCTTTTTATCTCCTCCAGAGAAACATCCTATTCTAATAATAATTTTCCATTAATAATTTTTTGAGGTGTTTTTGTGTCTTTGCTGACCTTTCATTTTATTACATCCTGGGTTAGATAATTGATAGCAAATTTAATCAAGTAAGTTTTTTAGAATTTCATATTTCTTGATCATAGACAACCAAATCTGTTCTTCTGGGTTTCCATATGCTGGTATTTTAAATTTCTGATTTATGATTACTCTTATTTACAAATAATAAAATGTACAGGGTGTCCATAAAGTCACCATGGTTGTACCACATTAAGGAAAATTTTCGGGCCTAGATATTGATAAGTCAACCAACAATACCATCCAAGTGTAATGAATCAGGCTATGCTCAACAAGGGCGAAATTTTCAAAGGAGGGGGGGTGTTCTGAAATTTCCATTTGCCAAGTTAGATCGAAACAGCTAGCAGGGCCGACAACTTGTGTTTACATGAGTCTCGAGACTTTTAAAATCAATTCAAGTTACGAAAAATTTATATGTATGATACAGGAAAGATGCTTTTATTCTTTTTCAATTTCAAAAGGGGGGGGGGGAGGTTTAACCCCCCAAAACCACCCCCTGGCTCAAATATTGGTTCATTACACCTTGCTCAAGAATACACCACCAAGAATACACCAGTGTTGACAGGTTTGAAATCCCATGTTGAACAGTTACATGATTACTTTATACTCTTTATAGCCAGTACTTGCAAACAGCATCCCACTGTATGCATTCATGCACCCATGGCAGGGAGACTTGCCTGGTACGTCATGCTAATTGTCAAAAATACAATTTTTAGATCTTGAAAGTATTTAATTATGAGATATTTGAACTTTCGGTGTCACTGCTTAATAACCAGCTTCCTTTCCTCAGAGAAATTTTGGTGGTCCCGAAGTATGCGAACCAAGATGGCGGACATCGGAACGTAACATGGGTAACAGGTTAGAGTTAGGCCATAAATTTTTTCCAATTTTCCTTATTTTAGTCCTATTATCAGTTCGAAGACTAGCCAAGAGCCTCCCGTAGTATTTATACCTAAAATTATGGCCTAACCCTAACCTAGTACACATATTACATTCCGATGTCCGCCATCTTGGTTCGCATACTTCGGGAGCCCCGAAATTTTATTCTTTTAATCTTTGCATGCTATTTTTTATTCGATAGAAAAAATAAACTTGACTATGCATTCAAAATGCACAACACATATTTTTTTATTATTTCTCCCACTTTTCCCTCAACATGATGAACATTTTCTAAACACCAGACAATCTATCTCACAGTACATTGGGGTAAACAACATAGATAGACATAAACAGACAGGTGAAAACATAAAATATTAAAGTACAACAGATAAACATATGCTCATAATATAGCCTAAACAAAATTCAAAATTAATGTTCAAAGAATTAAGAATTCATATAATCAAAATAATTGCTTGTTTTGAGAGAATTTAATATATTAAAAGCGTAACCATGTTTTTATGTTAGAAAATTGCTCACAACGATATGACTCAATTCTGAACCATATATAGAGGCTGTCCATAAAGTCTTAGAATTTCTATAAAATAGCAAAGAGGAATTTATCGATACCATATATTGTTTGGGCTCTCACATATGTATTAAATAAAGTAGAAATTCTCAAACAATTACTGATAAAAAACAACAAACTTGGTTAAGAAAAAGATATATTGAGAACTGAATTCATAACAAAATTGGAATTGTAAATGAACTTTATGGACACCCTGTACATTAGATTATTTGTAAATAGGAGTAATCATAAAACAGAAATCTAAAATACCAGCATGTGGAAACCCCCAACAACAAATTTCATTATCCATGGTCAAAAAGTATGAAATTCTCAAAAAACTTGCTTGATTGAATTTGCTATCAATTATGACAACATCTAACCCAGGATGTAATTAAATTGCGTGAACTTTCTTTATAGCCAAGACACAAAAACATCTCAAAAAATGAATAAATGGGAAATTAATACCGGTAAGTAATAGAAACGATAAGAACAAGCAATTCAGAAAAAATTATCGATAAGTTGCTAAAAATTTATTTACATTAGATTAGATAGTATAAGCGTTCATAGCCACATCACTCCAGACAAACCATTTCTAATACATTCAAATCTCTTTTGGATGGCTCACAATAATTTCTTCATGAATAAATAATGCTTTGTTGCTTACAACATTAATGTAGGTTTTCAGTCACCCGGCAGAAGATAAAAAAAAAGAATGTGTTCTATTGTGTTAGAGAAATTCCAAAAACACATTGTAGAAATATTTTAAAAAGATGGTCGGTTGCGACTTTTTTCGGTCATATGTTCATATTTATTACGAGGAGAGAAAAACTGATAAAACTTTACGTTTCTTCACACAATGTAGAAATATTTTCTATACTCACGCGGTGGTGCGACGCATCATCATAAGCGTTAGGAATACAGGTCTACTGTATTTTCGAACCTAAAGTACTTCTTGTGGGCGTAGCATAAAAGTTTTCGCATATGTTAATTCTAACCCCCACCTGACTGCGTCATCCAAAAATTCCGTTACTGCGACGTCAGAACTGTCATCCAAGATGAGCATACGATCATCCTAAATCAAACACGCTACCCAGGAATACACTAGCTACTGCTATTTTGATTACTACAATTCTGAGAGAAAAGATAACATAATATATTATGAACCATGATTCAAATTGTGATATATACAGAAATAAAGTAATTTTATAAAAACTTGCATATATTTAACCCTGTAAAGCACAAATAACATGAATGGACATAATTTTATGTTTCTCAAGTTAAGATACTAAAATGTGCCATTTCACTCA